AGAGGGGGAATGAGGAAGAAGAAAAATCGGAAATAGAATGTAAAGAAAATTAGAAAGAAAAAGAAGAATAGTGAGTTGGAGGATATGAAGACACAAGAAACGATTGAAGAATAAAAATTGGAAGATGAAGAAGAAGCAAAAAAAAGATGATGACAACGAATAAAAAATGGAAGAAAAAAGAAGAAGATGAGATCACTAGAGAAGAATAAAAGGAGAAAAAAACAACCAATTAAAAAAAACTTTTAAAATAAAATAAAAATAAAAGCAAATCAAGAACTAATTTGTAATGTGAGGTTCATGTGTGGTTGAGGGGGAGTTATAATGTGGATTTGGGTTTAGGGTGTAGGTTCTTTAATTAGGGGGGGGGGTTTATAATGTGGAGTTTAGGGTTTAGGGTTTATATTGATGGGTGTAGGGTTTAGTTTCTGGTGCATTTTAAAAATTGAATTATTATAGAAGTATATCAAAATTAAAAATCATGATTATAAATTTATATCTACCATTCTAAAATACACTACAAATAGAAAAAAACTAAAACAATAAAGCAAATCCATAATCAAAAATAAAACACAAATTAAATTAGATTTTTAAAAGATCTCGACTATATAAAGATAAAAACTATTTCACGAATCCTTGAAAATCTAAACTATCGAATGAATTGATAAGTGAAATATAAGACGTAGACAAGAAGAATAAAAACACGAGTAGAATAAAAGAAGATGGTGGATAAGAAGATGAGAAACTTCGAGAAGAAGAAGAAAACTCGAAGAGGAAAAAGAAAACAAAGAAGAAAAAATGAAATGTGAAGAGAAAGAAGACAAATAAGAGATAAATAAAAACTAGAATAAGATGATGTCGAGAAGACGAAGATGATAAAGATAGAGAGAGGGGAATGAGGAAGAAGAAAAACCGGAAAAAGAATGTAAAGAAAATTAGAAAGAAAAAGAAGAATAGTAAGTTGGAGGATATGAAGACACAAGAAATGACTGAAGAAAAAAATTGGAAAAAGAAGAAGCGAAAAAAAAGATGATGACAACGAATAAAAAATGGAAGAAAAAAAATGGGATCATGAAAAAAATAAGAGGGAGAAGAAAACAACATTACAAAATTTAACTATTTTTTGTGCTTTCACAATTTATAAGTTCATATCAAATTAACAAAATGTTAAGCTATTACTTCCTTGGAAAATAAACACATTACAAAAATATGAAAATTAATCAACAATAAAATGTGTTAAACTAAAAATTAATTGAATTTTGGAATTAACAAAATCTAGATTATTGAATGAATTGATAAGTGAAATACAAAATGTAGACAAGAACGAAAAACATGAGTAAGAGAAAATAAGACTATGGAAAAGGATACGGGAAACTTCGAGACGAAGAAGAAAACTTGAACACGAGTAAAAAGAAATCAAAGAAGAAAAAATGGAATGTGAAGAAAAAAAAGACTACGAAGAGATAAATAAAAATTATAATAAGATGATGTCAGAGAAGACGAAGAGGATGAGGTAGAGAGAGTGTGAGAATGAGAGGGAAGAAAAATTGAAAATAGAATGTAAATCAAATTAGAAAGAAAAAGAAGAATAGTGAAATGGAGTATATGATGACACAAGAAACGATTGAAGAACAAAAATTGGAAAATGAAGAAGAAGCAGAAAAAAAAAAGATGATGACATCGAATAAAAAAAAGAATAAAAAAGAAGAAGATGGGACCATTAAAGAAGAATAAAAGGGAGAAGAATAAAAGAGAGAAGAAAACCACCACTACAAAAAATAACTTTTATAAATAAAATAAAAATAGAAGCAAATTCAGAACTAATTTGTAATATGAGGTTCATGTGTGGTTTATGGGAGAGTTATAATGTGGATTTAAATTTAGGGTGTAGGTTCTTTAATCAGGGGGAGAGGGGATTTATAATGTGGGGTTTGGGTTTAGGGTTTATATTGATGGGTATAGGGTTTAGTTTCTGGTGCATTTTTAAAATTTTTAATTATTAAAGAAGTATATCAAAATTAAAAATCACTGATTATAAATTTATATATATACTCAAAAATAGAAAAAAAAAACTAAAACAATTCAAGCAAATCCATAATCAAAAGATAACAACACAAATTACATAGATTTTTAAAAGATCTCGACTATGTAAAGTTAAAGACAGAAGATAAGAAATCTCGAGAGGAAGAAGAAAACTTGAAGAGAAAAATTAAAAAAAAAAAGGAAAAATTTAATGTGAAGAGAAAAAAAGACGAATAAGAAATAAATAAAAACTAGAATACGATGATGTGAGAGAAGATGAAGATGATAAAGATAGAAAGAGGGGGGTATGATCAAGAAGAAAAACCGGAAAAATAATGTAAAAGTTAGAAAAAAAAGAAGAATATTAAGTTGGAGGATATGAAGACAAAAAAAAACAATTGAAGAACCACAATTGGAAAAAGAAAAAGCAGAAAAAGATGATGATAACGAATAAAAAATGGAAGAAAAAAAAAGATAGAATCACTGGAAAAGAATATGAAGGAGAAGAAAACAACTATTACAAAATTTAACTAATTTTTTGTGCTTTCACAAGTTATATATTCATATCAAATTAACAAAATGTTAAGCTATTACTTCCTTGAAAAATAAACACATCACAAGAATATGAAAAGTAAGTAAAAAGAAAATGCATTAATCTAATATTAATTGAAAATATTGGAATTCTGAAACATCTCTTGCCCGCGCCTGACGCGGGCCAACCACCTAGTTCATATATATAGCAAGACCAATTTTCTAATAATAATTTTAACGCCAATCAAACTGATTTGCATATGCAAATGCTTAAAGTCAACTATGGATCACAGCGATTGACATCGGTTTCACTTATGTTGTAAAAGAAGAAGGAATCAATCATAATACGAAGAAAGCAGCAAACCAATTTTTGATTCAACTCTCTGCTGCAAGCAAAGTAATGTACTTAAGTGTGATTCACATGTCTAATGTTCTACTTACGATCATGGCACGTAGGATTCAAGAAGATATGCACAACTCATAGAAAGAAGGAAGAAAATAGAGTGTTTTGATCCCTTTTAGAAGAAGTGTCGAAGAAAGACTTTTGTAATTCTTACATTCTGTAAACTAAAAGCTAACAAAGTAATGTAAAATTATAATTATATTTCTATGTTTGTTTACATGTCTAATGTTCTACTAACAATCATGGCATGTAGGTTCCAAGAAGATATGCACAAGTCATATCAAAAAGGAAGAATACAGAGTAACTCCAAACAAAGAAGAAGAAGTATTTTTCTATTTCCTGTAACTATAGGTAGGATCCACCATGATTCAACTCTCTGCTGGAAGCAAATAATGTAAATTGATCATATCTTACTAAGTGTGATTTACATGTCTAATATTCTACTTACGATCATGTAGGTTCCAAGAAGATATGCACAACTCATATAAAGAAGGAAGAAGACGAAGTGATTCAATCCCTTTTAGAAAAAGTGTCGAAGAAACATGATTTTTTTATTTTAAAATTTTGTAGTTCCTAACTATAGGTAGGATCAACTATGATTCAACTTTCTGCTACAAGCTAGCAAAGTAATGTAGAATGAGAATTATCTTTCTAAGTGTATTTTACATGTTTAATTTTCTACTTATGATCTTGGTATATAGATTGCAACACGATCGTGGTATATAGATTGCAATAAGATATGCAGTTTGGTGTATTGACTTTGTAATCCTAATTTGTTATCAATAAAATTGTTTGTTGTAGAATTAAAAATGATTAGCATCTATTTTGATTTTTTTTTTCTGCAGATGAATTTGTACTTCGTTGAAGGGAAATAGTAGTTCATCGACTTTCCTTTCTGAACATATTTTAGTCCACATAAATTTCCCATTGAATTTATTTTCTTAACATATATTCAGCTACAAAATATCACAATAATATACGTTTTTGAAGTATTTTAGCAAAACAAATGTACTATAAACTTATTATAAAACATAGGTGTTATATATTATCGAATAGAATAAAGGTTTTGCACGAAATATTTTTTTTATAAATAATAACTCCTGTGCTGCTGACAACACAAGTCAGAACATACTTTTTGTTATTCAGTGATTTCTTTTAAACAACGGGTCAGAACATGTTTTTTTGTTCTTGACTGAAGAAAATAAAACCTTATAGGTAGTAGGAACATGTTTTGTGAATAGAAAAAAAAAACCTGAAATCAGAAAATCAATAATAAAAAAAGTTAAGATAGACAATAAAAATACAAAAAAAAAGTGTAACATAAAAATCTAACATATTTTTTTTTTTTTGGACAACAACTGATTTATAAAACTAGCTTCGGTTACACCTCACACATGAGGAAGAGATCCAACAACAAGGAGCTGAATCTAGAATTACACTAAGCACAACAAAGCTAAAGGAGAACAAGGATAACAACATGATAGATTCAGAATTACCACATAGGGTTGATTCTTCCTTTAAGATAGATAGGGAGGCAGAATTTCCTGAACACAACATCCAGTATCTAAATTCATTGCCTGAAGCAAACACCAATACACCACCAAGCACTATAATTGCAACAATCAAAAGCCAATCCACGAGACTTTGACTTGCTGAACTTTGAACAGAGGCAGACTTGAATGAAGCTTTCTTTAAACCCACGACCACATGGTCGTAAAATGCTCGCAAGACTAGAGCCAAGGCCATCAATGCAGAGCTTAACAATACTCGCTCCATAAAGGAGGAGACAATTCTCGGTTTCGAATCCAAGTACAAATTACTTCTCATAAAGAAGATCATTGAAAGTGTGACACTTTTCTTTCTCACGAAGGAAAGTGAAGAACATCTCACAAAGGAGGAAAGAGTTACCATAATGTAGCGCTTAGGTAGAAACAGCTTTGAAGGAGAGCTCGCTACGGACAACTCATGGGTCAAACCCAAAGTTTTACAACGCCGGACAGAGATGAGCAAATTTGTGTAGACAGGAATCCAAGATCCTGTTGTCCTTTCACCGGCGAGGAGTAGGACGGGAAGCTTCGAATGACCAAGGCTGAAGAAGATGGTGGAGGGAAACGACAGATCTGGAACGAAGGAGGGAGGCGGATGTGAGGCGGAAGGGATCCGAGATGAACAGAGATGGTATAGAACCATGGAACAAGAGCGCGGATGTATATCCGGAGGTTTTGACGGAGGTTTCGGCATCGCCGTAAAGGTGCTCACTCGGAGTGAGAAGGGGTCGACGAACACACGGACTGGCTGCTCCGGTAAGTTGGAGAAGAGAGGTGAGAGATCCGTCCTCAAGATCTCTGCAGATCTCGTCGGACTCTGTCCCTAGAAGAGCAGCACTGCCTAGAAGAACAAAGAGACAAAACAGTCTCGCCAATGAAGATATCACCGGCGGAAGGAGAAGCAAAGTCATCGGACGTCTAGTCGGAGCCAGGAAAAAGAAGGCCTCGCTCCAATTTCAGGAGAAGAACCGCCGGTGAAGGGGATTCATTCCGAAATCAGAGCAAAAGCAACGGTGGGAAATGGAGGAAGCGGCGGACTTGGGAAGCGTGCCTGAGAGAGAATTAATTTTAGGGCGAGTTCGTTACTTCAACTAAAATAAAGAAAAAGTGTAACATATAAATCTCATGTGTCAACAACATATATCAAGATAAAAGACCATGTTTAATAAATATGAATAAAAAATGTCATCTTAGCCAAATTTTAATCTAATGAAAATCAATAATTATTAATCTCATTAACGAGAAAAATAACATACTTATTTTCTTTTAAGAAAATAAAAAACAAATCCATGATAAAGAAAAATATGTTAATATGTTGTCACAACAACATTTTAATCAAACATTATTTGAATATAATATTCAATATTAGAAACCTAATATTTACAAATTTAATTAATTCAAAGGTTAACAGCATCAAGGATTATAATCAATATTCTTTTAGATCTCGGTCTTTTTGGAGAGACATAAAAAAGAACGAATCTGATCAAAGATAAACAGAGATTAGAATTATAATATATATATATACCTAGATTATTAATCGGAATGAATCTTTGCTGATTGTGACGAACTTCCTTACTCAATTTTATAAGGAATGCTTTAAAGACATTAGATTCAAATTACCGGAATATCAAAACAAAAAAAAAATCAAATAAAATTAAGTGATTTTGCAAATGAAAAAATAGTCAATTAACCATAATTAGTTATGAAGAGCATTTAGATTTTTCCTCATAATCAAATACTAATTTAAGTGATTTCAAATAAAGGAAATGTTAAAATCGCTTATATAAAAAATATTCATCTTCGTTGATGAATATGTGACGCTGATGTCTCCAAACTTCAAACTGCAATAACTCTTTATTTTCACCGAATTTTCCATCGCGGACATTATCATGGGACGATTTTTAAACTGAGATAAAGTCGATTTCACATCATCACTCGAGAAATAAGGAATCGATTTCTCTTGGACGATTTTTTTTTGTTCAGTTTGTTTATTTTTTAATGTTACCAAAAAAAACATTGAATTCGGGTCGCAAGTGCAATGTCCAGAACCGACCAAATGTGTGCTAAACAAACAAGTCCATGATTGTATTATCTCATGAAATTAGGTTTTTTGAATGTTTCTCTAAATTAACCACACAACCCATAAATATCTCATTTTCATCACATAATTGAATAATTATCTTATCATACTCTAATGTTTGTTCATAAGATACAACAACCCGTGCTGTAGCAGCACGGGTCAAGATCTAGTAATCTATTAAGATTATTCCATTTGAGATCAGTTGTTCAACGTTTTTAGGAGGTGGTATTACAACTTTTGCAATTCACCCCCACACTTTACGGTATTTGTACAAATGTACTTTTACAAAGTTCATAACAACTTTAGGATTGTTAGTTTTGGTTTGACAAAAAGGCATTAGTTTGGTAATGTTTCAGTTTGTTAGTATTTGAGACGGTTTCATTTAATTTGTAATTTGATCTCTTTCTCTGAAATTTTTATATGTGATGAAGGAAAAAGAGCTTGGAAGACCGGTGTCAATCGAGAAGTGTTCATAAGGACACATACACTGCCTGACGGAAGTTTCGTTGATCCAAAGTCTCAGCAGATTGCTGAGACTTATGAAAAAAACTTAGAGGACGAGATGTCTCAGCTCATGGATGACGAAACTGATTGTTCTTCTGAGCTTACCACAGCTGCAAAAGACAATGTCTTTCTCAAGGTCAGTCTCTGTTTTCTTTATGTATGTGTTGCGTTTAATGTACTTGTGGTTACTACTTTGTCATGATATGCATTTTTTTATTTGCAGTCAACGGTAACAGATGATAGAGGCCAAGAGTTCGGTCTTGGTAGTCTCCGGAGACACTATGGCAACGGGAAGAGGAAGGGAGGGGCAGGGACCTCAACTGTCTGTGCTATTTTGGAGATGCAAGAGCAGTTGCAAGCTGCTCAACGCAAAATTGAAGAGCAGGCAGCGGCTATTGCTGCACGGCAAGTGGAATCAGCTAAGCAACTTGACCGCATCGGCAATCTGGAGATGGTCTTGAGCTATCTGAAGTCAACAGATCCAAAGTTCACCGACTATGTGGCAAGCCTTTCTAACGCATCTCCACATGCAGCAACTCCAACAGAGGAGGCAACTCCAACTCCGACTGAGGAAGGTACTCGTTGACCGAGACAACCCAACTGATTTGCTCTCTTCTTTTGTTTTGTCCAACTCAAGGTTTTGATTCGAGTGTAAACATGAGTTTCTTGTGCACATGTTTAGAATCGAAACATGGTTTTGGTTGTTTCTATTGGAAACAAGAACTTGGTGAATGTATTTATGTTTGTTGCACATGTTTTGTGTTTTGAATGGAAACATGATTTTCCTTTCTAGTCTATAAATTTTAGTTTTAGCATTCTTTATAAATTTTAGTTTTAGCATTCTTTAAAACTAATTATTTTATAAATCAATTTCACTATTCATGAATTAGAAACGACTAATTAGTCACCAATGTGTATCAAATCTAAGCAACAACTTAGCCACTGCATATTTTCAAAGGAGTCGCAAAGTAGTCACACAAATTTAACACTTTTTTGCGACTACGGTCAATATTAAATTATGAAATAATATACGAAAATATATATATATATATATACAGCAGTCGCAAACGAGTCGTTACATTTAGTCACGTGTTTGCGACCACATCCACAAAAGTCTTTAATCAGACCCAAAACTTAACGACTATATAACGACCGTTTTATCACTACTAAGAAGTCTTAAATCCGTCGCAAACTATTGCGACTTTATTGCCACTTCTTGAGCGACTATTTTGAGACTACTGTGCACTCGTCGTAATATTTAACGCGGAGTCTCTCAGTAGTCGCAAAAATAAGACTACATTGTAGTCGCACTTTGGTTTCAAATGTGCGACTAAAAGGCGACTATGTGGCTTTGCGACGCGTGATTTGCGACTACTTTGGGTAGTCGCGAAATAGTTTCAACACTTATATTTGCGACTACTTGCGACATTTGTTGTAGTGGCAAGATCGATGTTTTCTTGGGACACGTCCTCTCAAGGTATGTTTTACTTTTTCGCTTCAGCCTTTCTGATTAAGCATTCTTATTTGGGTATTTGATTGACCACCTTCTCATCGCTTTTTCTTTGTTACTTGCTCGGTTGAGGCTGTTCTTAAATTATCTAAGCAGTTACTTATGTTGTCTGCATTTAAACATATAATTATCTGATTTTAATTGGAAAGTTGCATCCTTAGTCTCCGGAAATTTAATGACTACTCTCTCATTCATAATTCGTTCTTGTGATTTGAAACAAATAAATGAAGAAAAATTAAATCTTGTGTTTGAAATTTGATATTAATTTCAATTTATTGTGATTCAGAAATGGAACTACGGAGAGTCATTGTCTGCGGACTTCCGACAATTAATGGAACCATACCACAGCTCCACCAACAACCAGATGACAATCAAGCAAGGAGACACATCGTTTGCGGACTGACGGCAAACATAATCATGCCACAGCTCCATCAACAGCCACATCAAGAAGCAAATGATGATCAAGCTGATGTGGTGGAGCTCACAAAGGTACAATACTGGAAAGCTAGGAAACTCTTAATCCGCATTGAGGAAGACGAAGAAGACATTGAGCCAATGTTCAGCCTAGCCCTTGAGAGAATGCTAACCTATGCACGTGAATCTGCTCAACAAAGACGCCCCAAACAAGAACAAGGAGAGTCCTCCCGAGACAAGACTCCTCGTCGAGACTAGCTGAAGAGAAAAATTAAAACATCTGTTTGTTGTGAACTACTCGATGTTTCTTGTAAAACATATGTTAGTTTGTAACATCTGAGAACTAGTAATTTGTATTAAAACCAATTATATTTTTTCTGTTTTTATTTAATTTTAGATAAAATTAATTTACCATTAATATTTAAACAAAATTAAATCTGGGTCCAAATAGCAATTATCAAATAAAAAAACATTTTTAGCAAAATAAAAATAAATTAGCAATCGAAATGTCAATGATTTTTAAAAATGGTATGAAATAACATTTTCCAAAATATGACGAATATATGACATTTTCATACTGCTATTATAGACATAATTTATAACACCGACTAAATGCTATTGTATAATATCTTATTGTGTAATATAAACGCTATTGGTTAAAAACCTATAACGGACTTTGAATGGCTATCTTAAAAATACATAGTATAGCATATATGAAAAGTCTCAGACTTTTTATCGCGGTCGATGACAGAGCGTTTTTTAAAACGCTATCGTTTTTTACGATAGCATTTTTTACGATGCTATTAATACTCGTATTTCCTGTAATGTCAGTTGCATTATCAGTTGAGTAATTGAACATCTCATTTTTTCTTTGAATGATTTGTGTTTTTTTTTACATTTCTTTTCCTCTGCTTTGACTTGTTTAACTCGTGTCTGCTGCCAAGCTTGTTTAAGTATTGAGATAATGCATGCTAGTGTTAGATCTGTGTTAGTTTCACATATGAAACTTGTTGATGATAAATTGAAACTGTACTGCATTTTCTTTTCACATATGGACTCTGAGTTGCCTAAGATACTACATGCAGAAGGAGCCGAACCACTATCTGACAAGATAAACAAGTGTGCAAGAATGTCGATATTGACTGATCTGGCAAAAGGCGTGAAATCAGAGTACGCAGAAGTGAAGCGAGACCCGTTGTTTGCTAAGATCATAGCAATCCACGAGAACCGGCTGCATTTTTCAGCTAAATTGGTGCATAGCTTCATGACCAGGCAGCTTGTCACCGCTAAAAAGCATGAGCTCTGGTTCGTATTCGCAAGAAGGCCATTGCGGTTTTCTTTGCAAGAATTCCATGCTGTCACCGGTCTCAAATGCCAAGACGATGGCAAGTCTGACCAAATAAAGTGGGTTGAAGATGGCGGTTTTTGGAGTACAATGTTTAAGACTCGTGGAAATATTAGCTTCGAGACAATTGATCGCGGGATCAGGTCTTCCCCTTTCCTATCCCTGATTCTGCAAGTGCACAGGTCAGAAGTAGTAAACGGGTATCGAACACAAGGACCAGATTGCACACTACAAGTTATGAGTTTGAGAACAAGCTAGGGCAAAAGTATAAGTTGGTTGAGTGCAGAGAAAGTAAAGCATGCAAGTAATAAAAGTGAGAATTCAATAGGAGAGAAAGGCTAAGCAATAGGATAGTCTTGAGATAAGCAATTCAAGAAGCATGAAATCAATCAATTAGGGTTACCGCACTTAGGTGCTAATCTAGAACTTGAAACACTATGGTATGATCATTCCACTGTCGAGGCTCCGACCCCTTTGTTAATCTACCTAGTCGCTAAACTTTTGGTATGTCCCTAGGTGATTAAATCAAGCATTAGTTCGATCAAGATCAATTGTTCACAACCTACAAGTAGATCAACTGTCGCAGTCTAAAAGAGATTGCCCACCAAATACTAGTTCAGGCGAATGATACAGCACTGTCGAGGCTCAAATCAACCTAAAGGCATATGCTAATTGGCCAGATTAACAACAAGCATTAAGTATAAGCAAAGATGGAGATTATAAGTAAAACCCTAATTGTGATCAATCATCAAGCATACATGAATGCTATCCTTTGACTTCCTATCACTTAACAAGTAAACTACTCAGACATAGAGAAGGAAACGAATTCATATTCATAAGAACAGAGATTCGAATCCTCTCTAGAAAGAGTAACAAGCAAGAACAAAGTAAAAGCAAGCAAAACTTTATTAAGATGTAAAATAGATTGTGGTCTCTCTCCTTCTTGAGTTACAAGGCTAAAAAGAAGTATTTATAATGCTCTAAGTATGAAAGGCGGCTAAACCTAATCTAGCTAGGTCGGCGCCGGCTTTGGGCTTGAATTGTGCGGATTGGGCTTCAAAAACGGCTTCGGGTCGACCGCGGCGTTCGGACGGTCGGTCGGGACGGTCGGCCGGACAGTCGGGTCTTGGCCGAGTCGGAACGGTCGTGGCCGGATGTTATGACGGTCGGCCGGCGTGGTCGGCGGATAGGAATTTGGCCGATGGTTTCTCGGCCGGACGCGGGAGTTTCCCGGCTCGGACGGAGCATCGGCGTGGTACGTGAGGGAGTTGCGCGGCCGCGAGGCGTTACTTCCCGGCTCGCGCGCTTTGGTCGTGCGCGGCGTGGCGTGGCGTTGTGGCGTGGCCGACCGCGGGCAATTTCCCGGGTCGTGATGCGTGATCGGCCGAGTGGTTTTGGACTTTGGCCGAGACTTCAGTCGGACGGACGCAGCTTTGGCCGAGCGCGGAACATGCGTTCCTCGGCCAGCCGGACTGCGCGGTTTGGGCGCTGATTCTCGATAGAGCCGTCTGGAGCAGTCTTCACTCTTTTGGCTATAACTCCTTTTCTACTCATCCAAATGAGCCATTCCAGTTGCGTTGGAAAGTTAACTCAATCAGAGCACGCAGGGAACTGGTCTTGATGAAATCCATTGAGTAGATCTTTTTCTAGCTCCATCCAAAGTTGATGCAGGGGCATTGAACTGGTTTAGAGTCCAAATCTCCTGTTTTGCTCCATAATGCACCTTTTTACCTAAAATGACTCTTTGCACTATAAATCCATAAAAACTACCTTTTAACACAAGAATCCACTAGAAAACCATTAGAAAACCATAGTAAAATAGCATAAAAAGTAGGTAAAATAGAAGTATATCAACAATCTGAAAGCAGCATCTCCATGAGGCCAATAACTGGACTCGTATGGACAGACTCCGGTTGGTGTATTTCTGCGTTGTTGGTCTGCTGATGGCAATAGATGAGAAGAGCTTTGTTTCGCATGAGTACATCAGGCGCATCATGGACATTGATAAGCTACGAGCTTATCCATGGGGTCTGCGCAGCTTTGACCATCTAGTGGATGGTGTGATCAAAGCCAGAAGCGACTTGAGTAAACCAAGCTATGTCTTGCAAGGTTTTGCATATGCTCTCCAGATTTGGATCATGGAAGCTATTCCAGATTGTGGGATTATGTTGGGGAGGAAGCTCAATGAGGTGGACACATCTTCCCTAGATGTTCGAATTGGACTGGGGCTGCAAGAGCAGGATTTCAAGAGATAATCGACTTGGAGAAACTCTAAGAAAAAACGTGAGTAACACTCTCCTATTAATGTCTCTTGTTGTTTCTTATTTATCATGTGTAAATGTTTAACCTCTGTGACACTTTTTTCAGGGTCTTGTGCTATACTCTTTCATCTCAGCCACGGGCAACATGGATGTGATACGGGATCAAGACTTCGTCAGGACTGACGAAATGAGGGATGAAAGAGTTGATCGGATGGAGCAGCTCATCAGTCAGAATCATGATTGGAGTAAACGTCTCTGGGAAGCTGAAGAACCGGTTGACACAGCTCCTGCTCCGGCGTCTGCTCCGGCAACTGCTCCCGCTTCTGCTGCACAGACAGAGTCCGAGGTTGTGCATAACGAGGGCGGTGAAAGCACTGAGGATTTCAGAACGCCTTGCGGTGAGGTGACATCGTCTTCTGGCTCGAGGACTCGAAAGAGGAAGGTCATAGACAAAGGCGCTGAGCAACGCAAGAAGCAATTGTTGTTTCAGCGATCAGTTGCGAGTGCCGACCGTGGGAGTGAATGTTTTATGCGTAATCTCTTTGCCGAGTATGAGAAGAAAATGACGGAGCAGAAAGACGAGAAGTACGAGAAGTTGGCTTCTGATTTTGCAAAGCTTCAAGGGGTGGTGACTGAGCTTAAGGATATGCTCACAGAAGCATTATCCCGTGGAAACAACGGAGAGCCATCCTCACAGTCAAAACCGGTGTCTCAAGTCAACTATGAGCAAAGAAGGAAGGTAAACGCCAACAAGAACCCTAACACTTGATCAAATATCCACTGCTGTGTAATGTTTTTTGTCAAATTATGTATTATGTGAGATAAAACTCTAAGTAGTAATATGTAACGAACGGTTGTCTGTTCTAAACATGTTGTAATAACTATTTGTTTGAAATAATTTCAGTAGGATAAAACCGTAACTAATGATTGACTTTTCTTTAACCACAGGCACAGTTTGATGTTTCATTAGACAAACTGGTTGACATTAACCTAACCCAAAGCTCGGAGATCAACTTTGGTGAGAATACACAAAGTTATCTCTTCAGAAAGCAAGGCCATCTCTCACAAGACTCCTTTGTCCCCGGATTTGATCCATCCCAGCAATCCAAGGACAAATCTAAGAAATCGCAGCCGAGAAACCAAAAAGCAAAGGTGAACACATAATAAAAACCCCAAATCTTCACCAATTAACTAGTGCTTGTATTTGAGTAGACATTGGTTTGGTCTTTTTCTGTTTTCATTGTTACAATTTCGTTGATTATTTTGAGAAGTGGCAAAACTTTTCTTTACTTTGACCACTTTTGCCATCAACAAGTCGAGTAGATAGCAGTGACAACTCATCAACAAGTCGAGTAGATACCACTTTAATGAAGAGAATCAATTACACATCAACGGCAAAGACAAAATCCAGATCAGTTAGAAATTTGATTTTTCCGGTTTAACTCCGATTCAATTAAATCGTACCGGTTACTCCGGTTGGTTTGACAGAATCAGCACACAGGAAATAATGAAACGAAAACGATGTCGTCATGCATATCTGGTGTTCTTCTTTTCATGGGATCATAAATTGTAAGCTGAGAAGAACCCTAGATTCCGATTTCGCAAGTCATTCTAAATCGATCCCACAGAACTCTCTGATTTCGGAGATTTACGGTGAGTCTTTCGTTTTAATCCAAATATGCTTCCTACTTTAGAGTATACATCTCGAATTTTTGCTTCTCCTTTTCGTATTTTCGAGTTCTTCTTATATGTTCGTCAGTTATTTTGTGTCTCGGTTTCACCAGCCGATCGTGTGCCATGAGTAACATGTGTGGAGCTTCTAGTGGGTCGTCAATTGTTCGTCCAAGAGGGAGAGTTTATGGAGTGCCAAAAACTTTTTCATGTGGAGAAAAAATCGTGGAATTGATTTCCAAATCCAACACCAATCCGTACCGACGTTACTATCATTGCGGATATGCTGTAGCTAGTAAGGTAATTTTCTTCCATAACCATAGCATTTGATTCATTGTTTTTGTAATGTCGATTTTGAAAAATAGGTTTTTCTATGGATGTAGTTTCTGAATCATGACCACATATTCAAGTGGGTTGATGAGGCTGCTCACTTAGATGAGATAGAGGCATTCAAAATTGAAAATGCAAGACTTGAGGAAAAACTTGAAGCGGTTACAATTGAGAGGATGGAGTTTGAGAGGATTGTGTTTGAGAAGGTGCAAATGAAGATTGAAAAGGAGATATTTGACAGAGTGGAAGAGGCTTTGGTTGAATCATCATCTACTACAAAGGAAATGATGATTGGTGCAATCATTTTGTGTATGATGATGATTGGGTTTAGTAAGCTATTAAGTTGAAGAGGTTTAGAAATATGATCTTGTCTTGGAACAACCTTGTTTGATGTGTTCAGTTGTTAACATTGTGTACTTGATATAGTCTTGGCTTGTCTTGATTAATACAATCTTGTCTTGGATTTTGCTTTGTCTACTTTGCTTGTGTTTTGTCCACAAACAGTGTATAATCATTACCTAAACCAAACTGCATTACAAAGACCCCAGCATGTTCGATTAAACCCTAAACTAACCTAAGTGTACGCTCGATTAAACCAAAATGCAGCACTCGACAAACAAACAGAAACAAAACATGTTTCTGTCTTGGAACAGCAAAGAACATAAGAGTCTTTCTCCAAACAATTAAAAGAACAGAAACAAAGATAACAGAAAGAAAGATAAGAGAAACAAAGAAAACATAAACATAGAAAACAGAAACAAAGATAACAAATGGAACATGTCCATACTAGATTGGCATGTCACATGTAGCTCTATTGTGTCCTGGCGTATCACATCGACTGCACTTGTGTGTCTTCTTCTCTTGCGATCTTATCTTGTCCTCAACAAATTCAAAGCGTCGCTTTCTTCTCCAACCAGCAGCTCTGCGTGATTCTGGACAAGAAACAATCTCTTGTTCAACAACTTGCGGGACACTCCATGCATCCTCAGGAACACCTATTGGATTTAGAGCTTCTTCATACCCAATTCTCCATAACTGAGTTTTCCACATCTCGCCAGTGTATTCATGTGGTTGCTTTCCTATTGCAAAAATTGCTGGGATCGCATGCCTATATGTAATTTTCTGCAGATCATACTTGGCGCATGTACGTGTTCGCTTTGCCAAATCAACCACACATTCGTAGATGTCACCTCCCACCACAAATCGAGTTGCATCTATTTGCTGAATCGTGAATGCTTTACCCTTTTCTATCCTTCTATTAATCTTCTTCTCAACAGCAATGGTTAGAGGATGGTTATGTTTCGAGCTCAATCTTCTACCCTTAAAGAACCACCTTGTCATCATTTCTCTAATGTTGTCTAGTAGAGGGATGATACTAGGATTTTGCTATCAATTTTCCTAAAGCATGTATCTATCGCTGCAGTACTTTAGGTATCAATCCAATCAGGTGTGATGCTAGCAATCAAGATGTGACAAAGCTACTTAATTCAAGCCAAACAGTTTAGGTGGTTATGACAGTGAACTCAATAGATCGAGTCGGTAAACTGATATATCCATATTTTGCATATTTCCAATTAGTATTTTCATGTGTTTTTAAGTACTTTAATAACGGTTTTATGCCTTTGGAGGTAGTTTTCTTGTATTTATTGGTTTTGGAGTCTTAACAGGGTAAAATATCAAAAAGGATGAAAAAGAGCAAAAGAGCCTCAAACCATGATCCATGCAAGTTTCCAAGTCCAGAGCATCAATTTATCTCCAAGTGTCAATTCTCGCTATCGAGCATAAACGAAGCTTCGGAAGTTTGGCCGCGAACGGAGGACTTCCCGACGTCCAAAGGAGATGATCTTGGTCTTGCTGTATAGATATTTGAGTAATTCATCGCGTCGAAGTAGAATGAGGCAATTTGGATCAACCATCAAGGAGAAACTCATTTTATACCGAGACATGTTCGGATAGCGATAAGATGAGGCCCATGGAGGATTTGGAGTGTATAAAGGCCCGAGCAACCGCGGCCTGAGCCTTGGATCGCTCAAGACGAAGCCTAGATAATGTTTGGAGTCTTCTTTGGCGCAATCCCGGCCCATACACAGGCCCGGCTTAACTTTTTAGAAAGCCTTAGGCAAAACAAATTCTTGGCCTTTTTTTACAGAGAAATTTAAGAGCAAAAGCACTTTGGGCTTCTTTAGAAAGAAATTTTAAGAAAATAAAGAAATTGGGCCTGTTAAGAAAATTCGAAAATTTAAAGTGGACCCATGGCCTTCGCTCCTCTCGCCTACCCCTTGAGCCGGGCCTGCCCATACACGTCGTGAAACTTCAAGCCCGGCTCATAGGAAACTTTCCATTTCCGGTTCTTCAGTACCCTAAGAGACTCCAACCTATAAACACTTGCTTTTAGCCTCAGAAGAAGTGTGTGTCGAGGGTGTCTAGGGTTGGCCGTCAGAGAGAAGTCAGAGGAGCTGCGCAGTCCAGGAGGAAGAGGAAGGAGGCGCTGTTCAAGAAGACCCTAGCTCACATAAAATCCTTATACTCTTTGTTCTTCTTTTCTTTTGTATTGGATCTAAGAGTTTCAAGGGAGAATCCGACTTTGTTCATCAATAGAGAAGCTTTCTTCATCCCTTTACCTCTTTTAATACTTACATAATGTCTTCAATCTTGTTTTGCTTGTTTGTTTGCATTATGGCTGAGTAGATCTATTGCTAGGCTAATGGTGAATCAATGAGTTCATGAATTATCAACTTTAATCTTTTGATCTTGTGAGTTGGGATTATATTTTGAGTTTTTCACCTTTACTTGAGCATAATGCTGTTTGCTTTTCTGATCATCTAGCATCAGATCTTGGGTTAATATACTCTCCAAAAGCTTGCTATATTGCCGGAACTAGTATTTGGTGAGCAATAGGTTATGGCAAAGTTGAGTTGTTGACTATTGTGAACAATTGAATCTCGAACCTTGTAATGCATGTTTACAACTTGTAATAACCAACAGAAGCTGAGTCTATTAGGTTGATTAAACATAGTGGTTGGAACCACGAAAGTGGAAAGACTATATCTTAGTGATTTGAGTTCAAGAACGATAATGAATCCCTTTCACTTGATTGCTTGTTGATAATTTGTGATGCTTTGCGATTTGCCTAATGCCTAGTACTTTTCCTTATTGTTTACACCTCATTATAATCATTTCTTTGTTCTCTTTTTCTTTGTTACACACAACCTCTCATATTTTGTTCTAGCTTGATTTTCAGTCTACATAAGTTTGAAGTGAAATAACATCTCCTTGTGGTTCAACCCCGAACTATACTACTCTTTTGCTGTGCACTTGCAGTTGTGTTGGTTGGGTTAATATTATCACTTGAAGAAGCTAAACCCAGCCTCCATCAAGTTTTTGGCGCTGTTGCCGGGGAGATTGTTTCATTTTCTTCAAGCTTTTTGATTGAATTCTAGTCTATTTCTTATTTTCTTGCAATTTATTTTTTCTGTTTTTCAAAAAAAATTCAAAAAATCATAAAAATTTGCTTACTTGTTTATCTTCTCTTTCATTTGTTTTCAGGTGCATCACAAGAAGTTCCAACTCAAAACAAGGAGACATAGAAGAGAAAGAATGGACTTGATGAGCTTTTATGCAATTCCCCCACCGGTTAGGCAGCATCAAGAGGAAGTGAACAACATTGGTGGAAACTTCGTGTATAACGTCTATCAAGGAGCTCAATACCAGCCTAATCAACAATTCTATCCCAAGGGAGTCCATCAGGTGGAGCATCCCTTCACTTTCCCTCAAGCTGTTGCACCGGCTCAACAAGAAGAGAAGTTAGATGTGGTCTTCAAATGATACATGGAGGAGCAAAGGCAAACCACCCAGAGCCTCTATGAGAAGCTAGATCGTGTCTTCACTGATCTTTGCAGAAAGTTTGGATCTCTCTCCTCTCATGTCCAGAATTTGGGGGTTCAAACAGTCCAAACCGCGGAAGCCGTAGAGAAACAAAATGAGGTAACCCCTACAACATTTTGTAGCATTGTCTCACCTAAGGAGGACCAGCTCGTCCCTGTACCTACCCGATCTCAAGAAGTAGAAGAAGAAGCTGAGCCTAAGGAGAGCCAAAACCCGGAGAAGTTTCCATGGGAGTCAAAGAGAGCATACAAGAGAAGGCTTGTGAACAAGCCATTGCCAAAGCTAGAAGATCCGGGGAAGTTTGTGATTCCTGTTTCTATCAATGGGTGTGAAATCAATGACTGCCTATGTGATACTGGAGCTAATGTGAATCTCATGTCTTATGCATTAGCAAGAGATTTGGGATTCAAACATTTTAAAGATCCTAAGGCAAAGATGGAGTTCGCGGAGCATTCATGTGTGGAGCCCTATGGAGTTATAGAAAATGTTATGCTGGAGATAGGAGGTCGCCTAGTCCCTACTTATTTCCAAATCATGGTATGGGAAGGATCAAAGAGGAACCAGCTGCTACTTGGATCACCTTTCTTAGCCTCAGCCGGTGCACTCATAGACTTCATGAGAAACTGCATGTCACTAGGAAATATTCAACAAGATGTTTTCTATCAAAGCATCGACTTCAAGACAGCACCAAGAGCGATAAAACTACCACCAGAGAAGGCTACTAAGATACCAAAGACGGGAGCCATGTTGCCTAAAGACCCCAAGCAGAGTGAGCCCCAAAACCGAAGGTGGCCATGAAACCATCAATGCTGAAACATAAAGATGTCTACTCGGTTTTGCTCCCTACCTTGGACGAATATGGAGCTAATGAGAAGCCTTTTGGAGTGCCTAATTCCCTTACCAAGATAAGAATCCTTGTCTCTAAGGGTTGGGTCCTAAAAGAAGATCATACCGCAAAGGAGAAGCTGAGGAACACCTTAATGCTCTTCCCAAGTGCATTTGTCTTCAAAGGTGGCATAGGAGATGATTTTGGCGTGCCCAAACCACCACGTGAGCCCCCTGAACCAGAGAATGGAGAAGATAAAGGGATCCTAAACCTTTTGATCACTCTTCCAAGCACTTCAAAAGAAAAGGAGTCAAGCTACATGACTTCAAACAAAGCGCTTTGTGGGAGGCAATCCACATGGTTTTTATTTTCATTTTTAATTTTCATATTATTAATGCATGCATAACTACTTAGTTTTATTTTTCAGGGATTTTTAAAAAATTGCGTAAAAATACAAAAAAAAAAGTTTCTAGGATGAAGACCCAAAAGGAGACCAGTACATGAAAGTGTCCCACCCAATGTTCCCACCCTTAAACAAGGCGACATCTCCATTTCAGGTAAGTAAATTCTTCTCAATCATTCATTAAAAACCATCTCTGATCTTAAACCCATGAGCATTTGAACCATTGCACTTCATTAGATACATTTCATGGTTTAAATAGCTTAAAATTTTGATGGTAAATGAATGAGAATGAATATTCACTTGTCAAACTCATCTTGTGCATTGATTTCACTTATAATAAACTATATGTTGGACTTGGGATCTCTGGTCATGATTCACAATGTTTTTATAGTTTATACCTTTTATCTTAGATTGAGAACTTTAAGCTGACCACTTGAATATCTCAGTCTAAGACCAAATCTAATCAGTGATTTCAAGTGTTTTTCAAGGACTTCACTATTTGACAGGAAGGATATTCAGAAGAGTTGTTGTAGCCAACCAAAACCACCATACCTATAGCGGTTGAAAGGAGGTTTCAAAGGAGGATCTTACACAATCACAACGAAAATGGCGGGAACCACCTGGGAACGGTAGAGGAAGGATAAAAAATTGATTTGGTCGAACCACATCTCATTTGGCCCGAGTAGAGTTGAAGATACAGTTGGAACCAAATTTTTAAGCCAAATGGGCTGAATAAAATTGTGGACAAGTGTGAAAAGAAATGAGCTTAGGCTCATGTAAAATTAATGAGAAAGTTAAGTGAGTTAAATGAAGGAGCACTTCATTTGTCCCAAATTAGAAAAAAAGAATAATGTCAAGAATAAATCTTCGAGAAACTTCTAGAAAGATTGAGTTAAATTTATGTTTGATAAACAAGAAATTAATAATATAATTCTTCCTTATCCCTTAATTAATGGAATAATGAAACACTCCAGCAAATCTCTCACATCTTTTCCTTTCTTCTTTAAAAGTAAGTCTCGAGAGTATAGCGTAGTTATTTAGTTCGCAGATTCTGTAGTTGGGTGTTGCAACTATAGTCTCACACAGTTGTATCCTGGGATTCAAAAGTCTCATCAAAACCGCCACACTGCGGGAGATTTATTGAGTTAAGGAAAGAGATAAAATCTCGCCTCTGTGTATTCGTCTGTTTTCAATCGGATTTTTACTATATATTATTATTATATAAGAATTTCATTCGTATTTTTCAATCTGGATTTTCGCGGTCCTACAGTCTTAACTCAATAAATCCGATCCTGCTTATCGCTTGAATCGGATTGAAAATTTGCGAAACAGTTTTTTCTTATATGATATTATAAAACGGTTTTCTTATTGATCAGAAACAGTTCTGTGAAAGTTTTATAGCTATTCAGCAGAAAGTTTCGATCTCAAAAAAGACGAATATCATTACTTGATAAAACGATTTACGCGACAGCTTTAGCAGGATCGCGAAACGTTTTTTCAACTCTATTATATCTGATCTCTGATCTAATATAACGTTTAAGAGCAAGTCTCTGTGAACTTAGCGAATCCCAATGGTATGCTTGCTTCACAAATGAAAGAACATAGAATGAAATTAACAAAAAAAAAAACTGTACGGAAAGATAAAGTGTCTCCTTCTTGGGCAGGGAAGATCCTTCTTTATCAACCGGTGAAATCGAACAAATTAAACAGAAAACCCTAGTTTTGGTAAAGAGATGGAGGAGATCGGAACATGAGGCGAACGGAACCGTCAAATGACGCATGAAGCTTTGGTAAAGGAGAAGGAGGAGATCTGAAATTGAGTGATGAAGTGGACGAGTGGGATTAAAAATAATCTAGTCTCGTAAGAAAGAATCACAGTCTACGGACGACTGAGATTGCAAGATAAAAATAAGAATTAAAAGATCCAACGGTGTACGCTTCTCTAATGCTAATCTGAGTGATTACTTTTAATTGGCTCCCATAGTGTAGGTGTTCATTTTAATCATGCCCCAATTTTAAAAGCTTGTAATAATTTATTTAAGTACTTCTACTATATGAATTTTGTTATAAAAAATATCATAATTCTAATTTCAATATTTTGTAATTTATGTATAATTTCAAAAAAAGAAACAAAAAAAAACGAAAATTAGAGTTTGAAGAAGGGTTTAAGATGAAAGAGTGAATCAAAGAGTATGTAACTTATCTAATACTTTGTAACCTATCAGATTTCATATTGTAAATATAATATCATATTCATTTGATTTTAAGATATGTATTGTTCCATCTGAGTTTCTTAATTTGTCAAAATAATTTCCTAAACCATAATGAATGCCCTAAACCCTAAACCATTTGTCAACTTACCCTAAATCGTAAATTATTGGTGAAATAACTAACCAATAGTATGATTACATGTTTCATTGATATAAGACCATCTCCATCCCTAAAACCATGTTTTTGGTTCTAAACCATTTTTTATTATTACTTTTCACATAAATCAATGTTAATACCTTTTGTATGGTTTCTAAATTTTTTCTTCCTGCATCCCTAAAACTTTTTATTTGGTTCTTAACAAAAGTTTTACAAAATTTATAATTTTGAACATAATATATAAAAACATAAAATATATTGCATTGCAACTATCTTTTAAATGGAGTCAAATCTTAAATATGCATATGAAAACCTGAATCAAAACGAACAAGTCGACAAGGCTTCTCAACAAAGTTTGTAATTAAACCACTCAGATTCTTCTTCTCCTTCATCTAGCGCAGAGCCAGACAACTCTCAAACCCAGACACCGTCTGCTATTTTGTCCTGTTTAGCTAGTGAGACCTTAAGTCCATCCATACCAGGAGCTTTAACCACTGAAAACACAGCCAAAAAGATGAGAAAGAAGACAATCTTCATATATGAAAACTCGGATAGAGAAGAAGAAGACATAGAAAGCAACTAACGCATGTTAGAGCTCGTCTCCTGCTCCCAGTTTTCCGAGAAAGCATGTTTAGGCATTTCTACTTCAATCAAAGCAAGTTTTGGTTCCACTCTTTGAGTCAATCCTCTTCCTTTTGAGTTACCAATCAACCAGTTTCGATCCCATCTAAATCCTGAGCAAACAAACATAAAAATCTTAGCTTTTCTACTTTCGCAGCAACATAACAACAAAAATGAATCATTCTCACATCTAGTCTCAGACAATTTTTAGAGCATCCATTATCATTAATGACAGCACCAAGTCAATTTTTTTTTTCACACAAGAACTTACAGAATCACACTCAAACCTACTTAGAACATCCTTAGTTTTCATTTCAATTCAATGATGGAGAAATCATCAAGAAGAATCACAACGTTAAGCACAAGTGTCTCTTCATTGTCCCAAATCGGAAACACATACACCCAAAAAAATCTCAACCAAACGCATAGAAATTAAAACACAAATAACTTGCATCAAACAATCTCAACCAAACACAAACAGAACCTATATTTTCAAGGTCTAAAGAGGACCAAAACACAACCAATTGCATATATTTTCAAGTCTAAAACGAAAACACATACATCCAAAACCAAAACCATCGATAACAGAAGAGAGAAGAGAAGAGACTTAGGTTTGTGATCGGCGTTAGTGAGATCCACAAGCGCAGAAGAAGTGACGACGGTGTAGAAGAAGAAAAGAATCATGACCGGAAATCGGAGGCAGAGAAACAGAGAAATATGGACAGAGCGAGTGAGATTCGTCGCAGGGCGCGAAAGAGAGACACCGAGATCATATTTCCCGATCAAACGTCGGCCAGAGCCTGATCGACGGAAGGAAGCCGATTCGATTCGGCGGAAAAACGAGAGAGAGAGAGAGCGAAAAAATGAGTTTTTTTCTTTTTGTTTTTTTTTTCAATCGTTGAATTAATCTTGTGTCGACGTGTGTCGGGTTTTAAACCCGGAAGAAAATCTCTCGCTAAAAACGTGGTTCCAGAAATTTTATTTCTTTTTCATTTTCTTATTTCCATCTACTGACAGAAAACTTCTTTAGAATCCACCTATGAACCCGCGATGGAGATGCTCTAAGGTTTATAGAGAATTTCTCATTATTAGGGGTTTAATTAATCTAAACCCTAAACATACACTAAATGAAAATAACCTGTAATTGCAGACCTGAAACATATGTTTTTTATATAGGGTTTTGTGAAAAACAACCAGCAAAGTAAATTAAATTTGCAAATCTAACTTTCAAATTAAATCTATGCAAATCAAACTCTTCAAGTGAAAAGTCACTCGCTAAACAAGATATTTCTATATTGACGAGTGTCAACGTTAACAATCCGTAAAAAAAGAAACGGAAAAACAAAAATGTTGTTATAAATAAACTAAAACTGTACCACTATATTTATATAGTGGATGATTAAGTTTAAGTAATAAAGAAGAAGAAGGAGGTGTGATAGAGAGAGAGAGTTACATATGTAGGTGAGAAGGAGATGGAGAGAGATAGGTTGTACGTGGAGGAAGAAGGAGAGAATTATAGAGTGAATTTCTTTCTATTGAACCTTCTGTTTTGTACTAAACTTAAACTTAATAACAAGCATCGAACTCTCTATTTATAGAGGGACTAAAATATTAAACTATGACAAGTCGGTAACTTTGAAGTCGGTAAGATAAACTTAGTGTAGAAGTAAATACTTAAATATTCATAGGGGATAATTATCCTTTTCAACAAACGTATCATTTTAAAATTTAAATCTTTAAAAACAACATGATGTTTTAATCAGTTTATATTTGTTAAAAATATTTTTTTTACAAATGTTTTTATTGCCTTTGCTTTGTCTTCTCCAATGGCTTCGCGAGTTTGCCCGATCTGGCTCTAAACCCCTTCATCGCCGTCAAAGTCAACACTAGTTTCCGTTTCACTACAATATAACGCTAACCACATCGGAATCTATGTCAATTCCATCTTCTCCTTCGCCTCCATCGAGGGATGGATCTAGAGTGGGAGAGAGATGATGGCTTGGATTGAGTCTAGCCACGTCCTCAATAAAATCAGAGTTTGGGTTAGATATTTCAATCAAATCAGAGTTTGGGTTAGATATTCAGGAGATAAACATAAGACTCTGGTTTTAGTCGCAAGGATTTATCTCACCGGAAAATTCAAACTCTGATTTCGAGAAGAATCCCAGAAAAATTCACTATTTTGGAATTTCGATTTTGGAATTTCATCCCTGGTTTGGCTGCAATTGTGATCCTCACTTAGTTTGAGCAAGAAGAAAATTGTCAATATTACGAATCCAAGGCTTAACAAGATCCCTGGAATATTATTATTGGTTGAGATAAAATTTTCAATATCGAAATTCAACGAGAATCACAATCGTGGGTCAAGGAGCTTCATAAAATGTGTACAGAAACTTAATTTCTTAATCAGATCTGTGGCCGTGAAAGCTTTGATCAAGCTTACTACACTGTAATCGAAATAGTGAGAAGGAAAGGGGGAAGGGGAAGAAGACGGAGAAAATGGAGAGTTGGGTTTTTCACTTTCTTTTTTAATTTTATTACAATTGTATTTTATTATTTCAAAAACCGTATGAAGTTTGCTTTGTTTTTGACAAAACAACACGATTTCTATTTACTAAAATGCAGTGTTTTGAGTCAACGTTTATATTTAATGACAACTACACGAACATTTTGTTTAGCGGGTGACTTTTGATTTGGAAGATTTGATTTGCACAGTTTTAATTTCAAGGGTAGATTTGCAAATTTATTTTAGTTTACGGGTTTTTTTGCACCAATCCCTTTTACTATCACATGCCAAAAAATTAAATTATATTGTCACCTGACTCATTATGAAAAGTTAAAAAAAAACCTTGAAATAATATTTGTTTTAAAATGCAGCTCGTTTCATCAATGTCAAACATAGGAGAATAAGTTTTACAACTACAACAACTCAGCAGAAGAAAATAAGGTCTTAGAGGAACAATAGCTTGTCGTTTGGCCAAGCAACCGTAGTGCCTAATGCATCAGATATGTAGACAACCTCTGAATTTGGTCTCCACACAGCTGCTTCACCAATCTTGACAACCTCTACCCAGACCTTGCTGACATTTTCACCTAATGGAACGTGATGGACAAGATCTGTTGGATTGGTAGAACACACTTTGCCTTCAGCTATTGTGCATCCAGAGTTATTGAAATCTAGTAATATGCACTTCTGCTTTGGACTTTTGGTTGTCGACGTGCTGTAACTTGTACTCTATCACCGAGAAGCATATAACAAAGTTGTTAAACATCTATCACAGGAAACATAACAATTATAAGGTGAAACAAGAAAATTAGGAAGTTAACTTCAGAGGATCTTCTCATTACTGCTTCCCGTGGAGATACTTGTTCTCGTGCAGATGCTTCATCGGCTGGTTTAGTAGGTTATATCCTATTGATTGGCCATGCGATATTTGCATTAAGTGCATCACCCATCAAAACCATTTCCGCAGTTGGTCTCCATAAAGAAGCTTCAGAGTTTATCACAAGATCAACTTTCACAATAGCAGCAAACCGACCAAAAAAAATCTTGTTAATCAGCTCTTTCGAGTTAGTGGAAATGGTTACACCCGCGTCAACAACTTCATCTAAGGCCCAATCTAAAATTTTGCATCTTTCAATTCCGACATCAATACTACTATCTTGCAGTCCCATATGTTCTAAGTTAATAATCTAAGAGATAATGTAATAACGTTTCTAATAAACTCTCAGGTAGAGTTAAATTTACCTTGGATCCATCGTTACTGGCATTGATGTTCAGTATCAGTTTATCATTAGGCCACGGATTTTGGCTCCCACAACATCTCCAAGTGTGTAAATTTCCGTTGTTCGACGCCAAATACCTGCTTCTATGTCCAAAACCGTCTTGATAATTACTGCAGCAGCGTTACGACCAATAGAAATTTTACCAATCTTGTAATCTTTATCAGCAGAACAAAATTCTCCCTCTGTGACAACAACATCTTCATTCGCATACCAAGCCAATATCTGACATTTTACTCCTCTGTTGACATCACCAACTTCGTTTTGAGAAGCCATATCCCCAGGGTTTCCCTGTATTACACGGAGAAATCATTAAAAAACACAAGTTGTTATTCAGGTGCATGATTCACAATATGATTACAAGTGAAAGACTTACCTTATTTCCAGCTAAGTCATGGAACAATTTGTACAAGTCTTAAACCTCGGTTTGCAATTCTTCAATTCTTGAGTCTCTAGCTTGAAGGAATGCTAGCTTCGTTGCAGTGATCACTCTACCCATACCTCTGACACGTCCAGGTTTGTCTTTACCTAAAATCTTACTCATGGCATCTTCTCTTATATTATCACCTGATGTAGAGTCCATTTGACTATCAAGAGTTTGTATTTGTTCCTGACACAGAAAATAAAACAAAATAGCCATCATGTATACTGTCGGAAACTGCATCTGACAACAAATTAATGAACCACTGAATTCTTACAAATGTGTCAGCAAACTCAGGCCTCACAGGCCTACCATCGGAATGAGTATGTCCTGCAATCCAAACCTTACTCCTATTGATCTTTTTTGGATCGTCAGTATTAGATTTCTACAAAACATAGTACTTAGTTGTCAGCAATTCTCCAACTCATTGAAGCCTTACATTTATTGAGAAATAGACTGACCATTTCATGAGCTAGGCGATGCATTCCTTTGCGACTAGTGGTGTGTGGTATCTGAGCCCTCCTCAATCCCCTGTACCAGTCGCTTTTCTCCTACAAATATAAACCAATTATTTTATGTTACTGAAACAACTTAGTAACGGATAAGTGTTCAGAAAAGGAGAAGAGTTAAGAAAAGCTTAGTAACCTGAAAAGCTTTGCTAGTCCTACTCTTGACCCAAGCGTTCCATGCATGAACAGATGTGATGTTGCTTGGTTTAAGCTCAACTCTCTGCGCTACTCTTTGCATCTCGAATTGCGCCTACAAGTCTAGACTTCCCAGACCTCCACAAACAACCCATTTGTCTGAAAACCGCATCTTTTTGCCATTGATGTTGCAAATCAAACCTCGCCTAAAGCAAATTAAAACAAAGTTAGACATGGTTAAGATAACCAAAACAATGGACATGAACCAACTAATCTACCCTCACATGTATATCCTCCCATAGTGTATCCTTCGTTTGAGTATCCACTTTATCCCACCGATTATATAAAACTGGAACATGTTCTCGCACAAGAACACCGAGAAATGATGATAGTGTTACTGAACCGGATCCTGCATGTTCACCGACCTGACTGAATAACACTTTCACTCTGTCTTCAGGATCTTTGGCCACTTTACGCATTCTGGTTGGTCCTCTTTTTCTTTTTTTCTTGGTGTTTGAATTTGGTGTCTCAGCCGTCTGACTGTCAGGCAATATTGTTGCTGCATCAGTGTGGTTAGACTCTGGTGCTTGTGCCACAATATTTTCAGATGCGTGTTCCTTATTCATAGTTTGATCTGCCACATGCTGATCACCTTCTTCAGCGTTCGCTTCTTGGCCTGCATCATCATGTTGAGCATCTTCTTTAGCGTTATGCATCATCATGTTGATCATCTCCTTCTGTATCAACTCCAATTCTCGCAGAATCAGTCAAACCATGTCCTAGTTCAACCACTTCTGAAATCAACTTTCTCTTTCGCTTTTTCTTACCCCGTAGAACAGGAGGAGTGTCCGTCAAGCCTTGGTGAGGAACATTTCGATTGCTTAACCCTCCACGCATCAACACCATGTTTTATCCTGAAACACCTAACCAAAAAAGTAGAGTTAAAATCATATTGCCTACCAAACTCTGCATATACTAATCTGGCACTATGACTCCTTCATAGTCATCCCTAACATAGAAACTCTCATCATCAGAAGATTGATTTCCCAAATCATCAACTTCCTGAACTGATAATGGTGCACCAACAAATTCCTCCTCTGTCTCCAACTCGTGATATCCCCTTGGAGGTGCCCTCATAACAACATACCACGACGAGGAATCATTTTCTCTGGAATAGAAGACTTGTTTAGCTTGTGATGGGAGTATGTACGGATCTCTCATATATGGCGACTGGTTCATATGAAGGTTCACCAAAGTGAAGCCATCTTCTTCTTTCAGTCTGTATCCTCTATTGGCCCAACTGCATTGAATAATGGTACGTGAACATGTAGTAATCCACAAGTATGATCTCCTTGATCACTCCATAATATGTAACTATGTCAGCTGTCTGTCTTGTATCGCGTGCTGTTGATCTGCACATGCTGAAAGCTTCGTACGTGACTCCACTATTCTATGTCTTCCGCTTAACATCTTCAGTATGAAAGCGATGGCCGTTAATGACAAATCCTTTATAGCTTTGTGCAGTATGCCTAGGTCCAAAAGCCAACCACCTCAGCTTCAACGAGTGATCCACCGAGTTAGAAGGAATCTATTATGAGAACAAAAATGTTAGTGGCAGACAGTGACAAATAAAATCATCTCAAACATAAGAGGTTTGGATCAAACATTTGTCTTTATCCAGTCTACAAATTGCTCTGTATGAAGTTTCTATAACGCCATTTCATTCGTAGCACATCTCACATCCCGAGCTTGCAATTCTTCTTAATGCATCATGATTATTCCATTAGATTAGACAACTAAATTATTTAGAGCAAAAGTCTGAAAAAAAAAAGTGGCAATATGATTTCACTTACTCTACATATGGATCCATGATCGCCAAATTCATCAAAATGTATTGATGTGCTATGTCTTTATCTCTATCCGAAAGAGTAACATTTGTAGCCTTTTGCAATGGCCGACCTTCGAGAACATTTCCATCAGCATGAACATCTTCATTGCGGTTCACTGGTTCTTGAACTGGTACAGACTTACGCAAGAACTCCATACAGAAAGCTATGCATTCTCCTGCCAAATAACCCCTCAGCCATACATGCTTCCGGTCTTGCATAATTTTTCACATAAGCCTTAAGTGTTTTCGTGTACCTGAAGTGAAATTAGAAACTTAATTAGAGGAACAGCATATAGTCAACTTAATTAGAAACTTAATTAGAGGAACTTCATACCTCTCAAATGGATACATCCACCGGAAGTGTATTGGGCCTCCTAATCGTACCTCCCTTGCTAGATGTAAAGGAAGGTGGAACATGATATCAAAAAGTGATGGAGGAAAGAACCTCTCCAATTGGCACATCGTCTCTGCAATCTAAGACTCCATGGAGATCATCTTCTCGGGGTCAATGACACGCTGACACAATCTGTTGAAGTAATTGCATACTCTATTCACAGCAATCGTAGGTCCTTTTGGCAGCAAGCCTCTCAACGCAGCAGGTAATAAATTCTGGATAAGAACATGGTGATCGTGTGACTTCAGACTTCCAATCATGGGAGGTTTAACTGATATACAATTGGCGAAATTCCCGCAGTAGCCATCAGGGCCTCTGAACTTTGATAACCTCTGGGTAAATATAAATTTCTCTTCCTTGGACAGCCCGTAAACTGCTGGAGGCAGATACGTTCTTTTTCCTCTTGCCTCTGCGTGCAAGTGTCTACGAATTCCAATGTCGTCTAAGTCTTTTCTTGCTTTCAATCCATCTTTCGACTTAGAGCTTTGCATCAATGTAAACAGAATAGCATCAGACAAGTTCTTTTCCACATGCATCACATCAATGTTGTGACGCACCAGCAAATCCTATGACATGAGAAAACAAGTTATAAGCCCTACACGTTTTCTCAAAAAAATATTAAAAAGTTATTTCACAGGAAGTACGTAGACAATGTATTACCTTCCAATACGGAAAATCAAATAATATTGACCATTTCTTCCACCGCCACTGATCAGTGGACTCTTCATACTCTTCAGACGGACCTGCCTCACCTTCTAATAAATCAGCTCTTTTCCTTTTAGATTCCTTATCCTGAGGTCTTCCAAAATCATTTCTGAAGTCTTTTAGTACCTCATATATTTCATAACCCGTTTGAATCCTCTTTGCAGTCCCTTCCTCTACTGTGTTATTGAACCAAGCCTTTCTGCACCTATAAGGATGACCGGATCTTAGACACCTCTTGTTGCCCATATATACATACTTCCGAATAAACTTCAACCACCTATGTGGTGTATCCTTTCCACAAACATTACACGCTTGCTTACCCTTAACTTTACATCCGGTCAATGTCCCTAAGGCTGGATAGTCACTGATACTCCACAACAGAAGAGCTCTTAGTGTAAAGTTCTCTTTCAAGTATGCGTCATAGACCTCAATTCCCTCATTCCACAAATCCTTTAAATCATCTACCAGTGGAACTAGGTAAACATCTAATATTGTTACTCGGAGCTGTTGGACTAGGAATCAACAAAGTCAACATGATATTCTCAGCCTTCATACACATAGTAGATGGCATGTTGTAATTCATTAGCAGCACTGGCCACGTACTATACTTAGTATTCTGTATGGAGAAAGGGCTCATCCCATCCGTAGAAATACCTAATCTAAGGTTTCTTGGTTCAGCAGAAAATTCAGGCCATTTATCATTCACATGTGCCCAAGATAAAGAATCCACATGGTGTCGCATTGTACCATCTTCAGATTTATTTCTGGAATGCCACTGTAAATCCTCGGCAATCCTTACAGATCTAAATATTCTCCTGAATCTCTCTTTTATCGGAAAATACCTAAGGACCTTCGCAGGAATCCCCTTCCTTTCCTCACCACTGTGCTTATCTACCTCTCATCTACACGCACTACATCTTGGGCAGCTTTCTATCTTCTCAAACTTCTTCCGGTATAGGATACAATCGTTCTTGCATGCATGAATCACATCATATCTAATCCCAAAAACCTTCAAAAACTTCTTCATCGCATATGTAATCTTTGGCAGCACATTGTCCTCAGGTAGCATGTCATGCACTGCTGTAAGTAGCTGGTCAAAGTAATTCTCTGACATTCCACTCTTCACCTTTATGCGGTAAAGTGCCATGATTGCAAAAACCTTTGTGTACTTGAGACAACTCGAGTACAATGGAGTCTCAGCATCTCTCAACTTCTGCCTAAATTCAGATTCTTTTGTAGCTTCACAATCCTTAGGATCTCCTCCACTGTTCGTTGATGATGGTGGAGGAATGCAGTCATCCGCAAAATATGCAGTCTTTAGCAAATAATAAGCCTTAGTTTCTCCACTATCCGACATATCAGCCCTTCTCTCACCATGCATGCTCCGACAAGAATTCCTCATGTACTTTTTATCCATACCCTTAATCACTAGATGCTCAACAACTGTATCTATTGCTTGATGGCAAACATTGCGACAATCTATGCAAGGACAAATCATTTCCGTCGGATTACCCAATCTCTTTGCAGATTCAGTCACAAAATTTGTGGCCCCTTCCACATATTCAAGGCTAGGCCTACATGTTTAACCAAAAAATTCAGAGTTAATACTACAATGTAATTCACAATATCATATGCACTAAATCAATGCTCATATCTCAACAAGATTCATACCTTGGAAACCAAACCTAACCCTTGTCCATATCACCAAAGCTCAACGACCGATTATACAATTTGTGATAAATAAGTTCAAATATCAGAAACTCAAACAAGTTTAATTTGTCACTCGTATGAACACACAATTGAAAGAATGTATGGAAACAAAAATTAAGAAGATGTTCGCTTAGTTTAAGCAGTCAACAAGAACAGAGACTTCAATCTGATTATAACACTATCTGGAAAAAAAACGAGAATAATCAATTAGTTTTCTTAGACCGACTGTTGAACAAAAACTTATAATCGAAACAGCAAATAGCAAATCGACTACCTTTAGACGCAGTTTCAACAATTTCCTCCTGCAAAAACGAAAAAAAAAAATTGAATTTGATTGAAACCATGCAAACACCGAAAATCCAAACACAATTTTGTAAACTCGATTACATGCAACAATCCGGCTTACCCAGATGTAAATATGAGGACTGGACAATGGAAGATCGACACAGAGATCAAATAACTAGATCGAAGAACTAGAAAAAGAGCAAGGAAATATTGAGAGAACTTGATGCTGAATTTTATAGAAACTAATTCGACTCTGATGGGAAGAGGATCGAGAGAGTAAAATTGAGAGGAGATAAAGATGGTGGGGCTGACTCGACGGACAAAACCCAGATGACAGATCGAGCCAGAGACGGCGGCGATGGTGTATCGAAAGGATTTTAAGAAAGAAATGATTTTTTTTTTCTTCTTAGATCGAAAAATAGGATTTTTTTTTTAAGTTAAGCGGGTTTACTAACAACGATTTCGCGGCAAATGACTTATTTACAGCGTTATAATCTACCTAATGCTATCATAGATGTAAAGGATAACCGAAAAATCAAGCTTGTCCCAAATTTTATTCCCGCTTAATAGAGCATAGCGTTTTGTTTTCATAAACGCTATCAAATAATCAGTCTAATGTAAACCATAGCATATATACCAAAAACGCTATCTTCAACTGCTATTAATACTTGTATTTCTTGTAGTGTGAGATGGATTCAATACAAAATCTATATTATAAATAGAGGATAACTCTCTCCATATGAGTGACAGCTCAGCTTTTCCCTATTACTCTAAAAACGCCACGTGGCATCTTTTATAAAATAAAAAATAAAAAATTGGTCACTGTGAATCCCTAATCGTTTCATCTTCCGACGTCTCCCTCTCCCCTCCTCTGCTCCGACTTCTGTTCCTGCCGGCACATTTTATGCCATTTCTTTTACCCTTATCATCAAACAGCCACGACCAAGAGATTGAAGAAGAAACTACACAGTTGCTCAATGATTCTCAAACCGACTGTGAATTGAGGTCGCGGCCCAGGACAGTGAAGGTGCCGGACGGTGAATGGTACTGGAAAGATGTCGGAAATCTGAGGTGGCGAAAATCAGACCATTGGAGTGGTCGAGCAAATCTTCTCGGAGTATACGTTGATTGATCGGACGACTATGATTTGCCAGCGATCAAATCAGGAAGAGAGAGAGAAAGGGAAATAGATAGAGAGGAGAGAGAGAAGAGAGATGGCTAAAGGGGAAAGAGGGATTCAAATCAAAATAGATACAGTAACAATCATACCTCATTTTTGCGGAAGATGGACCAAAAACTTGGTGTCTTTAATCGTTACCCAATTACAAAAACTGAGATTATTTCCAGATCAAAACAAAAATGGTTTGACTGTAGCAGACTCATGGATTTGTCAAAAAGAGATTAGGGTTCTTAATCTGGGGACTTTAGGAATCGATTTTTGATTTAGGGTTGTTAATTGTATTTCTCGACTTGATGAATAAGTCGGGTCTTAGACCAAAAAATCAACCCAAAAAATAATGGGTCGGGTCAAGTTAATTTTAAACCAGTGTTAAATTTTTTGACGGAATGTGAACAGTGTTTACATTGCTGTTAACTTCGTATGAGTTGTCAAATCATATATATGAATTGAGGCCAACTCTCTCCATATGAATGACATGTGTGCACAAGACAAAATGACATGTGACATATAATTATCACTTTTAAAAAATAAAATTTCAAAGTTTAATGGAACTTCAATGCAACTTTTGGTATTCTTTTGTGTTCATTGTAAGTTACAAAATAAATTTTCATATAATTTTCATTTAAAAACAAAAAATTGCAAAAGTTTAATGAAATTTCAATGCAACTTTTGATTATTCTTTTATGTTCATTGTAACTTACAAAATAAATATATATTTTTTTTGGTTTTTCAACAAATTAAGCCATAAAAATAAATTTTATAGGTTGATGACATGTAGATACCCCATGTAGTATTATTCAATTCTTCAGTCACTAATGCCGTTGACCTAGAGGTATTTAAGCACATGTTCAAAGTTCAGAAAGGAAATATTGTTTATTTATTATAACCTCTAATCCCGTTAAATTACAAAATTTTCATCCAGAATTATTTTCGATTTATTTAAGAAAATCGATTTAAAAAGAGAATTTAGTATATCACTTTGTCATAGTTTAGTATATCGAGTCAATTTAATGTAATTATATGGAGTATAAATAAAGAGAGTGAAGGGCATAAAGACATGTGGTATAATACAAAGCTATATATTTGAAAGTGAGTCATTAACCAAGCAAATGAAAATTAAAATATGGATGTTATTTAGGTGAAAGACGTTATTTTTAAACTATAAGAAAAGTATTATTTGAATTAAAATCACAAATTCATAATTATTTTAAGTATTATTTTTAAACTATAACAAAAGAAAAACCCGCGCGTATGTGCGGGCATTAGTCTAGTTTATATAAAAACAAAGAAAGAAAGACCAGTAAACAATAGATAAACAATGCAAGACATAACCGAACAAGAGGACCAATCACATTACAAACCAGAGCAAAACATTACACATTTAGGATTAACGCTAAGCAAACCAGAGCAAAACATTACAAGACATAAACGCCAAATAATGTGATTGTGTATAATCACATTTACTTTAACAAGCGAGAACGAAAAAAGAGCAGGAAAGGAGAGAGCATATAAGATTCCCGAGGATACATAACGTATAAGCATTGATCAATATCAAGATGTGTAAAGGTCAATATCAGAAACTCACATAAGACAAGCATTGATCAAACAATATGTGAAACCTGGACAAGTCTTAACAGTTTTTACAATAGCTTTACAAGGAAAACACTTCAACTATATGACAATTTCAAGAATCAATAGAGACAGTAAAGCAGAGAAGTTTTACCTCACTCTATGGAGGAAAACAAATGCCGTATGAACTCACCAACCAGAAAGCAACCACACGAATCCGGAAACAAGAGAATAACAACGAGATAATCAGTTTAATAAGAGATCTTATGTTTTAGGTATTTCGATTTAGAAAAAGAGTGTATGATATCTATATCAATATCACATAAACATCACACTGAAAAAAGGAAAAAAATTACAAATTCAGACAAAATAACCATGGCAGAAAATATGTACAAAAGTATCAAAACCATCAACAAATCGAATGTATCATTGCAAACGAAATCGACTCTAGATTTGAACAAAACTACAACCAAATGATTCTGAGGAATACGGTGTTAACGAGAAAGCAGAGAGCAGAAAATCTTTTGTCTTATGCAAACCCCAAAATCAATTTCCCAAACACTGAAATCTAGCAAACCCTAATTGTATGCTGTCAAAGCCTCGAGTTCGAACCAATTCTAGTAATAATCCGCCTAAGAAGTGAATGAACTAATCGATTAAGCAAATCACACTAACCTTACCAAGTCGATTTCGAAGTGAATCGGGGATTTTGATGGAAAGGGAGAGAACTGGTGTCGGCGGAATTCGAACAGAAGGAAACATCTATAAAGAAGAGAGCGAGGACGAGCGGCAGCGACTACGAGGACGAGCGGTGGCGAGCGACAATGAGATTTTGGATTCGATTTTGGACGACGAGCGATTTTCTCCGGCGCAGTGAGCGAGAGAAGTCGAGTTTATGTCGATTTTTTATTATTATTCTCTTTTTTATTTTTTTTTCTTTATGTTTTAATTGCTAAAAAATCGAAAATGTTTAATTTCTCAAAGTACATTATCAACTCAATTTGAAGGTCAAAACCGTCCAAATTGCCAAAAAAAAAGTGTATTGAGACAAAAACGAAATGCAAATGTGTAGTGGGATAAGAAAGCCCTTTTTTTAATATTTTGACAATTTTCTTATTTATTTTTCTTTCAAACATCAAAACATTGTGACCAAGTTTGAAACTATCTTCACTCGCTCGGGAAAACATTTTCTCTTTAAACATCAACAAACTGTTTATGAGATTTTGACTTCATATGTTTGATTTGCATAAAATTAATATGAGGGTTAGATTTACAAATACAATTTAGTTTTGAGGGTTAAATTTTCAAATTCAGTTTAGCTTGCCGGTTTTTTTTACAAATTTGACTTCAATCAAACATAACGTTTTGAGTAAATGATCACATTTAACGATGAATACATAGAGGGTGTTTAGGAGGTGATTTTTGACTTCATATGTTAAATTTGCACACAAAAAAAACACAGGGTTAAATTTACAAATTTAATTTAGTTTCTTGGTTACTTTGTACGAACCCATTCGGTAATGTACAGTATTTGTTTGTTTATAAAAGGAGGTTTCTACTTTCTATTACTCCCGTTATATAATTTCTGTAACGGCGTAAATTAGCGTTTGTAATATCTGGCCGAATAGGCACTAACGTGGACGAGTAGTATAGTAGCCCGTCTTCAATCAACACAAGTGAGGGGGGTTTTTCGCCTTAGGGTTTTAGAAATTCGATCGAAACGAAATTCGATTTCCCCTCAGATTCTTCTTTCGTGAACACACAATCAAAATGTTGCCCAGATTTGGTCGACTTGTTACGCAAACCTCAAAGCTTCGATCTTTGAACACAAATGGATCGACGAAGAATCTCTCCCTTTTCTCCTCGCGATATGGATACGCGGCTGTAGCTCCAGCGGCTGATGCTCCGCCACAGAAGGATTTCCCCAGCAAATCTCCGGTATGATCTCAAAATCTGACATTTCGTTTACCCAGTTAAGATCGCGAATTCAGAACTATCTGTTACTGGATTTGTCTTAAGTCGTCTATGATCCGCAAGTTCTATAAGCTCAAAACACCAAACTTTAATTCTGTTTGCATTATAGGATTCGAAGCTAAGCTCAAAGAGGACTGTTTATGAAAAACGTCTACTTGATGCCGATTGTTTCTAGTTTGAATCTGGACTTATATGGACTTGGATTCATCTTTGTATCTAATGGAGTATTCAGAGATTCATGCTATTTCTTCTACTGGTTCTGGATATCGTTGTGTGTCTTCTTTAAGGAAAAGCATTTGTTCTGTGTTTGGCAGATAAACTTGGATAAGATGTTTTGGTCAAAGCCATGTTCATTGGCTCTGCCCAAAGACTCTCCTCTCAGAATCGATGAGCCAGACTATGAAGGGATTCGTCGTTTGATACTAAAGCTGCTTTTGTTCTATAGCAAACAGAGCATATCTATCCGTGGGGCAAACGTGATTTACAAGCGAATCATTGCACAAGTTGATAAACCCGCAATATATGATGGTATTTCATTTGGTTTCTAACACAATAGGTCGCTCAAGATATCATTATGTATTCACTTTTTTTTTTCTTGTGTGCTTTTGTCTCTGTTGCAGTATTCAACTTGGAGAAAACATTCAAAATAACGTTCTCGTTGCTTGTCCTTCATATGTGGCTTGTTTTACGCCGCTTGAAGGAAGATGGACAAGAAGGTGTTGATCTTGGTCAACATGTGTATGAGATCTACAATCATGATGTGGAACTCAGGGTATCTAAAGCCGGGGTACGTGCTAGACTTAGTTATTGTATCTACAATAGTTTACAAGATAAGTCTCATTTACATGGATTTCGTGCAGGTTAACTTGCTGCTGTCCAAGTGGATGAAGGAACTGGAGAGAATCTTTTATGGAAATGTTGTTGCCTATGATGCTGCGCTACTTCCAGAAGCTAAACCAAATGAGCTACAAATCAAAATATGGAGGTAAAGCTAAGACAACGTCGTGCTTTGTAGAGATTACACTGAGAAATAGCTCGGTTCGAATGTTTATATCTACATTCTGGCAGCCATAGATAATGGATTTGTTCTCAGAACCTTATATGGAATTGTGATTGTAGGAACATATTTTCTGATGATGGAGTAACAACACCTGATGACACGGATTTGAAAGCAGCAAAGGTATGACTTTTACCTCTCTACCTTTCTCACAAACACACACACACACACACACACACACATACATAGCAAATTAGGCTTTGTGTACTATATATTGTTTGAAACATTGCTTGTGTGTTTCAGGCTATGGCAAGATATGTCCGGAGAGAAGTTGGTTCTCTTTCTTTAACAGGTGCATATCCATTATCTTATAAGTCTTTATCAGCTGCAACAACCAAATCGTTTTAGTTGAAACGGATATGATTTGCTATAATGTTCTGTTTATTTTTTTGTAATGCACAGATAAAGAGTCCATATTCTCTGGCAATTTCTCCTTCACCCCGTTGGAGAACAAAGCCCCTGTGACTTGAATTGAAATAGAGGAGAAGCTGTGGCGCTTTGGAATCAATCTTTCATTTGTTTTTCTTCCTTCAGTTTTCTTATATTCAACCAAAGAAACATACACAAAGGGAATATGGTGGTTGTTTAGCATACCGATGATCACGACAACATTGTGAAAGTTAATAAGATTTACTGAAGAAGAGCATTTGCATTGGTACACATTAATTGGCTTACTCTTGCTCAGGAACTTTAAACGGAGGCAAGAGTAATTACGTCTCTGCGTTTCAATACTCATAATCTTGCAAGTTATATCATTACAAGTTATATAATATTTCACTACAAGTTCTTGAGGAAATGAATACACTGTTGATTTATTATGGTCAGAAGCTTCCAAAGATTGGGCATCCAGCTCCATGATAATAGTAATTGTGAATGTTCATCTAGTTTTTGGTAAATCACAACTATTTTTGCAAGAAAAATTGGAATCTAGTAACTATTAGCAAACCTCATGGTCCATAGCAATATCTGTGAGAACATATTGTATAAATAGATTTCCCTTTGTTGATTTTGGAAACTCTTTGGTGGAGTACTTCTTTTGTTCTTATACATTCTTTTTCTTTCTTAATAATGTTTATGGGGTTACAATTATGATTTTTTTTTCTATTTCAATCAGAAAATTAATTAAAATTTTCGGGTTTTACTTGATCTATAACTCTAATTATGTGTAGTTATTTTAACTGAAAAGGTGCTGAGAAAGTGACTGCAGAGAATGAGAGAGTAAAGAGAGATAACTCTAATTACAGTCAGCTCGCGGCCGCGCGGCACGACCCACATACTGCGGCCGACCCATCCGTCCGACAGGAAGGCTTCGTCCCGCGACCGGCCAAGATTCATCCGCCAAAACTTATCCATCCGTCCGACCCCGTCGGCCGAACACGAAAATTCTCGGCCACGATCGTTCCGACCGTGCCGATAGCCGACTACGACCCGATGACCGGCCGACCGTCCCGACCGACCGTCCGAACGGTCCGATCGACCCGAAGCCCGTTTTGAAGCCCGTTTCACACGTTTTCACAGCCCGGCTTGACCTAATGCCGCCTCTGAAGACCTAGCATTATAAATACAACTTTTTAGCCTCAAGAGAGAGCCGCCCTTGTATCACGATTTTCATACTTAGAGTTTTATTGCAATCATGTTTTCTTCATCTTTATGTGTTATTGCTTTGATCATGTCTGAGTAATCCACTAGTTAGGTTGCTAGGGTTACTAATCAATGAGTTGCTTGCATGATCTTTGATTTCGATGTTTAGCTAGGGATTATCATAGAGTCTTTGTCTCGTCTTGTGCACTTAACTAATGCTGATTGCTTTACCGCGCATCTAGTAATCCGATCTTAGGTTGATTTGAGCCTCGAAAGTGTTGTATCATTCGCCGGACATATTCTTTGGCAAGCTAGGTTTCTTAGACTGCGAAAGTTGATTTACTATAACCTAGTGAACTGTATCAGAACCTGCTCGATCTAAAGCTTGATTTAATCACCTAGGGACATACCAAAAGTTTAGCGACTAGGTAGATTAACAAAGGAACCGGAGCCTCGAAAGTGGAATGGTTTTATATTCGTGATCTGTGTTCTAGACGGTTTTAATATCCCAATATCCCTACATCAATTCATCTATCATTGTTTCATTGATCATTGCTTGCTTCTCTGCGATTAGCCCCTGTTGACCTAGCGCTTCTTCCATTGATTTACAACCTCGTTTACTTGCTAGTTCTAGTTACAATTACAACCTCCAATCATACTTTTGTTTTAGCTTGATCCAAAATCTATAGTTTCAAAGTGTACTCAATAGCCAGTCCTTGTGTTCGATACCCATACTTCCGCGATCTGTGCACTTGCAGAGGTCTAAGAGTTTGGTAAAACCTGACTCAACATCAGATATCGTGGAGGAGAGGCCAGTGGGAAGAAAAATTTTGTGAACAGAAGCTCTTCTATCACTCAATCTGAGAAACCATGGTATCATGGTCATAGAAGTCACAACCAGAGGTCTGAATTTGTGAGGACTTGCAACATGAGTCGTGGTGTTCCAATACATAAATTTGATCACATGAAGTTCAGAGAAAGAGTGAAATGCTACTATTGTGGGAGACAAGGCCATATCAAAAGATATTGCTATCAGTTTGATGATAAAGTGAATGGAATGTTGAGGCAAGGGAGATACTTCCAAAACCAAGACAGGGAATCACAAGTTTGGATGGTAAAGTCTGAGCTTCCTTGCATGGTGTCCTATACTTCTGTAAGTAAGTCTTCTATGGTATTTTGACAGTGGAGCATCTCAACAAGAGGAAATGAGATAAGAAGCCTTGGTGAAGGAAGGAAAGAAAACAAGAGGAAATGAGATAAACCTCAAGGAGATGATGATGTTTTCATGTTTTGTCTCTGCTTTGGAATCGAAATCAATCAAAAACGTCTTGGAAAGCTGTTTCTGGATACTTGCCATGCAAGAGGAATTGGAGGATGATAATAGTGTCTCTAAATGCACTTTTGCAAAGAATCTGGTGGAACAGTTTATGATGTGTTCCAACAAGTCATCAAAAACCCATATGAGCGCCACTGTGAAGCAAAAATGTGTCTTCATCTCCATTGGCGATGCAAGTTTCATTGGACTGGGAAGCTTTTGCATTCAACTGTTATGGAGGAGACAAATGGGCTCTAATTATGGTATGACTTCTAATCCTTTACTTGCTAAATGTGATATTCAAGATGCCATTAATATCTCTGGAACTTTTGTGCATCACTATAGAACTAAAAGCATTGATAATCATCATCTCCTCATAAGATAACTAGTTGTAGATAAACAAGTGGTGATCTAAACATATTTGTGCATTTACAAAAATGTTTGGGTGTGTGTGAACTCTAATCTTCTTCATTGCAAGTGCTGGAACAGGTTTGTTTGTACAGTGGGAACCTGTTATGTTTCTTTTCCATTCATTGTTTTTCAGGAAAAGTACATATTACCTTTGTTTCAAAAAAAAAACTTCTTGTTGTTAAGTTCATCGTGGGAAAGAGCTGCCATCCATATCCTCACGATTTGCTCATGTGTGACTGAAGTGCTTATGTGGTGAGAAATGAACACGAAACCCTATGAGTGGTTCTTGCAAAGGAAGAGATGTTGTTGTGGAAAGGAGCAGTAAGAAACAACACGTCTCACACGATGAAGCTGAGCTTATCTCTGCATTGACATGGACCAGCTATGTATTGTATTGGTTTTATATAACAAAAAAGAGAAAAAAAAAGGAAAAAGGAAAAAAAAAATAAAACGAAGATGTTGTAAGTCTCCATGTCAGAGGCAAATAAGTCCTCTGGTGATTCTCTTTATATCACCAGGACATCAAAGTCTGATCAACTTGTATCATTCTCTCAAAAGCTCTAATCAAGATGTTGGATCAGTTTTAGTGTCCTCAAGCCTGCGCTACAACTCCCATGCTTCAGTCAAACTTGTCATCTCTATGGATATGTTAGTGTGTTAGCTACTTACGGTGGATCAGTGAAAACAGGATTTTTGTGTGTTTGAAACCCTTAATTCCTGCTCATATCATTGCAGCATTATCAATCCACTTTGAAGAGTGGTTGGGTCAAGAAAGAATATAAGAAACTTCTCAAATCAAGAGCAAATAGATTGGGTTTTGTGAAATCCAAAATGAACAGTAAAACTACAGAAATAAAGACAATGAACAGAAATTGAAGCAATTTGAAATCAAGGACTAAGCTAGAAACGAAATTGAATCAAGCAAGTAGATGAATTCAAAGGAAGAAAGAGGTCTTAGGATGGGGTAATTGACTAGAGAATCTTAGAGGTTGATAACCCATTTTCATGGTGAAAATCACAAAGCAAGAACCCAATCCAAGAGCTAACTATGAAAATGGGTTAGTGGAAAGGATTCAAGCCAGCAATAAGCAACAATTCTCCTAAACCAATAAGCTCTCTAAACAGTCACTATCATGAGTTAGAGAAGCAAATCTCCTTGTTGGTTGGTTCCAACATTTCTCCAAACATTTTTGATGTGGGAAATGTTTAAAACCTAGATCTAAATTATCATTAGAGACCTAGCATTAAGAAAACCCAACAAGGAAGGATTGTAGTACAAATTTAACCTCTAAACATCAAAATCAAACTCTAAAAACTCTAATCTATCCCATCCTCTAAGACCAAAGGGGTTTACTCACTAATCATGTTTAGAACACCAAATCCCATGGGGGAGAGGGTCCTAATCATGATTACAGAGATAAGATAATAAGATTGTAGAAGGAAAGTACTTGATTTGATTAAAATCGAAGTTGAGATCTAACAAAATGTTTAGAACCCTAAAAGGAGGTGTCTTTATGTTCTTCAAAGATAATTTACAAGGTGGCTAAAATAATACTCCCTCTGTCCCATATTATAAACTGTTTTGGCATAATGTATCTGCAATTCTTTGGATGTATCTAGATGGAAAACATTCAGAAGGAGTAGAGGGAGTAGGACTTTAAAGTATTTATACTTGGAGACTTCAAAACCCTTGGTCAACTAATTTAATTTGACTTTTTCTTCCTTCCCAATTGATTTGTGCTCCAAAGATTGTGGTTAAATCCCGGTTTGGTACAGCTGGATAGTGGTCAAAGCGCGGGTCAACTCGTCCTCTCGGTCAACACTCAGCTGAAAGGCGAGAATCAGGTTTCTGAACCTGATTGACATCCTGATTGCGAACTCCTGAGTATTCTTTTGATCTCCAATCTCCCATAGTAGCTCCAAACTCCCCAAAAGCACCTAAATACAGCTCCAAATGCAGAATGTATGCAATGTATGCTCTAAATGGTATGAATGTATACAGTGGAAGGTAAGGGAGCTAAAATGAGTGTAATGAGTGATGGAAGTATGCAAATATGCATGAAATTCTATGTCTAAATGATGTAAAATATGAGTATATCAATCAACATGTGTGAAAGCTCATGAAATCTGAGAAATAGCTACCATGTTGGAACAACAAGTTGTGTGTTCCAACTGCTTTTGGTTACAAAAAAAAAAAGGGAGGAAACACATCATCTTCTCATTGTGCAGACGAAGCTGGAACAAGTTCTACGCTACACGCTCCGAAGAAGGTGATCCTGCCCAATTGTTGAAGTGTTTCCAGGGGTCTTTAATCTGAAAATTGAAGTTGCTAGTGAAATTTCCATTGTGTTCACTGCTTGGCTGTTCTGTCTTCGGGTATTTCTACATTTTTTGTTATTTGAGGCCTATGTGCACTAATGTTTTTATGTGAGATGTGATAGGATATGTAACAGGTTCAGTCAGCGATGTTTTGTGATCTCTCCTACAATTTTGAGTAAACTATGATATTTTCAAGGAATATAAGGGATGAGAAAGAGAGGGAAAATTCACTTTTTCTGTCTTTACGACAACAAAGCGAAAAATCACTTTTTTGTCTCCCCGGTGCATCACACATGAATCTTTTTGAGTGCCACCTTCCAGAGTTGTCGTACGCATTAGCATTGCAAGGAAGCAAACTCGTGCTCCTTCTTCCGGTTCATGCCTCCACTCTATACCTTGCCAAAATCGCTCAAATTAACAATAAGTTCCTTACTTCCTCGGTTTCGTCCTTGAGGTTTGCTCGTCCTTTTTAGGATGTTTTTAACTGAATAATGCCACCCAAGTAGGGGAGATTTGGTAGGTGAAACAATTTGGTGAATCATTCCTTTGAAAGAATTAGAGTTTTTTTATGAGTGGTCTCTGGGTTTTAGGGGGAGTTGGTTAGGTCTCCCTGTGTGTCAAGTTTCTTTGTTGGAAGAGAGTTAGATTGAAATGTTTTTTGTGGTGGGCATTTATGTAAACCTTTAAAATCTCAAGCTAAATGCAAAGAAGGTCATAGTGTGTTTTGGTCTATTTGCCTTTGTGGTTATTTTGCATACTAAGAGGTTTGCCCACGACCAGCGCGGGCTTGAGTATCTTTAAAATGGCAATTGTTTGTAATAATAATAATATTATATCATTTTAAAATTATTATTTTCTTTGGAATATGTTTGTCATTTAATTTAATTTTCTTGTATTAAAATTTTGTTTCATAATCTTGAATTTATGAAATCAAAATATGTCATATAAATATTATTAAGATGTTATCCGCGGTGGTTTTCTTCTTATCCACAGTCTTCTTTTATTCTACTCGTGTTTTTATTCCTTCTTGCCTATGTCTTATATTTCAATTATCAATTCATTCGATACTTTAGATTTTCAAGGATTCCAAGGAAGTAATAGCGTAACATTTTGTTAATTTGATACGAACTTATAAATTGTGAAAGCACAAAAAAAAATAGTTAAATTTTGTAATGATTGTTTTCTTCTCCTCTTATTTTTTTAAAGTGATCCCATCTTTTTTTTTCTTTCATTTTTTTATTCGTTGTCATCATCTTTTTTTTTCGCTTCTTCTTTTTCCAATTTTTGTTCTTCAATCATTTCTTGTGTCTTCATGTCCTGCAACTAACTATTCTTATTTTTCTTTCTAATTTTCTTTACATTTTTTCCGGTTAATTTTCTTCCTCATTCCCCATTCTCTCTATCTTTATCATCTTGTCTTCTCTGACACCATCTTATTTTAGTTTATATTTATCTCTTATTTTTCTTCTTTCCCTTCACATTTTATTTTTTGTTCTTCTTCTCGAAGTTTCTCATCTTCTTAACCACTGTCTTCTTTTATTCTACTCGTGTTTTTATTCCTTCTTGCCTATGTCTTATATTTCAATTATCAATTCATTCGATACTTTAGATTTTCAAGGATTCGTGAAATAGTTTTTATCTTTATATAGTTGAGATCTTTTAAAAATCAATTTAATTTATGTTGTTATCTTTTGATTATAGATTTGCTTTTATTTTTTTTAGTTTTTTCTTATAAGTGTATTTTAGAATGGTAGATATAAATTTATAATCAGTGATTTTTAATGTTGGTATATTTCTATTATAATTCAAAGTTTAAAAAATGCACCAAAAACTAAACTCCACACCCATCAATATAAACCCTAAACCCAAACACCACATTATAACTCTCGCCTGAAACACACACCTGAATCTCTCACATTACAAATTAGTTCTTGATTTGCTTTTATTTTTATTTTATTTATAAATTTTTGTTGTTGTAATTGTTATTTTCTTATCCATTTTATTCTTCTCTAGTGAACCTATCTTTTTCTTTTTTCTTCTATTTTTTAAGTTGTTGTCATCATCTTTTTTTTTCTACTTCTTCTTCAACTTCCAATTTTTGTTATTAAATCGTTTTTTGTGTCTTTATATCCTCCAACTCACTATTCTTATTTTTCTTTCTAATTTTCTTTACATTCTATTTCCGATTTTTCTTCTTCCTCATTCCTCCTCTCTCTCTATCTTTATCATCTTCTTCTTCTCTGACATTATTATAATTTTTGTTTATCTCTTCTTTGTCATTTTTTTCTTCACATTTCATTTTTTCTTCTTTGATTTCTTTTTCTTCGTCTTCAAGTTTTCTTCTTCCTCTCGAAGTTTCCCATCTTCTTTTGCATCATCTTCTTTTCTCTTACTCATGCTTTTCGTTTTTGTCTACGTTTTGTATTTCACTTAACAATTCATTTGATAGTCTAGATTTTGTTAATTTAAAAATTCTATTAATATTAGATTAATGCATTTTCTTTTTAATTACTTTTCTTATTTTTGTAATATGTTTATTTTCCAAGGAAGTAATAGCATAACATTTTGTTAATTTGATTTGAACTTATAAATTGTGAAAGCACAAAAAAATTAGTTAAATTTTGTAATGATTGTTTTCTTCTCCCTCTTATTCTTTTCAGTGATCCCATCTTTTCTTTTTTTTCTTCCATTTTTTTATTCTTTGTCATCATCCTTTTTTTTGCTTCTTCTTTTTCCAATTTTTGTTCTTCAATCTTCAATCCTTTCGTGTGTCTTCATATCTTCCAACTTACTATTCTTCTATCTCTTTCTAATTTTCTTTACATTCTTTTTCCGGTTTATCTTCTTCGTCATTCCCCCTTCTCTATATCTTTGTCATCTTCGTCTTCTCTAACATCATCTTATTCTAGTTTTTATTTATCTCTTATTTGTCTTCTTTCTCTTCACATTTCATTTTTTCTTCTTTGTTTTCTTTTTCTTCTTCTTTGTTTTCTTTTTCTTCTTCTTTGTTTTCTTCTTCTTCTCGAAGATTCTTATCTTCTTATCCACCGTCTTCTTTTATTTACTCGTGTTTTTATTCGTTCTTGTCTACGTCTTATATTTCACTTATCAATTCATTCTATACTTTAGATTTTCAAGGATTCGTGAAATAGTTTTTATCTTTTTATAGTTGAGATCTTTTAAAAATCTATTTAATTTGTGTTGTAATCTTTTGAGTATGGATTTGCTTTAATTGTTTTAGTTTTTTCTATTTGTGAGTGTATTTTAGAATGGTAGATATAAATTTATAATCAGTGATTTTTAATTTTGATATACTTCTATAATAATTCAATTTTTTAAAAATGCAACAGAAACTAAACCCTACACTCATCAATATAAACCCTAAACTCTAAACCCAAACCCCACAACATAAACCCACTTCATCCTAATTAAAGAACTTACACCCTAAACCCATATCCACATTATAACCTCCCCTAAACCGCACACATAAACCTCACATTACAAATTAGTTCATGATTTGCTTTTATTTTTATTTTATTTATAAAAGATTTTTTAAGTGGTTGTTTTCTTATCCCTTTTATTCTTCTCTACTGATCATATTTTCTTCTTTTTCTTCCATTTTTATATTAGTTTTCATCATCTTCTTTTTTTCTGCTTCTTCTTCATCTTCCAATTTTTGTTCTTTGATCGTTTCTTGTGTCTTTATATTCTCCAACTCACTATTCTTTTTTTTTATAATTTTCTTTTACATTCTATTTCATATTTTTCTTCTTCCTCATCGTCTTCTCTGATATCATCTTATTATAGTTTTTATTTATCTATTCTTTATTTTTTTTTGCTTCATATTCCATTTTTTCTTCTTTGATTTCTTTTACCTCGTGTTTAAGTTTTCTTCTTCCTCTCGAAGTTTCCCATCTTCGTTTCCATCGTTTTCTTCTCTCTAACTCATATTTTTCGTTCTTGTCTATGTTTTGTATTTTACTTATCAATTCATTTAATGGTCTAGATTTGAACTTCACAAATTCAATTAATATTAGATTAACGCATTTTCTTTTTAATTACTTTTCATATTTCTGTAATGTTTTTATTTTCCAATGAAGTAATAGCTTAACATTTTATTAATTTGATATGTACTTATAAATTGTGAAAGCACCAAAAACTTAGTTAAATTTTATAATGGTTGTTTTCTTCTCTCTCTTATTCTTTCCCAATTTATTTTTTCTTCCATTTTTTTATTCGTTGTCACCATCTTTTTTTTTTCCAATTTTTGTTTTTTAATCATTTCTTGTGTCTTCATATCCTCCAACTTACTAATTTTTTTTTTCTAATTTCTTTTACATTCCTTTTCCTCTTTCTTTATCATCTTCGTCTTATCTAACATCATCTTATTCTAGTTTTTATTTATCTTTTATTTGTCTTCTTTTCCTTCACATTTTATTTTTTCTTCTTTGTTTTCTTTTTACTCTTTGAGTTTTATTCTTCTTCTCGAACATTATCATCTTCTTATTCACCGTCTTCTATTAGTCTACTCGTGTTTTTATTTCTTCTCGTCGTCTCGATAGTTTAGATTTTCAAGAATTCGTGAAATAGTTTTTATCTTTATATAATCGAGATATTTTAAAAATCTGTTTAAGATGTGTTGCTATCTTTTGATTATGGTTTTGCTTTAATTGTTTTAGTTTTTTTTTCAATTTGTGAGTGTATTTTAGAATGGTAGATATAAAGTTATAATCAGTGATTTTTAATTTTGATATACTTCTATTATAATTTATATTTTTAAAAATGCACCAGAGTTCAAGGAGGATTTATCACTAAAACCCCCTGCGACTCTGGAGGACGCGTTCCACCGCTCTCGGAACTACATCTTCCTCGAGGAAGACCAGCGCTTCTACGCCGAGAAACATGGAGATAGGAGGGCAACCTCGACGAAACCCAGAGAGGAACCCATGGAGGCGCGAAGAAGACACGATCCAAAGAGGTCTCTCCTCACAGCGTTCGCAGCAGCCGACGACGAGTTCGAGCAAGAACACGCAGCGGCCGTTTCGATGCCACAAGACATCAACTCGCTCGAAGATGACAACGATACCAAAGCTTTCTGCAAGTTCCACGGGAGGACTGGCCACGCCACTGAAAACTGCAAACACCTAATGAGCAACCTCATGCGCATGTACCATCGAGGAGAAATCCCGCCAATGGACGGTGATAGGTCCCAAGGAAAAAGCTTCCCGCCGAAACCACCAAAATCTGGGCAGCAGGAGAAGCGCGGACGACAACCCCGTCCGAGGAAGGATGCAGAAAAGGCGGAAGCACCGCTTGGGAAAAGGAATCGTGATGACCACGACGACCTACCTCCGCCACCGAAGCGACAAGTCAGCATGATCATGGGAGGCTTCCTGGATAACGACGATTCCATATCGGCGATCAAGGAATACGAACGAAAGGTCATCGCGGCACAACGCTACCCGTATATCCATAAAGGGATCCCTACCATCTCCTTCACGGATAAGGATGCGAGCGGGCTGGACATCCCTCACCTTGACCCACTCGTAATCACTCTACAGATCCACGATTGTGACGTCGCGAAGGTCCTGGTTGATACCGGGAGTACGGTGAACCTCATCTTTCTGGAAACACTGAACCGCATGGGGTGGAGGAAGGATCTATCAAACCTACATCCCGTCCCCTCACCGGTTTCACCGCCGAGCATGTTTACAGCTGTGGCACAGTCCGGCTCCCCGTTTATGTCGGCGGAATTTCAAAGCTCTTGAAGTTCATCGTCATGGACAAACCGGCCATCTATAACGCTATCCTCGGCACCCCATGGCTCCATGAAATGAAAGCTGTCATCTCGACGTTCCACCAATGCGTGAAGTTTCCGATACCCTCTGGAATTTTCACCTTACGTGGAGATCAAAGAATGACGAGATCATGTTTCCTCCGCGAGCGCAAGCTCCGCACCGCGTCGTCCTGTATGATAACCGAGCCAGTATCGGACGACGAAACCGACGAGTCCAACGCAATAAAACGAGCCGTCGCGACGCAGAATGCAGATCCCCCGATCCATCGGCAAAGGAACTCCGAGCCCGCCTGGAAATCCGACTTAAGGTCCAGCTTTAGCACTAAACACAAGGATCTCTCCGATCTATTCGAGATGGAGCAACTCGAGGACGAACCGCTACGAAGCTACCTGAACAGATTCAAGAGCGCGCTGCTCGACCTCAGGGACATTCCGGGAGCACCCCCAATCGCGGAACCGGTACTCGTCCAAGCCCTCGGAAACGGACTTCGATACGAATCCGGATTCTGGGAAGATATCCGCATCCGCCCCTCCCCAACTTTGAAGGACGCCTTCCTTCGCGCTGAGAATTACATCCGCCTCGAGCAAGACATCCCGCAGCTACGGTTCGACCCCGAAGATCCTCGGTTCCGGCTAAGAAACAAGAGAAAGTCATCATCCTCTCGCCCGGAGAAGTCCACGCATAAAGCACCAAGGTGCCATCACGAATCTCTCCCTCGCCGAGACGACGCCCCTGTCTACGAGGCGAGACCAGGAGAAACATGGAGAATCGCGCGAAGACTGATCGCCATGCACCCCCGCAATGCTCGTTCTCCGATCAGGAGATATTCGAGATCATTGCCGATATTCGAAGAACTCCCCTGACAAGCCGCCTATCCGAGGTACCACTGAAGAAGCGCGCTTCACTACACCTAAACTTCTATGATGGCCGAGAAGATCCCAACAGTGGATCACATCCTTCATGACGGCCATGAGAAGACAGAAATATACATCGCCGGAAGAACAAAGCGCGCACTTCTGCCAAGCCCTCGCCGAACACTTGCGCGGCGACGCCCTAACATGGTTCAGCAACCTCCGTGCCGACTCCATCGACAGTTTCGACGATCTAGCAGCCGCTTTCCTAAAGCAACACCTCCGTTTCGCATTAGACGACCTCGTCTTTTGCAAAACCGATGATGATACGATCTATGGTCTCGGCAAATTCGGTTCCGACTGGGAAGGACCATTCCGCATCGCGAAAGTCGTCAAACCAGGTATCTATCAGCTAGAAGACAACCTCGGCACCACGTCCGATCGCCTCTGGAGCTCGTCGGATCTGCGCAAGTTCCATGACTAGACGCGAAGCACCGCGCTAGCCAAAAAAAAAAGACATGTCCACGGCATGAACATTTGTAACGAACTACGAATGGCTTGATCCCGGCACGGGTACGTAGGCAGCCTTTCTCACCAAGGGCGCAGCTATAATACTTAATAAAATTTTAATTTTATTAAAACCTTTTCTCTCGACAAGCGCGCCTCATTCTGGCATAAGCTGAAACTTGTCGACACCCAGCACGCACCCGTTTGACGTCAAACCAAGTTATTGAGGCAAACTCAATAAGCACTTGCACTTTGCACCCTAAAAACATGGACTGATCACCCATTCATTAAGCCGAGAGCACGCACCTCGCACGGCTCTCAGTTCGTCGGACGAGCGAAAAACCGCTACCTCGTCACCCGCACGAAGCTTTGAAGTCGGAAGCATAAATCGAGTTTCTAGAGCTCGTCGCTGAAAGTAGGTTTAACATCCTAAGCACACAGACCTAATACGCGCCGGTCGGTGTCTCGAATGAGAAGTCATGACGAAACCCGAAAGCATCGCGTCCAGTCATGACGCACTAGCACCATCACGCGCACCATGTCGTGATACACTTAAAGGTAACGAGTCATCCCGATAATCGAATTTCCTACTCGGTGACGACCAAGTACTTAATTCATTTTATACGGTTGACGACACCATCGTCCTTTATTAAAAGACATAACCAAAAGCCGGATTACTTTCGTTGCGCTGCGAACTAATCAATTATGTCTAAAAGCCGTGACCGCATCACCACGCAAGCACGCAAGCAAAAAAAGAAAAAATCAATACTTAAACATCTTGAGTATCTGATATAAATCTGAAGCACAAATCCTAAAGCATACGGATAAAAACCTTCCCAGGCAATGTTATTACAACAAAAAGGCCGCAGCCAGAAAAGTCTTAAAACAAATAAAAATGGGGCCTAAGCAGACTTGGCCCCAGAAGTAGAGGGTCCCGCACCCGGATCCGCACCACCACCATCTCGACGAGAAGGAGATCCCGGCAGCACCAGCCGTTTAAGGCTACAAAAGCAGAGCAAACACATAAGCAAACATTACGCAAAGCGCAACATAACGAGTAGAGAAGCAAAAATCTCACCTGTTAGGCGGAGCGAAGTCATCATCATCGATAACAACTTCGTCAATCGCATCCCCATCCGCGATGCTCTTCGCCAGCTTAGCCGCGAGCTTCTCCTCCACCGCGTCGAAGTTCAGATCCACTCCCCGAATCTTCTTCACAAAGTTGAGGAGAGCTTCGTCGACTTGCCTCCTCCCCACAGCGGCTTCAACCATGTCCCGCTGCGCGACGAACTCCGACAAGCGATGGAGGCGAGGAGCATACCAGTCATTCACCGAGTCGAAGACCTGAGTCACAGCCGCCTCGACCGATTCTCGACGAGACCGTCGGAGACGCTCCATCTCAGCAGCAGAAGCCTCTGCATCCCGACGCGCTTCTCCTCCAGATCACTCACTTGAGCCCTCAGCTTGTCTGCTACCTCCTGGAGTCCGAGAGTCTTCACTATCTCCCTGTTCAGCGCCGCGACCTTCGACTCAAGCACCAGTTTATCCTGCTGCAAATCAGCCACCATTGTATCGACATCCTTGGCCATCTCCCGCTCTCGCCGCAACACAAAGGCTTCGTCCTTAGCTGCCCGAAGCGCCGTCTCGTACTTCTGGATCAGCGCAGTAAATTTCCCACCGGACATAACGTGATGCTGAGCCGCCTCGTCAAAATCACCCCCAGCATGTTCAGTTAATTAATCACTCATCTTAGACTTTCATTTGATTTAGTAGAATGAAAGTCGCACAACGGTTAAATGCATCATCAAGTTTTAGTTTTATCTTCTTCTCTACTTCAATGAATGAAGTTAAGTTTGGTAAGAGTTGATACAACTCTGTTAAAAATAAATAAATAACATATATCTCAATTAGGCTTGAGACTTTTAACCCAAACCCGAACGTATCGACCCAAAATATCTATATCTGATTGATTTTGGGTATAAATAAAATTACCCATTAGATAAAATAATTTATATTTGTAGGTATCGGGTAATATCGGACCGAAGCAATTTTTGAATAGATACCCAAATTATGAGTATTGTGGATTATTTATGATATTATATGTATTTTTTTTAAGGTTTTTAGATTTTTTTTTCTGGATTTCAGATATATTTCCGAGAACTATAGATTATTTCAGATTCTTTATAGTTTAGGAAGTTACTTTTGTTGTAAAATTTTGTATATATGTGAACTATAGAAGGTTGATAAATAAAATTTATTATTAGATGATCTTGGATAAATGAATTTGTTTGAAGACAGTAAATTAACGAATGTAGTCTTTAATCAATTATGATTTTTTTTTAATTTTTTTTGGAGATGTTATACATGTATCAAAAGCAAGTAACAACATTAGAAGAAAATGGTCTATCTACTTCAATTAGATTAACCTAACATAAAAAGACCCCATGAGTTTTGATACAAACTTAAAAGAAATGATATAGATTTTAGTTGCGCACAAAAGATGATAAATTTTAAGGCATGGCACTGTTGTGGTTAAGGAACCGCATTTTGGGTAGCTAAATGAGGTTTACAACATTTTTGGGGCATGATTTCGAACCCAGATTATTCAAGGAGTAGCGCTGTTTGTAAATACCTATTAACCTTTTTAAATACAATGACTAAGTTCATATATTATGTATATAGTCTACTCTTTTTCTCCATGACCTGTGTTAAGCTCCACATAGCTTTCTTGAAGCTCGTTTTAGAATCATCAAACAATTGCTAATTTTACACAACTCAGTAAACTACAAATGTGAAATGTTTTTGTTGTGAAATCAGCTTTAATTCTCACTGTAAACTCTGACATGGGACACAGACTCACAGTTAAAAATTGCTTTGATACCTGCCAACTTAAATCAACTCCATATTTTAAGATCAGTCTTTAGAGAGGCAATGACGCATAAATTGCTCTCTAGATTGAATCTATCCCACCTGCACATGACATTAGCATATCTATTGTATATATCAGCCTGGCACTAAATAAGATAGAAGAGGAACGTAGTTCAGCTACTTGATCTGAAAACCAACATAGTTTAAGCAAATCATTCAACTGATACAGATCTTGTTTCATGTGTTTCAATTACGGAAATGCACACATGAAACAAGCTAATCTATTATTTTGACAGGTTAAAATAATTCATAATTGTTTGGTATTTTATCGAAAACGAACTGGACCAGACCAAAATGTAGATAAATGGAACGACAACAAACTTGATTGGTAATTCAGCTACTATTGAAAAAAGTGAATGCGAATGTATGAAAATGTTAAAACAGAGGTGATGGGGTAAAAGAAAAGTAATAATGAAATACATTACCTTGTAAACGTGTTATGTAGGTCCGAAGTAAGTGCCTTGGAGATTTCTAGGTGGAGGCCACAAAGAATTATTCAAGCAAATAGAGAAAGGAACTAATATCAGATGAATGTAGCCAACCAATAAAAGAGACAAACATCTGTTATTGCTTTTAAGGATACCTTAATAGCTTAAAATTTTGAGCATGAATCCATCGGTGAAAAGCATCGTCTTCTCTTTGATAAGTCTCATCCGCTTAAAGACCCTTACAATTAATGAAACAAATATATCAGCATACATGGTGCAACCAAAAAAAGAGTTACCGGAAAGGAAAAGAACAGAGTAACCAGAGAAGCCCCAATGATCCTACCAGAGACCAAAATGAGAAGATATGCCCATATGTTATTACGAAACTGGAATCCTATATCTTTTACATTAACCGCTAAATTCCAACCACGACTTATACCGGCATCCATTAGACTCCTAACTCCCAACAAAGGTTTTTTTGTGACAAAACTCAACGGTTTTGAAAAGCTCCGGCCGCCAGAGGAATGCTGTAACCAACCTGCATTCGTGAAATGGGAAGCTTCATGCTGAGGAAAGTAAGCTCTGCGTTTGCTTTGCCTAGGTTCCCTTCACTGTTCTCAAAGCCAACAGGATTCACTTTGTGAGGCATTGTAGATGATCCTATCTCACCATCTTTTGTTATCTGCTTTCAAAATTTTCAAACAATGAGATGATTCTCTGCCATTCACATTCACATTCACATTCAAATGATTCAAGATTTGTTGTTTTTTTCCACTTGCCTGCTTAAAGTAGCGTAGAGATATGTAGCTCTATATATCTCTCTGTCGAAATCAATCAAGATATTGTTGAATTGGCTAATTGTGTTAAAAAGTCTAGCCATGTAGTCATGAGGTTCAATCTGCAAGAACCGCAAGAACAATCAATCAGTGAGGATATCATTCTGCAATTACAAAGAAAATCTGGTTGATCAAGAGAAACTAATAACCTGAGTGACGTATGGGTTAAAAGTTAATCCGACAGAAGTAACAAACTCCTGTGCAACATGAGGCTAGTCGATATCAGAATACGCATAAATATGGGCGTTGTAGTTCCCAACAGCACCTGCAAATTTCCCCTTAATCTTAGTTTCTGAAAGATATCTCCTTTCTTGGCTTAACCTCACAGCGAAAATCGCCATTTCCTTGCCCAATGTTGTAGGAGAAGCTGGCTGCATTTTACAATTCATAATTGACTGTATCAAAATCATAAACAACTGCATTAACTCAATAATGGAAATTCTTTTCTTTTGAGCATTACCTGGCCATGAGTGCGTGAAAGCATGGGGACGTATGCAAATTCCTTGGCCATGAGAGAGATGGATTTGATCAGCTCATCCATGGTTGGAAGTATAACAGAAGTAAGTGCTTCTTGAAGCATTAAACCATTGGAAAGATTGTTGATGTCCCGAGACGTGCAAGCAAAATGGAAAAACTCAGGAACCTGAAATTGATTCATCAAAGAATTGGATGAAAGCTTGAAAAGCTAAGTAAGGAGAAAGATTTGAAAACCTTAGCAATCTCAGGATGTGATTAGCAATCTCAGGTTCAAGAAATACTCCACAGCTTTGACATCATGATTAGTTACTCTCTCGATCTTCTTAACTTCCAATGCATCATCAATGCTAAACCCATCGATTATGCCTTGCAAGTACACCTCAGCATCTTTGGTAAAGCTTGCAACTTCGGTGACTTGAGGGATTTTTGAAAGCTTCATAAGCCATTTGATCTACAAAAACATATATAAAAAAACAAACCTTTATACAACTAAACAACTCGCACATACTTCGTCCACCAAATGAAAGAACAAAAAGCGTAATTTTGAGAAAGAAAAGCACCTCGACAAGTACTGGGAATAGATCAAACCAAACTCGCTCATAGAAGAAGCCAATTCCTTAACTTTACCCCAATAACGTCCATCTAAAGGCGATTACGCTCCTAAAATAGACATCTCTGACTCTAAGTCTCTGGAAAATTAGCTTTTTCAGGTTAAGTAGCGTCGGAAACTCGCTTGAAAACCTACGCTCTAACGTAATTACCTTCCTGACTTGAGTGAGTTCGTCATGTGCAGCGAAGGCTCTCCTTTCACTTGATTGGCTTGAGTGGTAAAAATAGCTGATACACCTAATGGAGATAAGAATCAATCGAGATTCGAGAAGAGAGGAATCGAGATTCAGACCAAAACGGGAGTAAATAAAAGTGATGTTTCAGCTTCTGCAATTTTACAATTGTGTAACGAAGACGCCTGAGAAGGGGGTCGAGGAGAGAGAAGAGAGCGAGGTTTTAGCCTTTTTAGGTGAGAAGGAGAGAAAAGAAGGAAAAAAAGAGAAAATTTGTGAAGCCGCCACGTGGCCAATTCTCCCATGCTGACGTGTCGATGAGCTGGAGAGAGTTGGCCTTTTATTATATATAAGATGAGATAAAAATAGATGCATGATAGACACGTGTAGCACACAGGTGTTTCATGGCAGGGTAAGCGGAGAAGCCATTGCCATCAAGCTAGTCCGCATGTCTGGTGAATCTTGGCGAAGTCAACCTCCGGAATCACTCTGCTGAGCCACCGAATCTGACCTTGAACCCCAAATATTGTAATAGACTCCAATTTTGAACAGATGCGACATTTTCATGACTATAATTTTTCACCACCGCAGGAAACGCATCTCCAACAGCCTTGATGTTTAGAATACTCCACCACACAACCGTAAATACGACTCTTCAGCGGAGGGCTAAGATTTTACTCCCAATATAAAGATGATAAGAGCAAATGATATAGTGAGAAAATCCATCATAATACGTAGGATCTTGGCTTCATCGATGGAGATCTGACTATTCACATAGAAAGCCTTGTTAGAAAAGGAGAAACAAACCTAAAACTAAAACACACCAAAATATCCGAAAAAAGGAAAACCGAACTAAGTCGGAACTACAACCGGGCATAGCCGGATATAAACAACCTAATCAGATCGGAGAAGTATTTACAACAAAAGCTCCGAAATTAATCGGAGAAGAAATAAGCTTTCTCTTTCTGAAATATTCGAGAGAGAGAAGAGGGAGAAAGCTCTGATAATCTGTCTAATAACGTCGATATAACATTCCAGATGACTAATCTTACGACCAAATTCACTTCCTCTTCAGAAATCAGCAGCTGTACTTCTGTGTTCGAAATAACGGAAAAGTCAATATGATTATATGTAAGGAATAACTTCTTTTTGTTTTCTCTGTCGCTATGCAATTACTGAGACAATCCGATTCGTCTTGATCAAACTCACATGGAATGTATTCACAATTTTTTTTTTTTTAATTAAAAGCGTTCATCTTTCCTTTTCCAAATATAATATGAAGAGAAGTCGCATGCTGCATGCATGTGTAATTATTATCTCGTAATGGGTTTTTAAATTCTCCAATCAATAACAAAACATTGAACAAAAAAAAACGACATTTTGACAACATACATTGCATGTTATATTATTTATACCGCACAACACAAACGTTGACGAAAACAAAGATGATAGATACAAACGAACTACCGATGGCCATTTGCTGTGGAAATATCGTCTTGTGTGATATTTTTCAGATTAAATTTTAAGAAGTTTGTTTTTGCTTTTGTTGTTGTTCGTGATGAAATACATTGTTGGGCTGCCCATACTTAGTATCCAGCCCTCTGCTCCCCACCTTCATTCGAGCACTCTCTATCCTCTGATCAGATCCAGATCCCGTCACATGCCTAAACACACATAATATATCCATTACTACAACAAACATAGGTCGTGCAGAGAAAGCTACGTTTTGAGAAACCTAGGTCACACTTTGTGTATGAAAATTACCTGTAGAGCCAAGAGAAGGCGGTAATGGCGGCTATGCCAAAGCCACCGGAGGCTAGGAATCCAGTGATGATGAGAACCACGGTGATAACTGCCGGGACCAAGATGGGGCTGAAGATGACAAGAAGAGGAGTGGCTATGGTGAGTGCGATCACTGTTCCGGCAAGGGTTAAGCCGGAGAGGACAAGGAGGGAGCCACCGGCTGTGACCGCGGTTGCTGCCTTAACCATCTGCATCCCCTTTGGATGTTCTGTGTCTCGGCTTACTACGTCGTGATGGATTCTTGTTTGGTCCGTCATTGATTCTTTTTTTCTCTGTCTTTCTTTATGATCGATCCAATGGAGAAAGTAAGAAATATATAGAATGAACGTTGTAGTATTATACTGGGAGCATAAGCAATGATGATATATAATATGAAGGAGTGTGGAGAGATGTGGTGGGTCTTTTCTTGAGCCGTGATACGTGTCGAGAGTGTCTTCATGCAGCCGTTGCATGTGTAAACGAGAGTAGAGAGGGGTCTATTTCGCGACACGTACGTTAATTGGCAGTTTTGTTATTTATCAAGTCGCTTCTCGTTGGCCTCGAATAGGATCAAAAGAAACATAAATGGATCGATCGGGATCAGTTGTATTATATACGGGCTTAATTGATCCCATTTCTATAGAAGGAAAGAAAGAGTAGAATGGCCCAAAACAACTTTATATATCCCACATAGTAGCTCGTAGCTCGTAGCTCGTAGATATAGAAGGAAGGAATAAAAATATGGTACCTGAAAAAAAAAAAGTTATGTCTCGTTGCTTCAAGGAGGATGCAAAGGATGCAATAGACCTAAATGTTCGAAATTAGATTGAGAAATTTTATGAAATACACTTTTTGAGGTGCAATTTTCAAAACTACACCTATAGTGTGGAAATTTTTAAAAATACATTTTTCACTAATTTTAATATATATGTTTGGGTTCACTAATTTTAGATTAGGGTTTAGATTTTGGGGTTTAGGGTTTAGATTTAAGGTTCAATGTTAGATTTTAGGGTTTTGGATTTATATTTTACAGTTTAGAATTCTTTTACTCAATGAAAAAGTGTAGTTCTAAAACTAATCATAAAAATGTATTTTCGAAAATTGGCACCTCAATAAGTGTAAGTTTTGAAATTTCCCCAATTCGATTCTCTAAACTTTTAGTAGCTAGGGAAATGTAAAAACTAGCTAGTGACCAGTTTCTGAGTTTGATTTCAAATAAAGTACGTGCTGTATTATGTAATTGTTATGTGATATGCATTGGCCAACAAATATCGAAACCAATTAAAATTAAGATCATTTAGTCGAAATCTTGCATTAGGTTTACCAAAAAACCCCTAAAGTCCTAAACCACTTACAACCTTTGGAGAATTTGTTGGATTGGTACTTTTTTTTTTAAAATTAAATAGGTTTATAATAGAAATAAAAAAATTACTTTTTCAATGAAAAATACACATGACAAGTTTTAGGATGGAATACAGTTATGAAAAACATATTTTATGTTAAAGATAGTGTGACCATCTCAAATGAATTACATTATTTCATTTATCATTTTAGTATTCCCCTATAATGATGTTGTGTTTCTCTCCAATGTATTCCCATATTTTTAACACTAAAAATGGAATATTTTAGGTATGCTACAAACTCTCAAGTTATCAATGTATAAAGATGAACAGTAAAATATATTGTTTTGAAATAGGTTGAGAACTAATATGCTACAATATATTATATGCGAACAAAGAAAAGTTGAAAGTACAGAGACATGATATGGAAATTTAAAATGATGGAGAGAAAACTATAAATAATGTAAAAGATCCATGGACAACAACAAAGAGCACGACTCAAAAGGTGACCGAGGCGATGGTTGAGTGTCGTTAAGAGGCGGACATGGCTCAAGATGATGTTAATAAGAACTTAAACTTAGAAAATCAGAAAGTTGATGGTTATTCGAGGAATTTATTAGTTCACTAAACAAACCGTTTTTTTTTTTTGTGTTAGAAAGATAATAACTATTCATGCAAATACTAACAAATCACAGAAATAATTCTCCAATATTTGGAAAAATTAGAACTAAAACATTTAATTAAACAGAACTGCATCATCTACTACAAAACTTCAATATTATACAAAACAACAAAGGAAAACAATAAAAACATATTTTTAAATATATATAAATGATAATAAACTGGAAAAACCCGCTCTTACACTGGGTATAATCTCTAGTATGTTAAAAATGACTATGAGTGTGTCTTGGAAATACATCATATTGGTTTTGAAAAACATAAATACTGTTTACAATGTATTAGTGTATATGGGAAAGAAAAAAAGATATTTTTGTATCAATAAAAGTACATTAAAATATACTAGGGCTTGGCCCGCGCGATGTGCAGGTTTTATGTATTACATTTTTTCTAGGGAAACTACACTAGATAATTATATTGGAAGACTGAATTGAGAGAATAACCATTATTTTTCATGGCTAGAATATTCTACATATTTTCCATAATGATGTCAAAAGTGTCTCTTCCATGAGAGAGAGAAATGGCTCTTTTGTTAGATATGTGGTTAAATGCTTAATGGGTTGCCAGTTTCGAGGAAAGAGAAAAACACTTTCAAATGCACCAGAAAACGACATAACAACATGTTTATTTATATATTCTCCTTTATGGACCTTTATGGAATGGAAATGGATGTTAGTTAAGTAATATAGTACGGCTGTAACATTGAGGATAAATGGTGTAGCTAACTTTAAAGATCTAAACGTGTATAAATTGTTCCACATTGCTCTACTTAACAAATGCACTCAGCTTTATTAGCTGTCGAAAACCTAGTTATGGTGAAGTTATTAAAGATTACTTGAATTTAAAACCAATCATAAATGAGAGATATCACTAATTTATTCCATATCATAAGCAACAAAATAAAGTATAGGATTTATTGGTTTAGTGTTTATTGTCTTGGGTTTAGGGTTTATTGGTTTGGGGTTTAGGGTTTAGGGTTTAGTTTATTTATTTATTTGGGGTTTAGGGTTTATTGGTTTAGTGTTTAGGGTAGAGTTTTGGATTCAATGTTTAGTTGGTTGGGGTTGATTTGGGTGGGTTTAAGGTTGGAGTTTAGAGTTTAGGACCTTTAGGTTTTAGTTTACGGTTTAGTTAGTTGGATTCAGTGTTTGTTGGTTTGGATTATGGTTAAGGTTTAGAGTTTAGGGTTTGGTTTGGGGTTTAGGGTGCAGAATATTTTTTTGTTTGGTTAAGGGAATAAGATATTACCCAAATATTGGAATTATCTTAATAAATTATGAAATTAATCAAGCTCTTAATATTTTTGTTATAGATTGACAGCTATATGTTTTGGTAAATTTTTGGGTTCCAAAAAATGGTGATAAAGTGGTTCTTGCAGGAGGAAGTTTCGTGGTCCTGTGTATCCAACTGGTGACATCACTATTTGGCCACATCATATCATTGATTCATTTCCCTTCGCAGCCGCTTTCATCCTTCTCAATTCATTAAGCCCTTTTAAGTAAATTCACGGGACCCTTTTGCCACATTTCTAATTTCCAATTCGTTATATCCTCTATTATGACTCTCAATACTATTATTCAGCTAATTGACCCTTTATTCTATGTTTATATAGTTATACTTTTTAAACTTTATCCACATAGTTATAAATTATCTAAGAAACATATAAATAAAATCCAAATTAAATATGTTGTTTAAAGATAAAAAAAATGATGAACTGTTAAAACTTTAATTTTAAACAACATCTATGTAAAGAGGCAATATCAATGGCCAGTGAGAGAGAGAAGGGAGAAAACAATGAAATTCATCAACTCTTTATAAATTTAACAATTCCATCAACTCTTAAAATTTATCAACTCTATATATCTTCATCTCCCAATAACCCCCCCCCTACCCCCCTAAATGAGGTGAAATCAATAGGAGAAAGCATTGGGCAATAGAGAATTCTCAAGGTTTCATAGATCGAATCAAGCAAATAGATAGAGAAATCAATAGTTTTGTTCTAGAATTCTAATTGATAAGTATAATCGACCTACTCCCGTAGTGCCAATTACTATGTCTAACAACCTAAATCACACAACTCTCGCAGGTAATCAAGAGGTTAAACATGTAAGAACAGTCCAAATTTGATAACTCTACTTCCGTAGGTTTAGTTCACAAAGCTTTGTAATTCTACTTCCGTAGGTTACTATGCTTTGTTCTTCTACGTGATTCAAGAGATTTAACAAACGGTCAGAAAGTAAATCTACTTAAGAACAATAGCTTAGACGGTCAATCGAGCTATAAGCAATAAGCACAAACTTAGATGAAGAACTCTAATGATAAAACCCTAATCTAGCAACCTAGCAATCAATCCATGAAAACCCCTTGAAACCTCTTAAACTCAACAAGGAGATTACTCAAGCATAGTAATAGAGATCAAGCACATAGATGAAGAAGAATTCATAATAAAACTTGATAAGAAGTAAAAGGGTTCATAAATCTCCTCTATTGCATACTTCCAACGGCATTGGAACACTAACTCATTTGGCTATCTTGGTGCCGAGTTTCATTGAAATCCGTTGAGTTTAAGGGCATGTGCCGTTGCTTCCCGTTTGATGTTACAGTCTGATCAAGCTCATTCGTATATGTCTTAGGGAAATATATATATCTCCTAATCTACTCGTTCAAACTGAATGATTCTAGTTGCATTGCAAAGATAACTCATGTATGCATCGCGTCGAATTGGATTTGGAGAATTCCATTGAGTAATGTTTTTAAGGCCCTTCTAAAGTTGATGCTACGTCGTGGAGTGGTCTTGAAGTCCAAATCATGTGTTTTGCTCCAAAATGCATCTTTCGACCTGTTTAGACTTTAAGTACTATAAATCCATTAAAAAAAATTCCTTTTTATATCATAAAGTCATTATAAACCTTTCAGTTTATAAACTACCTTCCCCTTTTCTTTTCTCTACTTCTAGCTTGCATGTTTCAATTTATCTAGTCTAGAAGTAGCGATTTCTCCATAAGGAAGAGGAGCGGTTTGACTCATATCTCTCCACCTCTCTCTCTCTCCTATGAACCTATGAGATCTCTTCTATTCTCCATGACCTGTTATTGGATTATTGATCCTTCAATGAGGACATGATATGATGCCTTTGAGAAATCGGTTGTTAAATAAAGGGGAAACCCTATAGGTTCTCCATCTTTATTTGCGCCTAATGCTTGTTGCTAGAGTAGCTAACTAGTGACTCGTTCCTAGGTTGATATACTCTCCAAAAGCTTGTTATATCTCCGGATATAATATTTGATAGGCAAATCGTTTTAGGCTATGAAAGTAGACCTAAAGAGTTTTGTGAGCAATCATAACTTGAGTGTAATGCATGTCTCACTCTACAATGACCAACGAAAGCTGAGACCATTGGTTTAAGAGACACAAGGGATTGGAGCCACGAAAGTGGGATAATCCTTCCTTAGTGTTTTGAGTTCAAAAGAATCGGATTTTAACAAACTTTTCAATCGACTTGGCATGTGTTTTCAAAGAAGTCTTTCAATGATTCAATAATGTTTGCTTGTATAGATTTGCATTGTTCATATGTTCTTTCTTTTATATATGTGTTTGATTCCAAACCTCATAAACACAAAACTTGCACTGATTTAGGTTAGTATCTTAAACTCCACGATTATGCAATGTGTGAAATCCAATCTCTTGTGGTTCGACCCCTAAGAACAAAGATTACATGTTGTGTACTTGCAACTTTAGTTTTGTTTTTAGGGATTTATTACTTGTATAATCCCGCATGCCATCAAGAACCAAGTAGCACTCCTCAGTGATGGAGGCTGGGTTTAGCTTCCTCAAATGATAATATTTTTAACCCAACCAATGTAGCTGCAAGTGCACAGCAAGAGCAGTAGTATAGTCGGGGTCGAACCACAGGGAGATGTGATTTCACTTCAAACCTACAAAGATTGAAAATCAAGCTAGAACAAAATATGAGAGGTTGTGAGTAGCAAAGCAAAAGAGAACAAAGCAGTGATTAGAATGAGGTGTAAACAATAAGGGAAAGTACTAGGCATTAGGCAAATCGCAAAGCATCACAAATTATCAACAAACAATCAAGTGAAAGGGATTCATTATCATTCTTGAACTCAAATCACTAAGGTATAGTCTTTCCACTTTCGTGGCTCCAACCACTATGTTTAAACAACCTAATAGACTCAGCTTTCGTTGGTTATTACAAGTTGTAAACATGCATTACAAGGTTCAAGATTCAATTGTTCACAATAGTCCATAACTCAACTTTCGTTGGCCATGACCTATTGCTCACCAAATACTAGTTCCGGCAATATAGCAAGCTTTTGGAGAGTATATTAACCCAAGATCCGATGCTAGATAATCAGAAAAGCAAACGGCATTATGCTCAAGTAAAGGTGAAGAACTCAAAATATAATCCCAACTCACAAGATCAAAAGATTAAAGTTGACAATTCATGAACTCATTGATTTACCATTAGCCTAGCAAAGGATCTACTCAGCCATGATGCAAACAACACAACAAGTTATGATTGAAAGCATTATGAAAGTATTAAAAGAGGTAAAGGGATGAAGAAAGCTTCTCTATTGATGAACAAAGTCGGATTCTCCCTTGAAACTCTTAGATCCAATACAAAAGAATGAGAAGAAAAGAAAACAAAGGTTGTATGTTGTGCTAAGGGTCTTGAACGGCGCCTCCTTTCTCTTCCTCTGGACGGCGCAGCTTCTTCTGGTTTCTCTCTCTGACGGCCAACCCTAGAAACCCTCGACTCTCCTTTGTTTTGAGGCTAAAAACATGTATTTATAGGTTGTAGGTCGGTTAGGGCATTGAAGTGCTGGAAAAGGAAAGTTTCCCATGAGCCAAGCCTTCTTCTCCAAGTCGTGTATGGGCCGACATTGTACCAAGGAAAGCTCCAAACATTAGCCAGGCCTCTTCTTTATTCAATCAAGGCCTTTGGCGCTGCTGCTCGGGCCATTAGACACTCCAAATCCTCCATGGGCTTCGTTTGCTCGTTTACCGGACATGTCTCGGTAGAAAATAAGGTCCGCCCTTATGGTTGATCCAAATGGCATCATTCCACTTCGACGTGATGCATGACTCAAGTATCTATCTTTAAATATCAAGATCGTGACTTTTTGACGTCGGGAACCCCTCCGTTCGCGGCCAAACTTCCGAAGCTTCGTTCCTGCTCGATAGCGAGAATTGTCACTTGGAGATAAATTGATGCTCTTGACTTGGAAACTTGCATGGATCATGGTTTGAGGCTCTTTTGCTCCTTTTTCCATCCTTTTTGATTGTTTACCCTGTTAAGACTCCAAAACCAACAAATACAAGAAAACTATCTCCAAAGGCATAAAACCTTTATGAAAGTACTTAAAAACATATGAAAATACTAAGTGAAAACATGCAAAATATAGATATATCACTCAGCTGATCCAACAACTCGTCAATCCTCGGGAGAGGGTACCTACTCTTCACAGTGACTCGGTTAAGACCTTTGTAATTGATGCACAATCGAAAACTACCATCCTTCTTCTTCACAAACAACACTGGCGCTCCCCACAGCGAAACACTCGGCCGAATGAACCCCTTAGACAAAAGGTCCTCTATCTGTTTCTTCAGCTTTGTGAACTATGTTAGAGCCATCTTGTAAGGCGTCTTAAATATCGGAGCCGTCCCCCGCTATAACTCAATCGTGAAAGGATCAGACCGAGATGGTGGTAATCCCTTCAGCGACCAAAACACATCCTCAAACTCCTGGCAACCCGAATATCCCCAATAGCCACCTCGCCTCCTGACTCAGACATAGAAATCGCCGCCAAATACGCCTCACAACCCCGCTCTATCATCTGCTCAGCCTGAATAACCAATATCACAATACTCCCGGAAGTCGGTCTCACTCCTTGAAACACCAACCTCCCTGCATCTCGCTCGAAGACCACTTTACCTCTGTAGCAATCTAGATGTACTCTGTAATACTCCAGCCAGTCCATCCCCAAAATAACGTCATACAGCTCCACCGGACAGATGACCAAATCTTCTGGCATTTATTGCCCTGCAATCTGATTATCAACTCCTCTAGCACGGCCCGGAGTAGCCAGGAATCCACCTCCAGTCACCTTGACCATACCTGAAGGCTCACCAGCGCTGCTTGATGCGGAGTCAGGTTTTACCAAACTCCTAGACCTCTGCAAGTGCACAGATCGCGGAAGTATGGGTATCGAACACAAGGACTGGCTATTGAGTACACTTTGAAACTATGGATTTTGGATCAAGCTAAAACAAAAGTATGATTGAGGTTGTAATGGTGAACCGAACTAGCAAGTATAACGAGGTTGTAAACAATAAAGGAAAAGCGCTAGGTCATAGGGGCTATCGCAGAGAAGCAAGCAATGATCAATGAAACAATGATAGATTAATTGATTAGGGATATTGGGATATTAAGAACCATCTAGAACACAGATCACGAATATAAAACCATTCCACTTTCGAGGCTCCGGCTCCTTTGCTAATCTACCTAGTCGCTAAACTTTTGGTATGTCCCTAGGTGATTAGATCAAGCATTAGAATGAATAGGTTCTGATACAGTTCACTAGATATAGATAGATCAACTTTCGCAGTCTAAGAAACCTAGCTTGTCAAAGAATATGTCCGGCGAATGATACAGCACTGTCGAGGCTCAAATCAACCTAAGATCGGATTACTAGATGCGCGGTAAAGCAATCAGCATTAGTTAAGTGCACAAGACGAGACAAAGACTCTAATATAATCCCTAGCTAATCATTGAAATCAAAGATCATGCAAGCAACTCATTGAATAGTAACCCTAGCAACCTAACTAGTGGATTACTCAGACATGATCAAAGCAAACACACATAGAGATGAAGAAAACATGATTGCAATAAAACTTAGAGTAGGAAATCGAAATACAGGGCGGCTCTCTTTCTCAAGAGGCTAAAAATCCATATATATAGTGCTAGGTCTTTCTAGAGGCGGCTTAGGGTTAAGCCGGGCTTGAAAACATAAGTTTGGGCTTCAAAAAGGGCTTCGGGTCGACCGCGGCGTTGGGACGGTCGTGCGGGACGATCGGCCGGACAATCGGGTCGTGGCGAGTCGGAACGGTCGGGGTCGGATGGATTCGCGGTCGGCCGGCGTGGTCGAGCGGATGAGATTTGGCCGATGAAATTCTCGGCCGGACGTGGGACGTTCTTTCCCGGCTCGGACGGATGCATCGGCCGTGGTACGCGGAACGGTTGCGCGGCCGCGAGGCTTGTTTCCCGGCTCGCGCGCTTTGGTCGTGCGCGGTGTGGCGTGAGCGTTGGCTTGGCCGACCGCGGGACAATGTTTCCCGGGTCGTGTGCGTGATCGGCCGGTCGGTTTGGACTTTGGCCGAGACTTCAGTCGGACGGATGTGATTTGGCCGAGCGCGGAACATTCGTTCCTCGGCCAGCCGGACTGCGCGGTTGGGCGCTGTTCTCGATAGAGCCGTCTGGACAGTCTTCACTCTTTTGGTTGTAACTCCTTTTCTACTCATCCAAATGAGGCCATTCCAGTTGCGTTGGAAAGTTAACTCAATCAGAGCACGCAGGGAACTGGTCTTGATGAAATCCATTGAGTAGATCTTTTTCTGGGCCCTCTTAAAGTTGGTGCTTGTGCATGGAGCTGCTTGAAGTGCAAATCCTATGGTTTTGCTCCAAAATGCATCATTTCACCTGTTTAGACTCTAGACACTATAAACACAGTAAAACTACCTTTTTAGATAGAAAACCTGCCAAAAACCATTAGAAAACAATGCTAAAACAGTATAAAAAGTGGGTAAATTAGAGGTATATCAACTCCCCCAGACTTAGATCTTTGCTTGTCCTCAAGCAAAAAGAATCTAAATCCGTGAAAGAGGTTTGAAAACGTGGAAGCTCCCTTGCTCTTTTGAATATCCTGTGAAAGGTTCCTTTCCTGTATTCCACTATGAACATAGACAACATAAGGTTAGCTTCACATACACCCTGCAAGTTTAGCGAACAATACCAACCCAACTAGTCTCATCCAGCAATCCAAACTCTCTATTGCTAACCTCTTGCATAAATTTAAAGCGTGAATTCTTTATCAAGGGGACATCGATCAATTGAACTTGTTCTTACCCACTTGATCCTCTCCAAGATTGCCTCTTTAAGTGCAATGAGTTCTTTTCCTCTCTCTTTCTCACATCAGAACTTTGAAAGGTCAATTTATCCCTACTTTTCTAGGGTATCATTTTATTTTTTCTATTGACCCTTCTTTCAACCACAGGATAAGTCTTTAGCTTGTTCCTTGTTTGACTAAGGTATTCCATAAGACATGAAGGTACAGACATATGCATTCCTCATGCTTACTTGTTGTCCTTGTGCTCTTTGAGCTTTTTCTCATAAATATACTTACCATTTGGGATGGGAGAGAGAGGAGAACTCTTTAAAGATTAGACAAATCTTATTGAAAATCAAGCAAGGAACTGTCGACATGTATGCCAACCCCCTTGACAAGAGTAATTAAGATTGATTAAGGTGAGGTTAACTCTAGATTGCTTGGTTACCTTAGAAATTTTGCTGAGCTAGCATGTCGATCCACTGTAAGAGCTTCTGTTAGGCTTGTGCCTTTAGCTGGTTTCTGCTCTAGGGTCATGGATTGTTAGCATAACACTCTCAATTCTCAAAGCAAGTTCATAACTTCCGGACTGGTTTTTGACTCAATAAAACTTTTTGAAAAACATGAAACAAAGTGAATAAAACATAAGAAAAGAAAGAAAAATGCATTAGTAACACAATAAAACTCCCCCCAGACTTAACTTGCACCGTCCCGGTGAAAGCAAATCACATTAAGGTGAGAGGTAATATTCAAAGTAAAAGAAAAATAAAGAAAAATTCATTAAAATAAGATAGGGATAGAAAATGGAGATTTGTAAGTGTCCATTGCACTAAGTACCACTTGAGATGACTATGTGTGGCAGTGAGAAGAACTCTCTTCCTCATCTATGGGGTCATCGCCTTCTGAACCAAGCTCTGAGTCTAGTGAGAACTCACCAAGGTCAGGCTCATATGGCTCTCTAGCGGTGGAAGAAGGGCGAAAGAGTCTCTCCGGTGCAATGTGGCGAACTACGCGGACTAGGCGCGAGATGAAGCGAGATTGGCATTCCACTATCTTCTCCAGCTTGTTAACACGGTCTAGAGCCTGGTGCGCAGCCATGCCAGTAGTGAGAACATGGCGTTCTTGGAGGCGGCGTTGAGTCTTGACTGCATGCTGAAGTGTGCGATAGGTGAGCATGGGGAATGATGGTTTCTCACTTGATGGAACATAGAATCTTCCTCATTGGGCTGGAAAGTGACAACTCCTGAGCGTAGGCTTGGGATGTCTCATGTGGCAGCAAGACAAGGGAAGTGTTGGCTGGACCAATTGGAAACTCATAGCAAAACCGAGTTGGGTCTTTAGTCCAACGGTTTAGGAAGTGGATGTGCTGAAGAGCATGGAGATCCAAAGGGGTTGGCTTGGGTAGTGGCTCATAGTTGGGAATGTCAATCCCCACATGCAGTACTATGGCCGTGATAAGCCTCCCAAAACGAACACAAAGCTTCTTGTTGCCTTCCAAGTCTTTAGCTAGCTTCCTCACATTGATGAATGTCTTGGCAAGTAAAAGTCCAAGGTTGGCCTTGTACTCATGCTTGATGAATGGTGTGGTGAGGATGTAGAACTCATCAGTTGTGACCTTGTTGGCTTCTTGTTTGCATTGGAAAGTGGTGGAGATGAGGCGGTGCACATAGCGAATGGCTGGATGGTGATTCTAGACACCTTTGACCTTGAAGGCAAGAATGGTTCATTGGCAAAGTGTGTCCAATCAGCAAAGGCAGCTTGTTTCCTCTTTGAGTTCTCCTTGAAGTCATGTGCTGTCTCATTGGGAAGTCCAAAGAGTTGGCATAGAGCTGAGATGGATATGCGCCCATTGGCATCGCCTATCTTGAAGAGTAGGAGTCCTTCACCAGCTGGTTGGTCTCCATTGTGGTTGGGAAAGGCAAGAGCTACTGTAGAGAGGAACTCCTTGGTGAGTTGTGAGTACTCACTACATTCTAGCTTGAAGAGCTTGCTCAAGCCTAGCTTCATGTACCATTCATCCATCTTGACCATCTTCACACATTCGATGTTCACCTTCTTCCACTTTCTTGGGTCTTGATTTTGTTCTCCAACAAAGGTTACAAGTGCCCAATCATCTTCTCCTCTTCTTGGACTCTCCACATGTTCTTGATTGCATCAATGGAATGTGGTGAAGTTGGTATTGCTGCTCTTGCATTGGAGCTACTACTCCCTAGCTTGATTTGCTTCTTTGGTGGTTCCATGAATGGGTTCTTCTTCTTCTTCATACTCTCATTTCCTTTTGTCTTTGCCATTGTGTACCTACAAGAGCAAATTCTTGGGAAGAAATATGAGTTTGTGATTAATGCAAAAGAAGAATAAGCTAATTGAGTTGCAATAATGATATGGAATAAAGGAACAACTCAAGGCTTAATCATGAATCAAAGAGACAAAATAGAAATTTCACTTTTTCAAAATTAATTTTCGGATTTTACTGTTCATCCCAAGATTATGGTGCTTAAAATCAAAATTTTCAGCAAATCAAGAGAAATTGAGTTTCTAATCCAAGTAATCACTAGATAAACTAATGAATTGAAGTATGCCAAGCAATTTCACCTTTGAATAAGGGGTTTGGAATGCCCAATAAGTTTTGTGAAAAACTATTCAATTGTGAAATTAAACTTCAAATTAACTCTAAACCACCTAGGTTCCACCTAGCAAAGTTCATTACAAGACTATAAGGATGCTAATTTCAAGTCTAGACAAGAGTTTAGACCAAACATGAAACTTATTAAGATTTTCGATCTTGCATAAACATAGGATTAGAGTTAGAAGACATACCTTGTGTGTTGAAAAGTGAATAAGGTTGCAAGAGCAAGTAAATTCCAATTTAGAGTTATGAACAGTAAAAGTTTTGAAATCAAAACTCTTAGAGTTCCTCTAATGGAGTTTAGGGTTTTGGAGAAGAAAGAGAGGTTCTTGTGGTTTTCAAGGGAAAGGTGAAGTAAATAAGATCTAAATCCTATCAATTTTCCTTTTCAAATTCGAATTTTGATTGAAAACCGGTTTAAGTTGGTTTAGATTGGTTAAAACCGGTTTGAATTAAATGAAAAGGGGACTTACCTTGGCCAGAAAAGTTTTGGGCCGATGGCCGATGGATTTTGTCGCGGTCGAGCGATTTGGTCGGCCAAATTCGTTTGGCCGAGAGAATTTCGGCCGAGGCCGAGCGTTGTTTCCCGGATCGACCGGCACGGTCGGTCCGTTCCGATACAAAATTTCGGCCGATCGCGGCTTCTTTCCCGGTTCGTGCGTGTCGCGCGAACGGTTTCTGTCGCGCAATAGAGTGAATCCGGCCGAGCACGGCCAAATGAGAATTGCTCGGCCAAAATTACTTTTGCGCGTCCGCGGCCAATGTTTTGGCGCGGATTGTGTTTTCACACCTTTTTCTCCTTCTATCCTATCTTAAAACAAAGAAAACACAAAAGCAAAACAAAAACTAAGAAAATTAAAGAAAGAAAAGTAAAAGTACCTCATGGGTTGCCTCCCATGCAGCGCTTGTTTTAAGTCTTTAGCTTGACTGTAAGGCTTGGCGCTCAGGAGAAGATAGAGACAAGAGGCATCCTTGATCCTCCAAGTCTTTTCTCCTTGCAATGAGTATCTGGTGGGTGATTCACAGCTGGATAGACAATCTCTCCATGAATGTCCCTTGGCACTACTGCCTTAGGAAAAAGCTTTAGAGTTCTTGTCACTCTCTCCTTGAATCCTTCTAGATTCTCATCAATAAGCTCCTCTGGGAATAGAAGCTTCATGTTGCGGCCAGACCTAGGTTTTCTAACCTTCCTTCTTGGCTTGGCCTCATCTTCAATCTTGGTTGATCCCTTGGGCGGTTTTGGTGTAGGGGCCTTAGTCTTACTCCTTGCTTGTTTGGCAAGCTGCTTGGGCTTAGGAATGGGATCTTCCTTGATTGTTTCTTCAGTTTCTCCTTCTTGGGGTGGCTTCAAAGTAGCTTTCTCCTCTTGGACCATGTCAACAAAAGAGTTCTTTGTTGAACACATAGGGAAGAACATACCCTTGTTCACCTTGTTGAAAGAGATTCTTTGATTGGGGAAATCAAATATGGCACCCACAGTAGACAGGAAAGGGGTTCCAAATATGAGAGGTCTATGGCTACTCTCTCTCATTTCCACAATCTGGAAATCAGTAGGGATAGAGCAATTTCCAATCTGCACCATCACATTAGGCACAAAGCCATAGGGTGTTTGTGAGAATGAATCAGCATAGTTGATGGAGATGGATGATGGCTCTATCTTGGTGAGGCCTATCTTGTCAGCTATCCTCTTAGACATGATGTTCACATTGGCTCATGTGTCTGATGATAGGATTTGTGTGTGGATGTGAAAAGATATGAAATGAGATGAGTGGAATGCAATCAGTGGTATATGATGAGGTGGTAAGATGCAAACACAAACACAGTCAACAATTCCCTTTAACCATGATAGTTGATGTAGTACAAAGGGTTATCAATCCAAAATGGGAAACTTGTCACTCTATGAGAATATGAAACAACCAGGAAGTCAAGCAAGCAGTTAATAGATTTGAAGTAACACTAACAACCTAAAAAAATGAAAAGCAGTGCAATAAAAGTAAACAAAGCAGTGAAGTGTCAGCTCGACCAAGAGCTCGAGTCGAGTCAGAGCAAAGTACCAGCTCGATCGAGTTTAGGGACGAGTTGAGACAAACAAAGCTAAAGGTGACGACTTTAACAAGATAAAGAGAGAATTAGGGTTCAAGACAGGGTTTTGCAATCAAAGGAATCTACACTTAATCAATCTAGCTCTTAAAACTCCTTGTATCAAGGCTTCTCTTGATATTGGGCTTCTCAATGCCTAGCCAACCCTTTCCCAAGGTGGAGGCTATCAACCAAGGAATGATCTCAGAAACAGGGGGTTAGCCAGTGAGAATCAAACCTTGGAGGCTATAGGATCATTGCCCAAACTAATCCATCCAACCCCTTAGACCTCTATTGTCTAGAGCAAGAGATATTGGAGCTCTTAGTGGATCTTTTCCAGCGAATGCCATCACTTTCGTGTGGGGAGTCGCCTAAGGACTTACAAGCCAGGGGTAGTGGTCATGTAGCCTTAAGATCTATCCAAAAGAGAGAGAATCTAGATTAAGACCATAAGCTAGAAGGATTAAGCATATGAAACCTCTAATCTATCCCATCTCAAACCCTAATGGGTAACTACTCACTACACATGAATGTAAACACAAGCAAATGCAATAAAAGAGACATCATAAGAAAGAGGAGATGAAATTAAACAACTTTTATTGAAATAAGCAAGTGCAAATACAAAGAGATTATCCAGGATCTAGGATTCAAGAAGCAAGAGCTTCAAGAACACAAAGATGGGATTAGATCTCTAAAAAGTAAAAGACAATAAATTAAAAGAAACTAAAACAAAATAATCTAAAGCTTGGTGGTTTTTTCGTGGCTTAGAGCCTTTAAATACAAGAGGATTAGGTTTAGGGTCAAAGGAAAGTCAAGGGGGAAGCAACATTTTTCGGGTTTGACTGTTGACTTCTCAGCTCGATCGAGTTGAAGCTTGGCCGGTCGAGTTGAGGAACTCGACCGGTTGGTCGAGTAGACGGTCGAGCTGGTCTTCAAGATGGCTTCTCCCTTCTTCCTTTGCGTATCCAGTTGAGCTGCTTCCATGTGCCAAGTCCCTCCATGCTCCTATGTCCCATATGCTCCAGAATGCTCCAAAAGACCTATTTCAAAGGACCAAACATGCATATGTATGCAAATGCAACCTAAAACTAACATGAATGCATAAGAAGAGAAAAGGAACAAGATATGATGCAAATGGAAGCTAAAACTATGCAAAAGATGCATAAAAGATGTGCTAAAACTATGTAAAATGCAAGTACATCAACACCCCCAAACTTGAACTTTGCTTGCCCTCAAGCAAACAAATAGAACAAGAAAGAGATGAGGTTTGAAAACAAGCTGATTCAACACTTAAAAACATGTCCTCAAAAGCGATTTGCTAAATGTCCAACTTAGAGATTCTAGAATGCAACAAGGTGAGAGATATTCATTAAGATTTAACCATGCTTATCAACATCAATCCCACTTCACAGTCACTCAAACAATGCATTCAAATCAGCAAATCCCTTTAACATTCATTAAGCAAAAACAGTGAACCAAAAACATGCAAGATCAATCAACTCATTTGGTTTCAAGGGTTTATGGGTTAAGAGACAAAGAGGGTCTCTTTTGTATGGTGGTTTAGTAACAGGGATCTCTCAAGAAAGTGGCTTTGCTTTGGCAGAAGGCTAAGTGTTAGAACCAAAGATGATGCAAGAACAGCAGCTCGAGCCGCCTAATCCTAACTCGATCGAGTTCAACACTTAGAGCTTTTTAGAACAAAATCCTAACTACCCTTTTTGGCATTTCGCCTTTGAAACTGAGGAGCTTTGCTCACTTTTCTTTTAAGAACTTCCTAGGGAGAGGCTTCTTGAGGTAACATCTAGCGGTTTGGGATTTTCTAAACACTTAGGGAACTTTTCTTTCCTTTTTGACACTTGAGGCTTTGCCTTCTTTTCATTCTACTTAGAACCCTTTTTACTTCCTTTTTTAACTTCCCAAACCTTTACTAGACCCTTTTTAACACTGCCAACTCCCTGGACTTAACTAAACTCTTTTTCCTTTGGGTTTTTCCCAACTTTTACCACTTTTCTGGTTTTTACACCCAACTCGATCGAGCTCGAGTTGGCACCCCCAAACTTAGCCTGAAAACAATCCCAAGAGAACTAGACAACTAGAACTACTGCCCCTGCCGGTTTAAACACAACACCTTATGCTAAGCAAAGCCAAGAAAGGTTCTCACAATTCGCACAAGAGATAATATGGGGTTTGAAATGAAAAGGCTTAGGTTTAAGGTGTGGTAACTGTCTCAAAGATAGAGATCAGCTATCTGGACAAGCAAAGGGATATGAAAATAGGTAAAGAATGTCCAGATATGTATGTGGTAGCCATGAGTTGAAATCAAATGCAAGCATTGGTAATTAAAGATCAAGTTATGGTTCAAATAGATAGGGAAATGCATCAAATCACAGCAATGGTTGAATGAGATGTGCATGCAGTGATATGATCAAGATAAACATGGTTCTTGCTGCTCAATCAATCTCACCCTAATGCACAAAAGAATCTAAAAACAGGGCACTCAAGAAATCGCAAAAGATGGACAAGTTTTCAAAGTCAAATCAACAATGCAAGTGAAAAATGCAATCCTAAACAAGTCTAACAAATATGAATGCAAAAAGATGAAAATATTTTTGGATTTTTTGAAAATTTTATGATTTTTTTGGTTTTTCTATGCAAAAGATAAATGAAAAACTAAGAACAAAGAAAACAAGGTTAAATCATCTCTTGAACCCTCCCCCAAACTTAAATCACACAGTCCCTTGTGTGAGAAAAATTTAGTGAAAGATTCAAGAGGGCAAAACCAAGAAAAAACAAGAACAAATGCAAGAAAATATGAAATGGTATATACAAGGGTTGGTGTTTGGATACCTCAGTGCCCCCCAAAGAACTGGGAGGCTAGGTCGTGGTCTGGAGATGGGAGACGGCCATCAGGAGCGCTCCACTCGACTGGGTTCGGCTCACTCGATCGAGCTTGTGGCTCCTCTTCCTCCTCTTCTTCATCGTTGAAATGTGTGTGGCTTCCTTGGCCTTGGTGGAGCTGGCTTGCTCGAAGCGGTTGTAGGGTCCAGAGTCTGAGAGAAGTCCTGGTACTGCGTTGATCGTACTCGAATCCGGGTTCTCAAACAGGGGCTCCTCCAGGTCAACTCGACCCTCAGCTCGATCGAGTTGAGTTTCCTCTGTTTGGACTCGATCGAGTCCGGTGGTCGAGCTGGAGCGTCTGGCCTTGGAGCTCTTCCTCCTTCTCTGTGAGTTGTCTTCCCCTTCCCTTGGCTCGAAATGAAGAGGCTCTGTGAGGCTCTTGGGGAGAGCCTCCTTGAGTGGTGAGGAGTGATCTACTCCTAGGGAAAGTGGGGGCCTTGGACTTCTTCTTCTTGCTTGAAGAACCAGAAACTTTCTTCTCCAAACTTTTGATCTTGCTCACCATCTTGTCCATGGACTTTTGCATCTTTTCCATGGCTTTCCCTTGCCACTTGTTGAACCTTTGGAGAAGTCCAATCCTCTTGTGGGCAGCCACAACAGAGGGGTTCATCCTTGGAGCCTCATACTCCTCAAAGTAGTAGCACTCAGGCTCACCCAAATCCTGCATTCACATGGCGTTGTCCTCAACTCGATCCTCAGCTCGATCGAGTTCAGGCTCCTCTTCTCGCAAATCTCTTCATGCCCAACTAATGTGTAAAGGGGGTCTGAAGTCAATGTTGTACCTCCTAGACCGTGGTGAGCTCAGGGTTGGGCAGAAGAAGCTTGGAGGGCCAGCCAATGGGTGAGTGAACTTGAATTGGAATCTCCCATCCAACTCCTTGTGTTCAATGAAGAGGTTGGTCTTGCAAAACTTGATGTCCATCCACCTGCTGGAGTAGACCTTCTCTTGTCCAAATGGACTCCAGCTGCACAGAGGATAGGCGTGATGACTCCTCCAACACTAAGCTTCCTTCCCGTTTGAAACCGAGTGCTATAGGCGGTGTCTTGTAGGAGAGTAGCTGGTCAATGAGAGGCATGAGTTCCCTGCATGGATTCTATCTCCCCTGATCTTCTTCCCATCCTTGGTGCGTGAGATGATGGGCTTGATTCCCATGTCAAGGAGCTTCACTTCTCCCTCATTTATTGTCCCAGTCGCCTTCCTTGCAAAGAAGGTGTTGGCGAGAGCCTTGTGCACATATCTCAACACTGGGCTCCTGATTTGAGCTGCCTTAGACCTTGAGGAAGAGTATACTCCATCAGCGATTGTAGCCCAAACCCTTTGTAGCTCATCCTCCTTGATATCCCAATGGGTTCCCCTCCATAAGTGAAACCAAAAGGATCTCCAACTGCCTGAAGGTCACTGCCTTCCTTTCTCCCTTGCCAAGAACGTGATCCATCCCCAACCTTGGTCCAACTCAGCTCGATCGAGCTGCCTGTACTTGTGGAACCTCATTGATGCCAAGAACTCACAAGTGAGCTCCTTGTATGACTCCAAGCGGTAAGAGAAGAACTTGGCCAGCGCATGTTCTTGAGGACCAGCTCCACATCTCAAAGATCCCAAGAGCCTTCATTGTGTCATCATGTGGGTACTTGGTCTCCACAAAGTCCATGGAGAAGAGAGCATCATAATGCTCTTGGTACATGGGGAGCTCATCCTCTTCTTCCTCTGACTCCTCCTCTTCCATGGGCACATTCTCATTGCTCTCATGCTCATTCTCCTCAATCTCTTGATTGACCTCTTCCCCTCTTCTTCACTTGGGGACTCATCATTCTCCTCATGTGGGATGTTACTCCAATTTCAAACTCTCCTACTTCGCTCTCACTACTGATAGGATCATTCCTTCTCTTGGTTCTCCTCTCTTCCCTAAATTTCTCGCTTTCAGACGCTCCTCAGAGGAGGCATCCTCTCATCTGCTGGTTCCTCTCTTCCCTTGATCTCACATATTCCAACCTCATCTTGACATCCTTTCTCTCATTCTTCTTGCCTTCTCTGCCCTTTGCTTTCTCCCCAATGCTGCTTGGCTTCCTTCACCTCTCAACATCTTGAACTTGTTGCTTCTTGAGTTGGGTTCCTGAAATGCATCAAAAACTCAAAGAATTAGAGTTGCAATCGTTGGTTCGGCCAACTCGACACTCAACTCGATCGAGTCAAAAAACTCGAGTGACAAACTCGATCGAGCTGGGTGAAAACAGAGTATAACCGAACCTAATTCAAGCATAAGAGCTGGAAAAGATGCTAATCAAACAAATTGAACCAGTAACATCAAGTTAAGGGAACAAAGAGCAATTCTAGTGAAGCGCTTAGCATTTTAACCAATACCAAACTCAAATTCAAATTTTCAAGCACATGCAACAAGTTCTAATGATAAAACAGAGGTGAGGTGAAGCAAATTCACAAGATTATGCAAATATGAAGTAAAAAGGAAAGCAATTACTCAAGGGCAAGTCCTCAAGGGACACATGCAATCAAAAATCAAGGAGAAACAAGCAATGGAGGGAATCGAGATGAAGTAATCAAGGGTTTCAAGTGTTCATACCTTGCTTGGATGATGAAGAATCACAGAAACAAGAACTAAAGCGAATTGAGAACAAAGGTCAAAGAGAAATCGCAAAAACTTAGGAGAAAAGAGAGAAATCGATTTTTTTCTTGTGGTGATGAGAGAGAGAGATGATTTTCAGATTTTAAGATTGTGGGAGAGAGAGAGGGTGGATTCGATCGAGTTATGGGGAAGAGGGGTGTTTGAGATGTGTGGTTGAGATTAAAAGATGAAATAAAGAGGGGACAAGAAGCTAGGGATTCTCTGATCAAATTAGGGTAGTGGGAGACCAAGAAAACGGTTATGAATTTGAAATTCAAAAACTTACCTCGGTCGAGTTGTGTAGCTCGATCGAGTTGCCCTGGTTTCTAGCTCGATCGAGCTGGCTCCCTTGACACCTAAACTTAACTTATTCAAAGGTTAAAAACATAAAGATAGATAGAAATTGCATAAATAGAGTATGTACAAGGATAAACATGGGACTTCCTCCCAAGTGAGCTTGTTTAAGGTTAAATCATCTCTTGAACCCTCACCCAAATTTAAATCACACAGTCCCTTATGTGAGAAAAATTTAGTGAAAGATTCAAGAGGGCAAAACCAAGAAAAAACAAGAATAAATGCAAGAAAATATGAAATGGTATATACAAGGGTTGGTGTTTGGATACCTCAGTGCCCCCCAAAGAACTGGGAGGCTAGGTCGTGGTCTGGAGATGGTAGACGGCCATCAGGAACGCTCCACTCGACTGAGTTCGGCTCACTTGATCGAGCTTGTGGCTCCTCTTCCTCCTCTTCTTCATCGTTGAAATGTGTGTGGCTTCCTTGGCCTTGGAAGTCTTTAGCTTGACTGTAAGGCTTGGCGCTCAGGAGAAGATAGAGACAAGAGGCATCCTTGATCCTCCAAGTCTTTTCTCCTTGCAATGAGTATCTGGTGGGTGATTCACAGCTGGATAGACAATCTCTCCATGAATGTCCCTTGGCACTACTGCCTTAGGAAAAAGCTTTAGAGTTCTTGTCACTCTCTCCTTGAATCCTTCTAGATTCTCATCAATAAGCTCCTCTGGGAATAGAAGCTTCATGTTGCGGCCAGACCTAGGTTTTCTAACCTTCCTTCTTGGCTTGGCCTCATCTTCAATCTTGGTTGATCCCTTGGGCGGTTTTGGTGTAGGGGCCTTAGTCTTACTCCTTGCTTGTTTGGCAAGCTGCTTGGGCTTAGGAATGGGATCTTCCTTGATTGTTTCTTCAGTTTCTCCTTCTTGGGGTGGCTTCAAAGTAGCTTTCTCCTCTTGGACCATGTCAACAAAAGAGTTCTTTGTTGAACACATAGGGAAGAACATACCCTTGTTCACCTTGTTGAAAGAGATTCTTTGATTGGGGAAATCAAATATGGCACCCACAGTAGACAGGAAAGGGGTTCCAAATATGAGAGGTCTATGACTACTCTCTCTCATTTCCACAATCTGGAAATCAGTAGGGATAGAGCAATTTCCAATCTGCACCATCACATTAGGCACAAAGCCATAGGGTGTTTGTGAGAATGAATCAGCATAGTTGATGGAGATGGATGATGGCTCTATCTTGGTGAGGCCTATCTTGTCAGCTATCCTCTTAGACATGATGTTCACATTGGCTCATGTGGTAAGATTTGGAACCTTGGCCGAGACTTCAGTCGGACGGATGTGAATTTGGCCGAGCGCGGAGCATTAGTTTCTCGGCCAGCCGGACTGCGCGGTTGGGCGCTGTCTTCTCGAGAGCCGACTGGACAGTCTCCACTCTTTTGGTTGTAACTCCTTTTCTACTCATCCAAATGATGCCATTCCAATTGCGTTGGAAAGTTAACTCAATCAGAGCACGCAGGGAACTGGTCTTGATGAAATCGATTGAGTAGATCTTTTTCTGGGCCCTCTTAAAGTTGGTGCTTGTGCATGGAGCTGCTTGAAGTGGAAATCCTATGGTTTTGCTCCAAAATGCATCATTTCACCTGTTTAGACTCTAGACACTATAAACATAGTAAAACTACCTTTTTAGATAGAAAACCTGCCAAAAACCATTAGAAAACAATGCTAAAACAGTATAAAAAGTGGGTAAATTAGAGGTATATTACTGCTCCGGATGCCACTACCACTACAAGAATTCATTAAAATAGCTGCCGATTATTCTGTAGCAAGAAGACATAATCTGTCGCAAAAACTAGGCAGGCCACAGATGGTGACAGCTGAAATTCGTCGCCTCAGCTCCGACGCTAAACTTGGGCCGTCGCCGTTTTGTAGCCATTTTGCAACAAACTAGCGAGAGCAAGGACCGTAGCAAATAGCTACGATATGGCAACAAATTTCTCCGTTGCTCTTTAGCAATGGATTGGGGAAGGATTTTATGTGGCTATATGGCTACAGATTCCCCCTAGCAATTTTGTGGCAAAAATAGCAACAGATTTGGTTACAGATTATATGTAGCTAAATGTCTGTGGCTATATGGCTATATGGCTACCGAGTTTAACTACAGATCTCCGTGGCAATTATATTTTATTTAAAATATAAATAAATATTTGATTTAAATAAGAAATAAATAAAACTGAAATATATTAATTGATTTAAAACATGATATATATTATAACAAGAAATCTGAAATTCCAAAAAGTCGAAATTCAAGTCGACAACCAAAAAAGGTTACACGAAAAAGTGAAAACACATAACAACGGTTCAAACACAAAAACTAAATATTATGCTTGTTATGTCGTTAGTTTTCACAAACAGAAGCTCTATCAAGATAAAGAATGAACTGTCGAAGTAGGAGTAGCAGCTGCTTCACTTGGAGATGTTTGAGAGTGTGGCGGCTGTGATGGATGAGGTGGCTTCTCAGCCACATGTGGAACTCTGACTCCTCTAGCTTCACACAAATCACTAATTTTCTGGCTCATTATGTTGACAACTCCAGGTCCCGCTCATAACGAGCTTGACGAGGAAGAACAAGAGATGGTGGATCAATGGGATCATAACTCTCCATCTGAGCAGATCGAAGTCCAAACACCCTTCCTTTATACGGTTTGACTATCTAAAAAGAGGAATTCACAGAAAGTTTGTTAGTGCTATTATGAAACCAAAAATCTTAAGTAATGAATGAAGAAGTAAATCAACAATATTTACCGAATAAAAAGCCTCATCTTGCATAAGTGGTGTAATTGGTGTGTGTGAGTTCGTCTCTTGGTTTCCAACCTCAACATGTTCAGTGTTGTTCAATTGCTGGGAAACAACAATCGACTCAACTTCATCAACAATCATCTTTGCACGTTTGTCAGCAAAAGTTCCATCAAGCTTCATCGTCTTTCGCACTAAATCTGTGATTGATGGCTCCTCACCCAACTCCATCATCTGTATACAACAAGACAATAAGGCAAACATAGAAAAAGACATAATCTCAAGATAATATTTCCTAATGTAGAAAACAGAAAAGAGATTATAAGACAATAAGGGACTAGATGAGTTGTACCATATCATATTTGACCTTGGCATACGATTTTACGGTCAGATTTCCGGTTCTGAGAGTTTGTAGTGCTAATATGAACAGCTTGTGGTGTATCCCAGTGTCGCCACATCAAGTTCTAATTGATGTCAGAGACAAATTTTGGCTTTTTTTTTTCTCTTCCCCTTGCTGATGTTCGAGATCATTCTTCGGAGCTGTTTAGTCCAGAGAGTCTTCACCAAGGTATGATGATCTGGATCCCAATAATACTTTTGCTGTAAAAAAGATAAAGACAATTGCATCAAATAACTTGTAATGAATAAGGTAAGCAAAATGTAAAGATGTGTCCTTCATATAAGACAATGATAAGTATAATTTCAAGCTCATATTTCAATGTCAATCACACAAAACATATAAGACAAAGACAATGATGATTAACGAACTGAATCTCATGTTTAGGATAAGAAAATCAGACCACCATATCTCATGTTTAGGATAAGCAAAGCATAATATACTGAATCTTACCACAAAATCAGACCACCACTTGTCTTTCTGCTCTTGAGGAACCTCACCAAGATTCCACCAACGATCATCAAAATCATTCGTTAAAGCATTTTTGATATCATATTTGACCTCATTGTCGACGGAGATCCTATCATGACAAGGCATAATATTAAGTTAATGTAAAAGCACACACACACAACGAACAAGAATAACTTCAGAGAAAAAAAAACAAAAAACTTGAAGCTTTGGCAATCAATTTAGACGAAAACAGCTTGAAAACAGTTGATTCAATCGTTTTCTCTAAAGTCTGAGTCTTTATGATCAAAAAACAAAAAGAACTTAAGAGATTGTAGCTTTCACATTTGGAATTTCAACTACCAATAGAAAATTAACAAAAAGCTTGAGACTTTCACAATCAATTTAGACGAACAGAGCTTATCTAATCGTTTTCTCTAAAAGTTTCAGTCTTTATGATCAATGAAAAATCCAAATTCGATTCAAGAATAAAATTGGGGCTAATTCTAAGAATTGTGTAAATTAGATCTATGATCCACGAATTACAGAAATTGGAACTCTTGTTAAAACGTAATTTAAATTGTATATAAATATACACAATGGTTTCTTACCAAAAAAACGTAATTTAAATTTTATATAAATTTACACAATGGTTTCTTACCAAAGTGCGCCATCTCTCTTCTCGGGATGGAGAGTCGGCTGGTTTCGTCGCCTGCAAGAGCTCGGTGATGCTACGGAGAGGGAATCCCAGCGGTGCACACAAATTACCAGCCCTAGAGAGAGCAGGGGTCACTCGTCCAACATAACCTCTTGCAGGTAGTCCGCCTCAACGTGGTGGATACATACTACGATTATAGAGTTTTGAAAGACATTAGAGACAAAAAAAAATTGGTATGATAATCAGAAGAAACATAGTAGACCTAAAGAAGAATGGAGCCATCAATTAGTTATAGTTACAGGATATAAACATCAATTACTGAAAACTGAAGAGATAAATTCACCAAAAGACAGCTGAGATTCAAAGAAGAAATTAACCCTAAATCAATTTCACACATCAATTAACCAAAGCCAAATTGCATGATTTCACCCAAAAAAAACTCAATCTAGAGATTTAGCCAGCCAGAATCTAACCTTAGAGATGAGTGGCTTTTCTAGGCGAAGGAGAAAAGGAGCGATTGAGAGAGAGAGAGAGAGAGTAGGATATTGTGTGTTCTCTGCTGTGAAACAGAAATGGAGAGAAAGAGAGAGACTGAGATCTTATAGCGTTCTTTGCAAAAGGAGATAAAGGAAAATGTCAGCCGCGAAAGAGAAGAGGGAAATGAATCAGCGGTGAATTAGAGCAGAGGGAAAAGAAGAAAAGGTTAAGTTTTGGAAAGGGAAAGCAAATTTGGGGAAAACAAATAGAGGGAAAGTGAAATATTTGGCGAAAAGTTTCGTGGAAACTTTCCAGACTTTTCGAGAACATAAAAATAAAAACAAAGGGATGTTGTTATTTAACTTTGTAAATGGACTAGGTGTTATTATGCGATGGCCTGAAACTATATGACAAGGAACGCAATAACATCGATGGCCACAAACTAAATGATAACTAGGTGTTATAATATTCTTAAACCAAAAAATTGTTACAATTAAGAAACTCATCCAATACAAAAAGCAGCATCACAAAACATGAATCTTATTTGAAATATGAAATCCTAGAAATATGAATCTTATTTGAAATATGAATTTTACATGGAATAGGAGTCCTACATGAAATATGAATCTTATATGAAATATGAATCTTATTTGAAATAGGAATCATATTAGAAATAGAAGTTATACTTTGTCATAGTTCATAAGTAGCTTAGCTTATTCGATTTCATGTTTTTCCTTAAAGCATAAAACTAGATTGTTCTTAAAACATTAATTATCTTATAACAAGAAATCTTAAAGCTGCATACATCATACAAGTCAACAAACAAAAGATTTAACCTGAAAAGTGAAAACAAAAGACATAACAAAAAGATTCTGCTTGTTTTGTCTTCAGTTTTCACTAATCTCCAAAAAAAGTTCTAAGAAGTGCCATGAATGTAATCTAGATTATGCTATGGTAGAATGTGTGGATCAGTTAGAGAAGCTTGGGTGTGGAGCTGCTGAGATGGATTAGGCGACTTTGCGGGAAACAGAAATATGGTTTGCGGGAAACAGAAAAATTTGGGGAACATTTTTGTGGCAACTTTCCAAACTATTGGCGGAGTACCTTTCCAAAACAAAACAAAAGGTGCAAGTGTTATTCAATTTTCTATATGGCTACAAAATATATGAAAATTAATTAGTGTGACTGACTATAGAATCACGGGATATTAAAAATTCTAGTGTTATAAGCTAAAGCTCAAAAGTTAAAAAAAACAAAAAATTAAACTCGAATATATATATATATATATTTATATAAGTTAAAGTTAGGGTCTTAAAGTTACTTTTTTACATGAATTGATTCACTAAGTCTAAGTAAATTACTGAAACCGAATGAATTTAGCAACAACCTAATGCTATACAAATTAAAAGTAAAGCAAAACGGTACTTTTGGGAATTTTTGTAAGAACACATGCACCCGTTACAATCCTTTCTTGCTCGAGAGTTGGCTTTGACCTGTTAGTTTCCAGAGAGTTGGCCTTACACTCGTATGTTTCGTCTTGATCCATGACCATCGAGAATTGTCCTTCTAAACTAGTTATTTTTAAGAATGAGAGTGCTGAGAGGAGATTGAGTTGAGGATGAGAAAGGTGTCAGGAGATACAATTGTTCTTCTCATTATATATACTGATGATCGGTGCCGTAATTAATATTTATGTTCAATGCAAATCTAACAAGTTGTGATAGTTGACACAAAATAATTAATTAAAAGCTCACAAGGAACCAATGGGATTGGACCTACACCAACATAACATAAATGTACCGTTTTTTTTATAAAAAACATTGAATTCTTGTTAGAAGTGAAAGGAACAAAGAACACATAGTCTTTCTCCAACAAACAGAAAACAAAATCAGATAAACTCCAAAAAAACAGAGCCAAAACGCCAAAAACAGAGCCAAAACTTGTTATGAAGAGTTTTGATCACTTCCATTCACGACTCAGAGAACGTGACGTTTCCCACATGGAGACTTCTCATACGTACTCTCAAGTCTCAGGGGCCTTCTCATCTTTTAAGTATTAATCTTTCCATCAAAATAATTCAAGATTTGTGAATATAAAAGATTTCCAGTAAAGAACTTAGCTACGTCAGATATGTTGCTATGTCATTGCCAACATGCGACGGATTGGTCACGGCACACACATCGTTGCCATTTAGCAACATATATATCTGTAGCTATCCTTCGCTAATTGAAAATATATGGCAACAACCCATCTCTAGCAAGTGTGTAGCTATTTAGCTACAAAATGTCTACAGAATCCGTACATAGCTATATAGCTACGAATTGCTACATATTTGCCACAGATTTGGCTACGAAAGTAACATTATTATTTCTGTCGCCATCTCTCACCATTTACGTAGCTAATGGCGATGGCTACGGAAATGCCTTCGCCGGCCCTTAGCTAATTCACTGAATTCTTGTAGTGTACTCTTGGCACGCTCTGGTGTAATAAAGCAATTCGATGCCCCATAGTCAAACAAAACGTGGGACTCAAAACTGCCCAATAACAAGGTCATTACGCAACACATGCGTTGAGAACCTCCACAATTCTATCACGAATAAATATGAACAAGACTACCACAAATACGTGTCACCACTCAGATAGTGGACAACTAACTCCACCTGATACTCCAATGGACATCTGATAGAATGGAAATTTCGCTCCAGTCTGAGATGCCACTCGTCGGCCTCCTCTGGACCAACTCCGCCTTCAAATAATGGTGTAGCTTTCCTCTGCATATGCCCCATAATCTCTAGATAAGGCGGAACACCCACAGCTGCAGCCCTTGGCCGCTCTGCTATCGCAGCTCCCTGCTGCACCCAGGCCATCGGAGGCACACCGGAGCCTGCTGTAAAAATGCTGGTGGAAAACGTGACAACAGCTTCGTCAGTTACCTGACAACAAGGTCATCATGACCCGGAGCCGGAGCAGCAGCAGCACCTTGGGCAGCCCCAACTCCCTCGCCCTCACCGGCACCAAAACTGGCCTCACTCGTGATGTGGATTAAGTTTTACCCAATCCTATTACTAGATACCGCAAGTGCACGGATCGTTGGTAGTATGGGTTATCGAACACAAGGACCAGATAAGTTACACTATGAGTTTATGAGATTCAAATCAAGCTAGGAAGTATGAAGGTTTGTTGTTGTCACAGATTCAAAGCAAAGTAAAGTAAATAAGATAAAAGCAATAGGAGAAAGCATTGGGCATCAGAGAATTCTCAAGGTTTCATAGATTGGATCAAGCAAATAGATAGGGAAATCAATAGTTTGTTCTAGAACTCGAATCAATAAGTATAATTGACCTACTCCCGCAGTGCCAATTACTATGTCTAACAACCTAAATCACACAACTTCCACAGGTAATCAAGAGATTAAACATGTAAGAATAGTCTAAATTCGATAGCTCTACTTCCGTAGGTCTAGTTCACAAAGCCTTTGCAATTCTACTTCCATAGGTTACTATGCCTTGCTCATCTAAGTTGATTCAAGAGATTTAACAAGCGTCAGAAGTAAATCTACTTAAGAACAATAGCTTAGACTGTCAATCAAGCTATAAGCAATAAGCACAAACTTAGATGAAGAACACTAATGATAAAACCCTAATCTAGCAACCTAACAATCAATCCATGAAAACCCTTTGAAAACTCTTAAACCCAACAAGGAGATTACTCAAGCATAGTAAGACAGATCAAGCATAGAGATGAAGAAGAATTCATAATAAAACTTGATAAGAAGTAAAGGGTTCAGAAATCTTCTCTATTGTGTTACAAAGGCGAGATCTTCTCCCATGAAGCTCTAAAACGAAATCTATGTAAGCTCTCTAAAACTAATGCGGCTCTCACTTCTAAAGAGGCTAAAAAGAGTATTTATAGTGGTCTTCCACAAGTCGATTGAGGTGAAACGGGCCAAGAAAGGTTAAAACTGCATAAGTGGGCTTCTTGTTCGCGGACCTCGGGTCGACCGTGCAAGGGATGTCGTCGGCCGTCGGGGTCGGCCGTGATGTGATGGTCTTGGTCATGAGGTGATGATCTGGGTCGACCGTAGTCATTTGCCTTCCTGGTCGACCGGTGCGTTCGGCCGGATGCTTTGATCGCATGTCGAGGAATGGATCGAGCGCGGTTCATTGCTTCCCATCGCTGCGCTCGGTCGGCTGCATGGGACATGTGGTAAATATTTGTAGACCGTGGGGCAATGCTTCCCGGGTCAAACGGTGTGGTCGTGCGGGTCTGTAACACCCCCGATGCGAGCTAGACGCAGTCACGCCGAGCGGCGTCACAATGTGTCAAAATTACCATCGACGGTCCATCCTCAAGGCCAAGAACACATCAAGGCTTGGTAACCGACCCTCTCGAGACAAGAACCTAAGGCTTGCCAACCCGTATTCAAGCTGAGAGTTATGTTAGCCCGGACTAGACTAAATATCTTTAAAATCAAGTATTTGATATACTTAAAACATACTTGATTTATAACATAAACATTGTCTTACATAAAACCGAAATTGAAAACATCTTATTACATCCGCAAATGATTTTAAAACAAAAGATGAAAATTAAAACCATTGAAACCTTACATAGCTTTTACAAAACACACCGCAATCTACTCCGGCCTCCTACGTCCAAGCGCCAACTACACCACAGCTACAGTCACCTGCAACAAACAGAGTCATCATAAGTAATCTAGAATTACTTAGTGAGCCGGGATCCTCTACCCATACTACACAAGCAATTCTACCCAAACACCCCAAACAAACAACATGCAATCAAGCAATCAACGGCTACAACAACTCAATCAAAGCAAGCACAAGCGGAAGCTTTTACAGAAAACAATCACAACACACGCATACTAAAGACAATGCCGAAGCAAAGCTCTTTAGTCATGCCTTAGACCAATACGCGAGTATTGTCTATCACCACTTTCTCCACACCTGCAAACACACAACACATAACATAATAGTTGCGTCCAACTATCATGCACACACACACAACACAAAGGAGATAGTCTCAATTAAGAGACTTTCCTACACAACACTCAACCACACTCCACTCACACACTCTACAGCGCTCACTAAGCTACTACCACCAAAACTACGTGGTAACGGCTTCTATCATGCACGTATCTCCCCTCACCGTGATATCCGCGTCAGAGAAACACACAGTAACCCTGACCGGACTCTCACACCAATTCTTGACCCTTCCATGATCAAGAACTCGGCCCCCGACTCTCTTGCCATCGCCGACAAGAGACACCCGGGCTACACCGTCGTGTAGTACTCAGCCATGGGAGCGACCCAAGTACCCTCTGAGTCATCCTAACGATCCATCCAAGAGGGTTTCTCAGTGAATGAACCGCAAGGGAGGAGGAGCATCACGATACACCGCTAAGATCATTGATCAAACACACACAATGATCTATTTACGCACTACTAGGTCCATAGGGTTTCTATGACCTCACACACAAAGATCCATAGCATTGGGCTATGATCTCACACACCACACACACATTGGGTCCATAGCTTATAACACGCTATGACCCCTTACAACACACACAACATAGATCCATAGCTTTCGCCATGATCTCACACAACACACACACACAAAATAGATCCATAGTTTTCACTATGATCTCACACACAAATCAACAAGAAACCGCGCTAAGTGTTCATCTCCATCCTGCACAAAACTCGTTAATCACACTTTGAACACTTAGGCGTTTCTCCTCTTCCCTACACCACAAATCGTTAGTTTCACAAACTAACCACACCACACACAACAACCAATCATGCAATCAATCCCAAGAAGAACATCGCACGTTTCTTCTTGGATCCTAACATGCATGCAACATACAAGCTTTAACAAAAAGCTATCACCACACAAACACAGAAAAGTATAACGGTAAGCCTCCTGCTTAGCGTTCATACTTCCTGCAACCACAAAGTTAGTATCACACATACTAACAACCACCACAACACTCACATGCATCTAATCAAAAGAAACCACAAGTTTCTAAATGATCTAGAATGCAACACACAAACAAACAAGAAACAGTGACTACTCTCGGAGCCACTTAACCGTACTCACCAAACCACTTTGATGAACGGCCTAACACCACCACCCGCTAAACTCCAATTCCTCTAGCTAATCCTTAGCTAGAACTCTCTCCCTAACTCCACTAAACTCACTCAAACTTACTTGAAAGAAAGCTTACAAACTTTCTCGCTAAAACACTCTCTCTCGCTCTTAAGAAGAAACAAGAGCAAATGGAATGGAAAATGGAAGCAAGTGAGGCTGAGGCTTCCTATTTATAGGCTCAGTGGTCGTGAGTCACCTTGGAAGCAACACTTGTCATGAGTCTTTTGACATTTGTCAGAAAGAATGACACTTGTCGTCGTTTCCTTCCTTTGATCCATCCAATCAACACATGTCTTTTTGTGTGTGTAAGTTTACTCCCTGGCTCGAGATGTGTGTCTCTATCTCTTGTCTCACTCTCACTCTTCTCTCTTGAGTCTCATCACGTCCTCATGCATGCAAATATTCTCGCCAAATGTCCACACTCCATCGTTTCGTCTTTTCTCCGCGCACTCCACGAGAGAACAAACCAATAAAAATATTCACCTATGCCTTAGGTCTGCACCTCCACTAACTCACATACTCTTCCTAGTATAGTGCCATATACAGTGTATCACGTCCATGTTCATTGTAGGAACATTCTTGGAAGTTACACATCACATCGCTCCACATGCATTCTCTTGGAAGCTAGCGTGTGTCCTCTTGTCTCCTCCTCTCTCTCAAGATTCTTCTAGGTGTCAAGAATGTTGTAGAGATGACAAAGATTCTCCCATGCAAGAAAGAATGTTTCTTTCTTAATGGCAAACCACTCTCCTCTTCTTTAGGCATGTGTTTCCTTAAAGGGAACATTCTCGCCACTTTTCACGTTCTGATTGGTCGATCAATCCGTGATGTCCTCGGTCCACACTTTCCACGCTCATTTTCGGTTTAGTCTTCCCTAAGTCCACGCCAACATCTTCCTTGGTCTAAATCACGTCCCGCTCGCTGATATAAGCTTTGCCGCCCTTTGGTATAACCATCAAGCGGCCAGCTTTATATCTCGAGATTTACTCGGTCGAATCAACATCTTTCTCGACCAAACATCTTATTTTGTCTTCTTCTTGTTGTCCTGAAGTTTTTGTCTCAATCCCACAACGTTCCATTTTTCGTGTTCCGGACAAGGCAGCCTCGATACTCCGCGTTCGTCCGTATGCGCTCAACTTTGTCTATCTTGTTTTCTTCTCGTTCGTTTCCCGATTTTCTTCGATCCAAATGTTTTATTTGACTTCTAGCTCCTCTCCATGAAGTCCATTGGTCAAATCTCCTCATCTCACACCAGGTCATAGTGCCCTTGCACTCCACATCTATAACACGTGGGTGGTTCCCTCCGCATTGCTCTTCTCGACCTTTCATTTGGGTACACATGAGTGAAATGCCCAAATCCTCCACAAACACGACAAGGCATGGATGCCCTTGCCGGAATTGGAACTCTCTTTCTCGCTTGAGCTCTAAAACGAAGTCTCCCTCCAGGCCTTCTTCCTGAATACTTCCTATCTCCACAGCTCTTGGAATCTCATTCTCAGCCACTGTCTCCTCACGGCATTGGTTTACCTCCACATCGTCGTCACGATGTTCCTCCACAACACGGCTGTCATTCACTTGATTTGGGTTCTCCTCCACCAGTTGGTTTCTCGTCTCAACTTGATTCACTTCCAAAACATTGTTCAGATTCTCACCCTGAACTTGTTCCTCCACAACTCCAACGTTCTGGTTTGTCACCGGAACTTGGTCCGCCATTACTTCATTTTGGTTCCTCTCGTGAGCCTCAAGAATCTCACAATGGTACCTCACAAACGTCTCTAGCTCTGCTGCACTATCTCTTTCTGGTTCAATTGGTCCTCCACGCTCTGCATCACGCTCCAAGTCCCACCAAAGATTCTCCACAGTTGCCTCCGAGTTAAGATTAACCCAAGGCTTCCCTTCATATGGAATTCTTTCTTCTGGTAGACCAAAACTTGGTGCGCTCGTTCCTCCTTGTTCATAGGTGTTTCCTCCATAGCTCGCATTGTATTCCGAGCTTGAATCAGCAAATGGTTGACCGTACAAGTCCAACCTTTCCTCACTGATTTGCATCGCTGGGTTCACTTCTCCCTCCACTGGTCCAGTCTGAAAAATCGGATGCACATACTCCGAGAGACTTTCACTTGACTTCGGCGGTATGTATGGAGTGTACCCATATCCTGGCATGAAAACATGCGGTATAGGTATCTCCCGCGATGTCTGATGCGAACTCTCTCCATCCCATGAGTTAGTCAAAGTATCATCGGAAGATATCTCAATTATCTCCGTTGATGGAACTAAGATCTCCACTCCTTCATGTCTCGTTGGTATGGCCACCATATCTTGGGTGTACACCAATCCCGTTGCTCCATAGGGTGTTGGCACGTCTGCCTCCACACTTCCTCCAATCTCAAGACTTGTGAAATGGTCCCACTCAGTATAGACAGCTGAATCAAACTGTCCTTCACTCGGATCCGTCTCCACAGACGTGTCCGTCACAGCCACCTCCACATAGTCCGAGTCATTAGACTTCTTACTCGAACTATCATCACTAGAACTTCCCGAGGATATCAACAAAACTCCACTGTTGCGCTCCTCAACATTACTCGATCCTGCCTGACCCCATCTCTTCAGCCAATCACTCATCTTGCGTCCCATCCTTCAACCTGTGACTTACTCCACCATCACCACCACAACAAACAAGGGTAAGGTCCTATAAAACCCTACTAACTAAGCTTGGACGATCCGGATTCCTAAAGGTGTTTTTGCGACACATTTTGACTCGATAAAACATTGAAATCGTTTTGAAAACTTGGTTTTGTGAACATGATCATGAACCATGCTCTGATACCACCTTCTGTAACATCCCCGATGCGAGCTAGACGCAGCCGCGCCGAGCAGCGTCACAGTGTGTCAAAATTACCATCGACGGTCCATCCTCAAGGCCAAGAACACATCAAGGCCGAGGTTAGTCCATCTTTGGTAACCGACCCTCTCGAGACAAGAACCTAAGGCTTGCCAACCCGTATTCAAGCTGAGAGTTATGTTAGCCCGGACTAGACTAAATATCTTTGAAACCAAGTATTTGATATACTTAAAACATATTTGATTTATAACATAAACATTGTCTTACATAAAACCGAAATTGAAAACATCTTATTACATCCGCGGATGATTTTAAAACAAAAGATGAAAATTAAAACCATCGAAACCTTACATAGCTTTTACAAAACACACTGCAATCTACTCCGGCCTCCTACGTCCAAGCGCCAACTACACCACAGCTACGGTCACCTGCAACAAACAGAGTCATCATAAGTAATCTAGAATTACTTAATGAGCTGGGATCCTCTACCCATACTACACAAGCAATTCTACCCAAACACCCCAAACAAACAACATGCAATCAAGCAATCAACGGCTACAACAACTCAATCAAAGCAAGCACAAGCGGAAGCTTTTAAACAAAACAATCTCCTTAATTGAGACTATCTCCTTTGTGTTGTGTGTGTGTGCATGATAGTTGGACGCAAATATTATGTAGGAAATATTATGTTAGCACAAGAACTCAATCAAAGCAAGCACAAGCGGAAGCTTTTAAACAAAACATTTACAACACACGCATATTAAAGACAATGCCGAAGCAAGGCTCTTTAGTCATGCCTTAGACCAATACGCGAGTATTGTCTATCACCACTTTCTCCACACCTGCAAACACACAACACATAACATAATATTTGCGTCCAACTATCATGCACACACACACAACACAAAGGAGATAGTCTCAATTAAGAGACTTTCCTACACAACACTCAACCACACTCCACTCACACACTCTACAGCGCTCACTAAGCTACTACCACCAAAACTACGTGGTAATGGCTTCTATCATGCACGGATCTCCCCTCACCGTGATATCCGCGTCAGAGAAACACACAGTAACCCTAACCGGACTCTCACACCGATTCTTGACACTTCCATGATCAAGAACTCGGCCCCCGACTCTCTTGCCATCGCCGACAAGAGACACCCGGGCTACACCGTCGTGTAGTACTCAGCCATGGGAGTGACCCAAGTACCCTCTGAGTCATCCTAACGATCCATCCAAGATGGTTTCTTAGTGAATGAACCGCAAGGGAGGAGGAGCATCACGATACACCGCTAAGATCATTGATCAAACACACACAATGATCTATTTAAGCACTACTAGGTCCATAGGGTTTCTATGACCTCACACACAAAGATCCATAGCATTGGGCTATGATCTCACACACCACACACACATTGGGTCCATAGCTTATAACACGCTATGACCCCTTACAATACATACAACATAGATCCATAGCTTTGGCCATGATCTCACACAACACACACACACACAAAATAGATCCATAGTTTTCACTATGATCTCACACACAAATCAACAAGACACCGCGCTAAGTGTTCATCATCAATCCTGCACAAAACTCGTTAATCACACTTTGAACACTTAGGCGTTTCTCCTCTTCCCTACACCACAAATCGTTAGTTTCACAAACTAACCACACCACACACAACAACCAATCATGCAATCAATCCCAAGAAGAACATCGCACGTTTCTTCTTGGATTCTAACATGCATGCAACATACAAGCTTTAACAAAAAGCTATCACCACACAAACACACAAAAGTATAACGGTAAGCCTCCTGCTTAGCGTTCATACTTCCTGCAACCACAAAGTTAGTATCACACATACTAACAACCACCACAACACTCACATGCATCTAATCAAAAGAAACCACAAGTTTCTAAATGATCTAGAATGCAACACACAAACAAACAAGAAACAGTGACTACTCTCGGAGCCACTTAACCGTACTCACCAAACCACTTTGATGAACGGCCTAATACCACCACCCGCCAAACTCCACTTCCTCTAGCTACTCCTTAACTAGAACTCTCTCCCTAAATCCACTAAACTCACTCAAACTTACTAGAAAGAAAGCTCATAAACTTTCTCGCTAAAACACTCTCTCTCGCTCTTAAGAAGAAACAAGAGCAAATTGAATGGAAAATGGAAGCAAGTGAGGCTGAGGCTTCCTATTTATAGGCTCAGTGGTCGTGAGTCACTTTGGAAGCAACACTTGTCATGAGTCTTTTCACATTTGTCAGAAAGAATGACACTTGACGTCGTTTCCTTCCTTTGATCCATCCAATCAACACATGTCTTTTTGTGTGTGTAAGTTTACTCCCTGGCTCGACATGTGTGTCTCTATCTCTTGTCTCACTCTCACTCTCCTCTCTTGAGTCTCATCACGTCCTCATGCATGCAAACATTCTCGCCAAATGTCCACACCGCATCGTTTCGTCTTTTCTCCGCGCACTCCACGAGAGAACAAACCAATGAAAAGATGCACATATGCCTTAGGTCTGCACCTCCACTAACTCACATACTCTTCCTAGTATAGTGCCATATACATTGTATCACGTCCATGTTCATTGTAGGAACATTCTTGGAAGTTACACATCACATCGCTCCACATGCATTCTCTTGGAATCTAGCGTGTGTCCTCTTGTCTCCTCCTCTCTCTCAAGATTCTTCTAGGTGTCAAGAATGTTGTAGAGATGACAAAGATTCTCCCATGCAAGAAATAATGTTTCTTTCTTAATGACAAACCACTCTCCTCTTCTTTAGGCATGTGCTTCCTTAAAGGGAACATTCTCGCCACTTTTCACGTTCTGATTGGTCGATCAATCTGTGATGTCCTTGGCCACACTTTCCACGCTCATCTTCGTTTTAGTCTTCCCTAAGTCCACGCCAACATCCTCCTTGGTCTAAATCACGTCCCGCTCGCCGATATAAGCTTTGCCGCCCTTCGGTATAACCATCAAGCGGCCAGCTTTATATCTCGAGATTTACTATGTCAAATCAACTTCTGTCTCGACCAAACATCTTATTTTGTCTTCTTCTTGTTGTCCTGAAGTTTTTGTCTCAATCCCACAACTTTCCATTTTTCGTGTTCCGGACAAGGCCGCCTCGATACTCCGCGTTCGTCCGTATGCGCTCAACTTTGTCTATCTTGATTTCTTCTCCTTCGTTTCCCGATTTTCTTCGATCGAAATATTTTATTTGACTTCTAGCTCCTCTCCATGAAGTCCATTGGTCAAATCTCCTCATCTCACACCAGGGTTACTACAGGGTCGGCCCTGGTGAAGGCCGAGCGAAGCCAATTCCCTTCCTGTCCGGCCGAGTGCGTTCAGCTGGCTGTGAACCAGTCTTCAGTACAAACGTGATATCTCCTTAACAGCTTATCCAAATTGCATACTTCCAACGGCATCGGAACACTAACTAATCTGGCTATCTTGGTGTTGCGTTTCATCGAAATCCAATTAGTTTAAGGGTCCAATCGCTGCTGCTCGTCTGATGTACTGATGCAGTCCGATAAAGCTCCTCGGTATATGTCTCAGGGAAATAGAGATATCTCCCAATCTACTCGGTCAAATTGATTGATTCCAGTTGCTTTGCAAAGCTAACTCACGTATGCATCACGTCCAACTGGATTTGATGAAGTCCATTGAGTAGAATGTTTTTAAGGCCCTTCTAAAGTTGATGCTACGTCCTGGAGCGGTCTTGAAGTCCAAATCCTGTGTTTTGCTCCAAAATGCATCTTTTACCTGTTTAGACTCTAAGTACTATAAATACATAAAAACTACCTTTTTAGATCAGAAAGCCATTAAAAACCTTATGAAAAGCATAGTAAAACCATATAAAAAGCATGTAAAATAGAGGTATATCAACTCCCCCAGACTTAGATCTTTGCTTGTCCCCAAGCAAATCGAATCGAAACTAGTGAAGAGGTTTTGAAAACAAAGAAACTCACTTATCCTTTAGAACTTGTATCCATCATTGTTCTGCTTTCATTTGGAGCAAAACCAACTTTGAAACTAGCTTTCCCGTAATGATCTTGAGCTTAGCGAACCATACCGGACCCAACAAATCTCATCCAGTATTCCAAACTCTCTATTGCTAACTCCTTGCAGTATTTAAAACGTGTGGTCTTTATCAAGGGAGTATTGATCACAGAGCATTGATTCTTACCCTTCCAAGTGTTTGCCAAGACAGTCTTTTTAGCACATTCAGTACCAAACCTCTCTCCTTCTCTCTTATCATTGAAGGATCAATTTTTCCCTACTTTTCTAGGGTATCATTTTATTTTTTCTATCGATCATCCTTCCCTTAAGATTTCTCTTAGTGGGACACATGGATTGGCTTTAAGCTTCCTCCTTGTTTATAAGGTATTCCATAAGACATGAAGGTACAAAGTATGCATTCCTCATGCTTACTTGTTTTCCTTGTGCTATAAAGCTTTTGATCTTTCTTTTGCAGATAAGAGAGAGGATGGACTGTTTCTTTATTGACATGTCTCAACTAGACCTGAATGAGGAGTCGGCTCATATGTATATCAAGCCCCTTGACAAGAAAATTAAAGGTTCATTAAGTTGTGGAGTTAACTCTAGATTGCGTGGGTACCTTAGAAATATTGCCAAATCAGTAGGTCGATCCACCCTCAGAGGTTCCGTTAGGCATTGTTCGATGTCAGTATTCGCCTTTGTGATCACAAGAGCTTTGGTGTGTTAAGGTAAGCTCCAAGAATAGATCATTGTTTCCCAACTGGTTTTGACTCAATAAAACAGAATTTTTGAAAAAGGTTGGAAAGAGAAGAAGATATAAGATGAAGACAAGGCATGAACAAACACATTAGTACCGACAATCCCCCCAGACTTAACTTGCACCGTCCCGGTGAAAGAAAATCCGATTAAGGGAGGAAAAAGAAAGAGGTAATAAGGAGTTTGTGAATGAGAGGAAAGATATAACCTGATTAGAACTTAAGTCCATGAAGAAACCACCCATTGGTGATATGTGGTTGTCCTTCTCCATTGATAGGTTGAGATAGGCCTTAGGTCATCAAGATCAAGGCCGGTTTGGTGAACGGGACACTTCCTCATGTGATATTGGTCGGTGAGTTTTGAATTTCAGGGCCTGGTTCACTCCGGTTTGCGTTTTGGCCGAGTATGGTCCATTTCGGTCGTCCGACAGGGTATGCTATGAACCCAGAACAAACCATGAAGAATTCCTCGACCCATATTGAAATTTCATCGACCAACCTGATATTTTATGCCCATTGGTGAAGTTGGAGATCATTCTAACGAGCGTTTTGAGAGATCCTTCACAAAGTGGTCCAATCGGCTCCAGGAAGAGGTTTCTTGTCCATCCTTGAGTTTGGCTAGTTCGTTTTGGGATATTCCTTTGGAAATGTGTTAATGAAGCTCCATGAAGTGTTTTCCAGCCGGTGGGTGCGCCTATGCCGTGATTTGGTTTTGTCGGCCATTTGCTTGACCTAGATCGGCCGGATGTGGCTCCTTGGTCTATCTCCTGAACCGTGAACATTTCACCGTCCTATCTTTTGGATTTGCCGACCCACATTTGATTTGATGGCCGCCCGTGAAGTGTGGTATACTTTGGACACACGGTTAGGGATATGGCCGATAATTGTTCTCCTTGTATCCTCCATGGCCGAGAGAAATAGGCCGGTTAGAATATCTTCAAATCCACTCGGGCCAATTGAGATTTTCTTCGACCAAAGTGATTTTCTAACCCTTCGTTATCATTTCCAGTTGTTGTCCGCCTTTTTCCTTGTGATTGGGTATGAACCTCTTTTGAAGCCTCCTTTAAGATAAGTGGAATGTGATGGATAGTGGGATGGGATGGATTGTGGAATAGGTTAGGTGGGATGGGATGGAGGGTTGTAGGATAGAGGTCCAGAGGGAACACGGCCGACCATAGATGCGTTCCGGTCAGTCATCGGGATCGGCCCGGCCATATGATTGCTCCTTTCTTCATTTTTCTAGGTTTCTTCTCAAATTTCATGCTAGATTCTTAAATCTCTGTATTCAAAACTTCAAAAACAAAAAACAAAAACATTAAACAAAAACAAAAAGTAAAAAGGGAAAAGAAAACACCTTATGGGTTGCCTCCCATACAGCGCTTGTTTAATGTCATTAGCTTGACGTCAGGCCTCTTCTTAGGCGAGTGGGGCATCGACTAAAGGAACTGTTTCTCTCTCATCCTCATCAATGTCTGCGAGATATGGCTTGAGTTTTTCCATTAACAGTGAAATCACCTCCAGAACGGTTCCATAGTACAACAGCGCCATATGGTTTCACTTCTTTTATCTTAAAAGGTCCGGACCATCGCGATCTAAGCTTACCGGAAAAGAGTTTCAGGCGTGAGTTGAAAAGGAGAACATTGGGAGAGAACGTCTTGGGGACTATCTTCTTGTCATGATATGCTTTTGTTCTTTCCTTGTAGATCCTAGAATTCTCATAGGCATTATGACGAATTTCATCCAACTGAATCAAGCGCCTCTCCTTTGCTGTCTTGATATCGTAGTTTAGCTTCTTTACTGCCCATTCCGCCTTATACTCAATCTCAACAGGAAGATGACAAGCCTTTCCATAGACAAGGTGAAAAGGAGTTGTTCCAAGTGGGGTTTTGAATGCAGTTCTATATGCCCAAAGAGCATCATCAAGCTTGACTGACCAATCCTTTCTTGTCATTCCCACTGTCTTCTCTAAGATCCTCTTGATTTCTCTGTTAGAAATCTCTACTTGTCCACTTGTCTGAGGGTGATAAGGAGTAGCAACCTTGTGTCTCACTCCATTTTTCTTCAAAAGACTTTCAAAGACCTTGTTGATGAAATGAGATCCTCCATCACTAATCACAACTCTTGGGATACCAAATCTTGGAAAGATGATCGACTTGAATAACTTTATCACCACCTTGGAGTCGTTTGTAGGGCTGGCTATGGCTTCTACCCACTTAGACAGATAGTCAACAGCAACAAGGATGTACTTGTTCCCATAAGAAGAAGGAAAAGGACCCATGAAGTCTATTCCCCAAACATCAAAAACTTCCACTTCTTGGATGAAGTTTTGTGGCATCTCATTCCTTTTGCTGATGTTTCCTTGTCTCTGGCAAGCATCACACTTAGAGATGAAGTCATGGGCGTCCTTAAACATGGTGGGCCACCAAAAACCAGCTTGCAAGATCTTAGCAACAGTCTTGTTAGTAGCAAAATGTCCTGCATAGTCAGATCCATGACAAGCAAAGAGAACTCCTGGGACTTCTTCTTCTGGAATACATCTTCTAAACATACCATCAGAACAATGTTTATAAAGATAAGGTTCATCCCAAAAGTACCTTCTAACATCACGTAAGAATTTCTTCTTCTTGTAGCCAAAGAATTGGGGTGGTGGATGATCAGCAGCAAGATAGTTGGCAATGTGTCTAAACCAAGGAGTGTCAGATGGTGCTGGTTTTGGAGGTTCTCTAGGACGTCTCTCAAGGTGGAAAACTTCCTTAGAACTATCTGCATCACACTCTTTAGGCATCACAGTCGAAACCTTGTCTCTTAAGCAACTTTCATGATCAGAGTTCACTGATTTGATAACTTCATAAGATCTTATGTAAAGAGCTTGCTTGGAAACGTTTTGAGGCTTCTCCTTCTCTTCTCCATGGTCTTCTCCGTATTCCTTTTCCTTCCTGGTCGACCGGTGCGTTCGGCCGGATGCTTTGATCGCATGTCGAGGAATGGGTCGAGCGCGGTTCATTGCTTCCCGGATCGATCGCTGCGCTCGGTCGGCTGCATGGGACATGTGGTAAATATTGGTCGACCGCGGGGCAATGCTTCCCGGTTCAAACAGTGTGGTCGTGCGGATCGGCCCTGGTGAAGGCCGAGCGAAGCCAATTCCCTTCCTGTCCGGCCGAGTGCGTTCGGCCGGCTGTGGACCAGTCTTCAGTACAAACGTGATATCTCCTAAACGGCTTATCCAAATTGCATACTTCCAACGGCATCGGAACACTAACTCATCTGGCTATCTTGGTGTTGAGTTTCATCAAAATCCATTGAGTTTAAGGGTCCAAGCCGCTGCTGCTCGTCTGATGTACTGATGCAGTCCGATAAAGCTCCTCGGTATATGTCTCAGGGAAATAGAGAAATCTCCCAATCTACTCGTTCAAATTGATTGATTCCAGTTGCTTTGCAAAGCTAACTCACGTATGCATCACGTCGAACTGGATTTGATGAAGTCCATTGAGTAGAATGTTTTTAAGGCCCTTCTAAGTTGATGCTACGTCCTGGAGCGGTCTTGAAGTCCAAATCATGTGTTTTGCTCCAAAATGCATCTTTTGACCTGTTTAGACTCTAAGTACTATAAATACATAAAAACTACCTTTTTAGATCAGAAAGCCATTAAAAAACCCTTATGAAAAGCATAGTAAAACCATATAAAAAGCATGTAAAATAGATGTATAGCAACTCGCCAACGAAAGAGACTGAGTAACTGACGCAGTCGCTACAGTCGGTGCTGCACTCTCTCCTGAATCCGCTGGTAGTCTACGACAACGATCCCGGCCTCCACGGCCACCAACTCTGCCACCATGGGCACCAGCTCTACTATAACCTCTCGAGCCACAACCTCTTACACCTGCATCCATCTCACTGCACTCCGAAAGAACAGGAGATGCACAAGTAGAAACACAAACACACAAAACAACACAAACAAACTCACCGTGGAATCTCTTGAAGCCCGAAGAGGATGATACTAAACTTATTAATTCTAGCAATCCTAACAGTTCTAAAACCGGCTAGGCTCTCATATCAAAATAAAAAAAAACCAAGCTCTTTTTTTTTTTAATTAAATCAATAACAATTCAGTTCTAGTGGAAGTCTTAATAGTAAATTCAATAAATAAACAAAAGAATACTAGAAACCTAAACACCAGGTTTAACTAGCAACTCAAAAAATAAAGCAATAAAGCAACTATCACACTTTTTTATTACATGCATCACAATACGAAAGAGATGAGTAAGTATTATCATAAATACTTAGTGAGACGATCATTCCACCTATATGCAATTTATGCAAGACACTAGACAAGCAAACAACCAATACACAGCAAATAAAAGGCAAAACAGACAATTTACTCGTGTGTCGAGCGACACAACACTTGTGTCGGCCGACACACCCTTATGTCGGTCAACACACCCTTGTGTCGGTCGACGCAAACTTTCGTCGGTCGAGGCAGACAAAACTCCCAATCGAACAGAAACCTATCAAAGATAGAGAATCCGGTCAACAGTCTACCTGTTTATGAGGGATTCACAATCCACTGCCTTGATCCGCTTGGCTATCACAAAAACAACAAATTAAGGAGCTTCAACACCCAAAATCGATCAGATACACAATAGAACAAGAACATAACAAGAAATCAACACAAAAAAACTCCACAAACAATCCAAATCTAGTGATTCACGAGCCTATGGTCACGCACTCACCTTGAAAACGGATTTGAGAGAGGAAAGAAAGATGAAGCAACGAAGAACAGCAACAATCTGACCCAGAAACACCAAAATCTCTCCAGAATCTCCTCTCCTCTTCTCTGCCAGAGTTCACCTCGAAAACGCAGCTCAAAACACGGCTCAGCTCTTTTAAATCGAGTCTAGAGCTTTTCTGCCCAAAAAAACCAGCTAAACCGGACCACTTAAATCAAACCGGGTCGATTTTGCAATTGTTGCCTCGACCTTGCAACGATATTTTACAACGAACTTATTTTGTCGCAAAGTAACGTCAATTTATTTTCAATATTACGACGAAACATGACATCGTTGTAAATTCGTCGTAAATCGGGAGGATAAGCAACTGTTGTAAATTTGTCGTTAAATAAAGACGTTGTTGCAACGAATTAACAACGTTTATATGTTTCGTTGGTAAATGTATGTAAATTTACGATGTATTGACGACGACCATATTTCGTAGGTAAATACCATCAAATTACCGACAAGATAAAGATGTAAGGGTTTTGGTAGTTAATTTGTTGCTAAATGGCGACGACATAAGGTTCTATAGTCGCTCTAACGTCGTTAATTTGTCGTAAACCTAAACCCTAAACCTTCAAAACAACTTGTTACACTCAATTATTCAATTGCCAACCTAACCAATCAACAAATGATAACCTTTTTGATGTTTAATCCAAGTAAATGTATGTTTCGAATATTACAAAGAACATGAACAAGTGTTTCATACAGTATAAGGTTTACTATATATTAACTTAGAGGGTTTCTTATAATTTGTGATTTTTTTCCAAATATATTGTTGTATTTTGTCATTACAACTTCTTTGATAGCTCCTACATACACTTTTCATACGAGTAAAAGAAGATCTAGTTTACGGCAAATTTAGAGTGTAGGTTCATATTAACAACTAATTTCAGACTAGTCGTCGAAAAAATGAAGCAAAATCGTGGCAACCTGTTTCCTCGGATGAAATCAAATTATTTATGTGGTCCCAGGTTAACAATGAATTAACGACGATTTGAGACACGTCGTCGTAAGTTTGTCAGAAATAAGTATAAACCATTTTTATTCATCGAACATTCAATAACTTTTCTCAATCCTGTTGATTACAATTTAACAACGAATTAACGACAAATTACCAAGGACATCAAAAAGTGGAAAAATTTAATTACCGCGTGCGGGAAAACAAAATTTTGTGAAACCTTATAGCGACAAATGAACAACGATTACCAAGAAATCGTTGTTAATTTGTTGGTAATTAACAACGAATTACCATTGAACATAAAAAAATGGAAAATTTTAATTCCCACGTGCAGGAAAACGAAATTTTGCGAAACTTTTTAGCAATGAATTTACGATGATGTGTACATATCGTTGGAAATTCGTCGCTAAATAGCGACACTGTTGTAAGGAAACAAAATCCTATATAAAGGATCTTCACTTCTGTCACACTTCCATCTCCCCTCTATTCTCATCTGCAAACTTCTCGATATCACTCTCTTCTCACCGACCCCTCTCCCTCCCCGCCGGATCCTCTCTCTCCTGCCGACCCTCTTTCTCCGCCGACCATCTCTCTCCCGGCCAGAGACCTCTTTCTCTCCGCAGACCCCCTCTCTCCCGCCGGACCTCTCTCCCTCCGCCGACTCTCTCTCGGATTATTAATTATCATATTATTTTCATGTTTTTGTATTTTTTTTCAAAAGAAAATATAATCATCGAAATACAACGCAGATAAGAAATAGTAAAATAACGACTTTCATCGTTAAATCAAAGCAAACTAATTACAGCTTTCATCGTTAAATCGTTACAAATTTGAGACGAATTAACAACGAAATATTACCGACTTAAATTTTCCATTTTTCTCGATGTAAATTTGGCGTCGATTAAAAATCTACTTATAAATCCGTCGTAAAATTTACAACGACTTTACGACAAATTGTTTCCATCGAATTAACGATGATTTGTTGTCATCGCCCAGTTACGACGAATTCTCATTAACGTTGATCGCGGCGATTTGGTAATCGTCGCAAATCCAGTGCTAAGGTTGGTTACCAACGATTTAACAACCTATTCATCCGTTGCAAACTATTTGTTTTCTTGTAGTGCATGATTTATGTGAAATTTACATTGGCTGCCGGTTGCATCGTGGTAACATGAATTTGCAAAAGATTACAATCATCTCTTAACAAAGTTCAGTGTAACAGAGAAGTTCTAAACGGTTTCACATTATATGGGAGGTGAAGGAAGGTCTATGAGTTGAAGAATGGCTGGACATTGTTTACGTTATACAAGTTTTGTGGCTAATACATAACCACTACTAGACAAGCCGTTTGGTAATTGGCTTACGAATTTGAAGTTCTTCTTTATCCTTCTTATGAAACAAAATAAGAAACTGATTTCTCCCATTCATATTTCTCTAGAATTCTAAGATTGATGTTGAAATAAAATTTATTTTTTAAATATTTACAATTTAATAAAGAAAGCAAAAAATTAGAAGTTCATTTGTGTTTATTATATGAATTTTTATTTTTTGTCAACAGCCTATGTGGGTTTAGGGAGAACGTCTGAAACTTCCTTTTGCACTTTTTCACCTTTTTTAGAAGAATTTCAAACGCCAGCCATTCTGCAGGTTTATACACCATCTTCACCAAATCCGAACAGTCCGTTTGGAAATTCATTCACCTTTTATTATGGACAAGCATACTCTGCATTGCCCAGACCAAAGCTTCCAATTCTGTCTGCAGTGGTGTCAAACCCCGCCTTAGATTATTGGCCCCGACTAATATTAAACCCGAAACAGGATCAAATGTGTACCAACCAAGTCCGGCTCTATTTACTGTCGCCTTCCATGATTCATCCAACTGACACCACTCTCCGGTTAGGGTGGAGTGGGGGTTAGAATCCGTGTGTATAGGCGTCATATCTCCTATTGCCTAAGCAAAAGCCCATGCTCTTGCATCAGTCGTTGTTGTATCAATGACATCCCGAGGGTTCTGATCCGTTTAGTATATGAAAATTTTGAGAAGGTTTTTAATAGTTATAAAACAAATATTTTTAAAATAAAATATATATGAAAATTTATAATGAATTTTAATTAAAAATAACATATTTATGTTAAAAAATGTTAAAATCATATACATATAAATGGGTTAATTTGGTTAATAATCATATTGAAAACCTAAATTAAGCTTATACCCATAGCTTTAACCATGGCCAAATTTTGAAGACAATATTGCCCTTAAAACTATACTATATAGAGAGAAATGGTATAATTAATTTTATTTCAAACACAAATTATAAAGCCTAAACCCACAAATATTAAAAACACAAACACTAAATTTATAATCTAAACACTAAATCGAAAAATATAAAACCTAAACCCAAACATAAATCATCAATCCAAAATCTAAACCCTAAACTCAAAATCTAAACCCTAACCTCAAAATCTTAACCTTAAACCTAAAAAGATAAACCCTAAGATAAACTCTAAATCCAAAATTTAAACCCTAACCCTAAATCCTAAACCCTAAACCCAAAATATGAACCCTAAACCCAAAATCGAAATAGTAAAGCCAAAAATCAAAACCTTAAACTCAGAAATCTAAACCTTAATTTAAGAAAACAATTCATACAATTTTACATAGACAAAAAATAGTACAATACTAATTTCCACCAAAAATAACTTAGGCTAAAATGGGTATCTATATATAAAAAGTTCATGTTCATCTCTTTTGATAGCTTCTAAATTCTTCATTTTGCCACATCAGCACTTTCTTTAATTTATTATATTTTTTCTTTTTAATATTTTAATTTCATACTTCCTCTTTCCCATATTATAAGCAGTTTGGCAAAATGTATCAGCAAAAAAGTGGATGTATCTGGACATTATTGCATCCAGATACATCCACCTTTTTGCAGATACATTTTTCCAAACTACTTATAATATGGGACAGAGGGAGTAATAATTAGCATTCATGTGTAAATTTAAAAAAGGAAAAAGACTATGTATAAATCTAGAAAAACTATTATTTAGTAAATTTATTTTTGTTAGATTATATAATTTACATTGATGTCAAGATGTTATAAAAAGAACACTGATTTTTTTAACTATTTTGGGATGAAATTAGAAGAGACCGGACAAGATGAGACGAAATAAACATAACAAGAGAAATGGGATAAGACTGGACGAGATAGACAAATTAGACATGACGAGATGAAAAAACAGAATGAGACGGGACAGGATGAAAGCGACATAATGGGACGAGAAGGGACAGGACAGTAATTTCACCTACCCCTAATTATATTTAGGGACTGGACAGAAACAAGACAAAACCGGAAAATAATATACAGGATATGATGGGACTAGATAGGGCGGACATGAAGGAACGAGACGGGGAAAGAACAGGACATGATGAAAAGGAATGAAATGGGACGGGATGGGACTATACGTGAATTTTGTCTATCTTTAGTTATATTTAGGGAACGGGACGAGAAGAAATGGAAGGAACATGATGGGACATAACAAAATGGAAAGGAACATAATGGAATAGGACATGACGGGACAGACATAATGGATGAGACGAGAAAGAATGGACATGATGTAAATGAACGAAATGGGATACAATGGGACAAGACAGTACGTTAATTTTGCATAATCCTAATTATTTTTAATTAATATGTGTAATATTTTTGAAACAATAATAAACAATAGAAATAAACTAAATTTGCGGAAAAACAATAAAATTAACACAATAATATAAATCCATGCGCGAAGCGCGGATCACCTCCTATAATATGATAAAAAGTTTAACAAGAATATGAAAAGTCATTAAAAAAAAAAAGAGAAAGATTATGTATAGATCGACAAAAACTATTATTTAGTAAATTTATTTTTCTTAGATTATATAACTTACATTATTATATAAACAACACTAATTTTTTTAAGTATTTTGGGGTGAAAAGAGAAGAGATCGGACAAGATGAGACAAAAAAAAACATAACGAGAGAAGAAATGAATTTTGTCCACTTCTTATTATATTAAATGACTATATTAAATGACGAGATGAGATGTAAAGGAACAGGAAGGAATGGGATACCATATAATTTTGCCTATTTCAAATTATATTTAGAGACGGAAAAGAAAAAACGAAAGAAATATGATGAGACAGGAGAAGACGGAAAGAAACATAATGAAACGGGATAAGACTGGACAGAACGAGACAGACAAATTAGACATGACGACATGAAAAAAATGGAATGAGACGAGATTGGACGGGACGGAATGAAAGGGACGTAATGGGACGAGAAGGGACGGGACAGAAATTTCACCTACCCCTAATGATATTTAGGGACAGGATAGAGATACGACCAAACGTAAAAAAAAACATAACATGATAGGATGAGACTCGATAGGGCGGACAGGACGAAACGGGACAAGGAAAGAACGGGACAAGATGAGAAGGAATGAAATGGGACGGGATGGGACTATACGGAAATTTTGCCTATCTTTAGTTATATTTAGGGAATGGGATGAGAAGAAACGGAAGGAACATGATAGGACATAACAAAATAGAAATAAACATAATGGGATAGGACGGGATGTAACACCCCCGGTTCGGTCTATGAATAGACTAAACCGCATATGCCACAAGTGTCGAGGTTCATAAGATAGGCCGTCTTGGGTCTAAGAACAAATCAGAGCCCAAGTCAGCTAATCCGATGAATACGACCCTCTCGACCATCGGTTAAGGCTTTGCAACCTGCTCCTCCGGTCTTGAGTTGTGTTAGCTCCGGACAAGAGCTAATATCATTCGAGAGACCAGATTTGTAAAAAGATAACTTTATATAATAACCTTGTCAAACAATTCTTACAAAACTTTATACTATTTTGCCGGCAAGGCCTAATGCCCAAAGCATAGCTATTGCATATAATAACCTGAAATCGAGTTTTACAAAAGCCAAGCCAATCTACTCCGGTCTTCGACTGTTCTGCCTCCTGTTCACAGGATTCTACTCCGAGCTACCTGTAAGACAAATAATCATCATGAGTAACCTAATGTTACTCAGTGAGTTCAGGACCCTCTATACAAAGGTTATTCCCCAAACCCAAACCCCAAAAGAAAAAGGCGGGATCTCATCCGCCACCTGCAACACAAAGCAATTATGCAATATTGCTGCTATAGCCTTAAGACTAACCGTACCCCAATCAAACAAGAACAGGTACGATCAATCCAAGACTATAACAACACTCAAACAAGCAATCAATCAATCAAGCAATGCAACAATCAATCTATATGCAAAGCAACCCTAATCAAGTAGCGGAATACTTGACTTCTACATGCAGTGAGGCCTCTAGGTGCATAAGCCACATTCTCAGCCCACGCCTGTGAAGGTTCACGCTCATCCGGAATCACACAGAAACTAGATGAACGCCTTCACCCGGGCACTACAGTCCATCGCGGTACCCGGTTCATCCTCCCATCTATTGGCCTTACTGGCGCACCATGCCAATGTCTGGTTGGATCCCATATCGTCATATGGTACCATACTCGGCCAAGGCAGCTGACCAGGTTATCCTCCGAGTCTTCCTCCCTTCATGCACAGCCTCCACGCTGCCAATCCGGTTGGGCTCTGACGTGCGAGAATGCGCTTGACTACACCTTCCTAAACAACATGTGGTTAGACACGCCACATGTTCTCAGTACTTAGCATATGGGCCTTTACGCACCACTATGCCTCATACCCTCGGTTCTGCGGCAGAGCTTCCCTTGCCTCGGAAGAGTACCCACACGAACCTCGAAAGATCTGGCGGCTCAGCCGTCCGTGATCTTTCCACATCGGAGTCATACTCAACATATGGGCCTTACGCACCACCATGTTAGCATGCACTCGAGGTTTAGCGGCATAGCCATGCTATAACCCCACAACCGATGCATCTATGAGATTTGGCGGCATAGCCATCCACAATCTCACATCACCTAAAGTATAGACATGCATCTATACAAACAAGATCTGACGGCATAACCTTCCCCGAAGGTTACCCATCACAATCTTACACACAAAAGAGATCTGCCAGCATAACCTTCCCCGAAGGTTACCTGACACAACCTCACAACACAAGAGATCTGACGGCATAACTTCTCTCTCTAGAAGATTACCCGTCACAACCTCACAGAGATTTCTGCAGCATAACTCTTCCAATCCCAGAGTGTTGATCTTCCCATCCCGGCCTTTGGGATGTTTTAGGTCTTGATACGGGGTATCACATTCTCCCCCCCTTAATAGAATTCGTCCCCGAATTCCAGTTGTAGAGAGTAGGAACGTAACATTGTTCCGGTGTCTCTCCCCATCTTTGAAGATGCCTTGCCTCCTCTTACTATGGCTTCACGTTGTCCCCTTGCAGACTCCTCTTCCACTGATCTCCTATGATCCTCCTTGATGTTCTCTCTCTCCACGGATCCTCCTTGCTGTTCTCTCTCTCCACGGATCCTCCTTGTTATATGCAGCTGTGTTCTGCGTAGAACTCGGGTTAGTTCTTCCGGAAGTTCTCTTCATCTTCCTAGATGATAAATTTCCAGTTTTGTCTTCTCCATAATACTTGAATATGTGGAATCTCGCGGTTCTTCAGCTTACGAACTCGTTGATCTCCAAGTCTGATTGGACCTTCCGGGTAAGTAAGGTTTGACTGCAATCCTTCTACCCGTTCAGGTTCAATGGCGCTGGGGTCACGTGTATGCTTCCGCAGCATTGATACGTGGAACACTGGATGTAGATTCATGTCCGTCGGTAGGTCTAGGCGATAAGGCACTTCTCCAGCTCGCCCAATGACTTGGTATGGACCAATGAATCGTACTGCTAGCGTCCCGATCTTTCCAAAACGATCTCTACCCTTTTGAGTGGATATTTTGAGGTATACCCAATCTGCAATGGTAAAGACTATCTCTCGTCGGTTTTAGTTTCTCTATAACACTTGAATAGGCAGATCTTGAAGTAACCCTCCTGGTACTTGATGTTCCGCCTTGATCTCTTGACATTGGGAGTCATGTTGCGCCACTGCTCTCTTCATCCTTAGTGCTTCAAGGATGAATACTAAGTAAAGACTGGTGTGCCATCCTTAGTATCTCTTGTCTTAGATGCCCTTCTTCTGGAACGGTGATTCTCCCATGAAGTAGGATGGTCACATCTTCGGCTAGGTGATACTCCTCATCAACGCCTTCGCCTTCTTCTTGAAAAACAATCCCGATGCTCCCCAGGGTGAGGAACTCGGCCGAATGAACTCCTTGCTCATTAGGTCTTCTAGTTTTGTCTTCACTTCTCCTCACTTGGTTGGGGTCATACCGTATGGTACCCCTAATGCTGGCATCGTTCCTGACTCCAGGCTTATAGTGAATGGATTCCTCCGTGGCAGGGATAATTTTGTCAGCGCCTTGAATACATCCCCGAACTCGTGTACCACCAGGATATCCTCCACTTTCAACTTCTTGTCTTCTTTCTTTTCCACCACACCAATCACAAGGAGATATGCTTCTCCTCTCTCCATCTGCGTTTCCATTCGCAGATCTGATCCTAACAACATTGTCGTACTATGACTGATTCCTTGGTACGCAATCCTCTATTGCTGAGACCCTTTGAAGATGATTCTTCTCTCTCACATTCTAGCTAAGCTTCATAGCTAGATAACCAATCCTTGCACAGGATTTCATTGAAGCGGGCTAGGGGTAGAACTAGAAGGTCAGCGCTGAAGGTCTCTTCCTGCAACACAACATAAACACTACACTATACTCAACGCTTTAAGGGTTTGGTCTCCTGAGGATAACACAAGATCCTCCACCCTTTCTACCTTAAAAGCGTCTCCTAAACAAGATGCTACTGCATGATTCACAATACCATGTGTTGCTCCCGAATCGAACAAAATATGTGTCAGGTTACCACCTACACATATTGTTCCTTAGCACCCTACCACAATACTAATATACTTACTAATCAAGGAAGCAATCACACAAAACAAACCCAAGCAATAACTTAAACAAGTTAGAGTTAGCACCCTTATCTTTCTATTGTAGGATCTTTTACCGATCCCAACGGGTTTGATGTTTCTGCGTCTAACGCGGACACCTCACCCGTGCTTGTCAGACGATTGGTCGGGGATCCGTTCATTGGTCAGGTCGATACTTCTAGGTCTTGTCGCCACTTCAACGATCTTGTGAGGACAATTTGGGGAGAAATGTCCTTTCTCTCCACAGATGTAGCATGTCGCACGTATTGGAAGATCTGGCACTGAAATAGTACGGGGACAAGATCGAGCGAAATGTCCCTTTCCTCCACATGTGTAGCATGATTCGCCATCATTCCCGGATTTCTGGCCTCCTTTCTTTGACTTAGTTGCGTCTCTTGAATCCATTTTTCTTTTCTTCCAAGCGGCTTTCTCCTTTTGCAGATACGCCTCCACATCCACTGCTCTTTCTATCACTTCATGGAGACTACTGAAAGTGACTGACTGTAGTCGACTTTCTATCTCTGGTTTTAGTCCTTCCATGAACTGTCTCACTAGGGCTTTATCATCCACGTTGCAATATGAGATATACCGCTGTAGTCTCATAAACTCTGCTTCATATTCTCGAACGCTCTTCTCGCCTTGGTTTAGTCGCAGAAATTCTTGGGCTAGGTGATCTCGTGCTTTGGATGGAGAGTATTTCTGTTCAAACTCCTTTTTGAACCCTTCCCATCTGTCGATGTGATACTCCTGCTGTCGATTCATACTTTCCCACCAGCTTAACGCCTCCTTCTCTAGGTGATAGACTCCGACGTCCCTTTTAAAGTCGTCTGTACATCTGGTCGCTGAAAAGTTATTCTCCACACATTGTAGCCATGCATCCGCCTGGTAGTGGTCCGGCTCTCCATTGAATAGATAGGTTCTTAAGGTCTTCATGATTGTTGCTATCTTGAGAAAGTCTGGTGGTAGAGCTACTCCGTTGCTTGTGCCTAGTATGGCCTGGTGCAACACTTGGGATAAAAGATCATGCACCATGGATAAAGTTGTACCGGCCCGTTGTTGATCTTCTGGTTCCGATGATTCCGATGGTGGCCTGGCACCTTGCTGTGCTTGTTGATTCGCAGATCCGGAATGCTCAACTCGAACATTCCTATGCGGGTCTAGTGGATGATGAGACCTCGTCCCTTGAGAGTGAATGGAGGATGAGTAAGGTGACATAGAGTAGTCCCTTCTCTCTGGATATTCGTAGTCCAGATTCTCAGCTTGACCATATGTCTTAAGCATGTTTGTATGCATCATCTCCTCGTTCTGATCTTCTTCTTCATTGCCGTGCATAGCCACATCTGATGGCTCTCTTCTATTCATATCCTCTGGCGCACTCTGACCCTGACCCAATGATAAATCCCTCGACCTCTCGTGACCTCCTCTGTGGTTTAACATCTGCACCAGGTAATGGGTAAGTCCTAACTTACTAATCCTAATAGGCAGAACAAACCGGATTCCTAATTTGGCTTTTGCGACACATTTTGACTCGATAAAACGGCTTGTCCCGTGAGCATGACCATGAACCATGCTCTGATACCACCATTTGTAACACCCCCGGTTCGGTCTATGAATAGACTAAACCGCAGATGCCACAAGTGTCGAGGTTCATAAGATAGGCCGTCTTGGGTCTAAGAACAAATCAGAGCCCAAGTCAGCTAATCCGATGAATACGACCCTCTCGACCATCGGTTAAGGCTTTGCAACCTGCTCCTCCGGTCTTGAGTTGTGTTAGCTCCGGACAAGAGCTAATATCATTCGAGAGGCCAGATTTGTAAAAGATAACTTTATATAATAACCTTGTCAAAACAAGTTCTTACAAAACTTTATACTATTTTGCCGGCAAGGCCTAGTGCCCAAAGCATAGCTATTGCATATAATAACCTGAAATCGAGTTTTACAAAAGCCAAGCCAATCTACTCCGGTCTTCAGCTGTTCTGCCTCCCGTTCACGGGCTTCAACTAAGGGTTACCTGTAAGACAAATAATCATCATGAGTAACCTAATGTTACTCAGTGAGTTCAGGACCCTCTATACAAAGGTTATTCCCCAAACCCAAACCCCAAAAGAAAAAGGCGGGATCTCATCCGCCACCTGCAACACAAAGCAATTATGCAATATTGTTGCTATAGCCTTAAGACTAACCGTACCCCAATCAAACAAGAACAGGTACGATCAATCCAAGACTATAACAACACTCAAACAAGCAATCAATCAATCAAGCAATGCACACAATCAATCTATATGCAAAGCAACCCTAATCAAGTAGCGGAATACTTGACTTCTACATGCAGTGAGGCCTCTAGGTGCATAAGCCACATTCTCAGCCCACGCCTGTGAAGGTTCACGCTCATCCGGAATCACACAGAAACTAGATGAACGCCTTCACCCGGGCACTACAGTCCATCGCGGTACCCGGTTCATCCTCCCATCTATTGGCCTTACTGGCGCACCATGCCAATGTCTGGTTGGATCCCATATCGTCATATGGTACCATACTCGGCCAAGGCAGCTGACCAGGTTATCCTCCGAGTCTTCCTCCCTTCATGCACAGCCTCCACGCTGCCAATCCGGTTGGGCTCTGACGTGCGAGAATGCGCTTGACTACACCTTCCTAAACAACATGTGGTTAGACACGCCACATGTTCTCAGTACTTAGCATATGGGCCTTTACGCACCACTATGCCTCATACCCTCGGTTCTGCGGCAGAGCTTCCCTTGCCTCGGAAGAGTACCCACACGAACCTCGAAAGATCTGGCGGCTCAGCCGTCCGTGATCTTTCCACATCGGAGTCATACTCAACATATGGGCCTTACGCACCACCATGTTAGCATGCACTCGAGGTTTAGCGGCATAGCCATGCTATAACCCCACAACCGATGCATCTATGAGATTTGGCGGCATAGCCATCCACAATCTCACATCACCTAAAGTATAGACATGCATCTATACAAACAAGATCTGACGGCATAACCTTCCCCGAAGGTTACCCATCACAATCTTACACACAAAAGAGATCTGCCAGCATAACCTTCCCCGAAGGTTACCTGACACAACCTCACAACACAAGAGATCTGACGGCATAACTTCTCTCTCTAGAAGATTACCCGTCACAACCTCACAGAGATTTCTGCAGCATAACTCTCCACAATTTTTACTAAACATTATTGTTTAGAGAGTTATACCACATACTTATTAAACGATAGAAGGAAATAAACTATAACCTAGCTACCGGAACTCACAGATTTTAGACGACCCGGCTGACCCCGTTCCTAGCCTACCCCGCTCTAGCCCGAACCCGATCCGCCTCTGGATCTTCTCTTCTTCTTCTCCACCTTGTTCTTCTTCTTCTTCTTCCTCTTCTTCTTCTTCTTCTTTCTCTCTTGGGCGTTCTCTCCTTTCTCTCTCTACTTTATCTCTCTTTTCTTTCTTGTTTGTGGTGTGAGTTGAAATGAAGGCTGAAGGGGCCTTTATATAGGTTTATGGGAAGCTCGAGGTGGCGTCTGAGGGCTTCAGAACGTGACACCTCTCCCTGCATGCAACCAATGGCGTTGAGGCACGCCTGCAGCTGCTTCTCCCATCCCCATCCACTTGGATCGAATGGCACCTTCCCATTGGTCCATTCTCCAAGCTGTTGGGTAGCTGAACGTGATTGGTCCATTGAAGATGAGCATCTCCTCCTTGATCCTATCTTCATGGAATGAGTGGCTCCTTCCTATTGTTCCTTCCTCAAGCTGGTGAGTGTGTAGACATGATTGGTCCAACACATTTCTGTCTTCTTACAAGCAGCTGAATGCTCACACCTGATTGGTCCGTTTTGAAAGCTGCTGGGTATCTCCATTTGATTCGTCCATTTCTGGATAAGATAATCCAATCACAATGCTTATCCACGGCCTCACTCTCTCCCATTAGGTGGTGTTGACACACGATTGGTCCAACACAATTTCATCCCATTCCAACAGCTCAATGTCTTTGCATGATTGGCTGAACGGTTTTGGCTCCATCTGAGTAGCTTGGTGTCTCCTCCTTACTGGTTTAGACATCTTTATCCTCCTCAAGTAGCTGGTGTCACCACTTGATTGGCTTAGAACAAGATTGCTCCAAAAGTACGTTTCCTCGTCCAGAGGGTTTCGTACGTTTCCCTGTCCGGAGGGTTTCGTCCCCGTCATGTTTGAGAATTAAAATCTCCTATTTTAATCCTTCTCTCATTTCCATGTTTCTGAGCTTCCACATAGTTGCTTGGAAATGTGCGGAATACCTCCATCCCGAACATTTACGCTTCTTGCAGTCGTTGCGGGATAGATCTTGGGCGTTCGTCCCATCTCTCAATCTGCTCGTCCGATTTGCATTCTGCTTCGACCAAACTTCTTAGAATGGTTTCTTATGTCGTCCAAACTCTTCTCTTCTTGATTTGGAGAACTTTGATATTTCGTCGTCCTGTCGACTCTTCCCATGTTCGTACAATGATCGTCCCACCTGGACAATCTTGCTGTATCTTCACTTCTGCTCGTTCGTTCTTGATCATGTCTTGATCCAAGTCTTCGTTGTGATCTCTGTATTAGATCCCACGTCTTTGTCTTCCAATCCCAGAGTGTTGATCTTCCCATCCCGGCCTTTGGGATGTTTTAGGTCTTGATACGGGGTATCACATGGGATGAGACGGGACATACAGTACAGATGGGACGAGAAAGAACGGATATGATGAAAATGAACGAAATATGATAAGATAGGACAAGACGGTACGTTAATTTTGCCGAATCCTAATTATTTTTAATTAATATGTGTAAGATTTTTGAAACAATAGTAAACCATAGAAATAAATTAAATTTGCGGAAAAATAATAAAATTAACAGAATAATATAAATTTCCGTGCTTCGCGCGGGTCACCTCCTAGTTATTACATAAATTACAACTTGTATTCTAGCCAAACAATTATAATGGTTAGTTTCTGAAATACCATTCTCAATATGATTATTCAGTTCAATTTCCCTTAAAATAACTCAAATAATATATTAATATTAAATTTTTAATTGATTAACATTTCAAAATATAAAAAATTAATAGTGCAATTATATCTGAAAATATGTAAAATGATTCTAAACGATTTATTACGTATAGTTCTACACAAACATTTTAAAATGATTTACACAGTTAAACTTATGTTTCATACGAAAAATTATTTATATATTTCTTAAGAATTTAAGATGTTATATTTATAATAATTATTCTTAATGTTCAAAGTTTTTGTCCAGAGCCCCCGCATTGTCGGTTATATATCTAGTACAAGTTAATTTCTTGAGCAGCTTGCTTTAAAATTTCTAAACCTCCAAAGTCCAAACACACAAGTAACTGATTCCCAAAAGGATTAACCTGTTTCAGTAACACACAAAGAAAAAAGCAGAACCATTCATTGTAAATAATAAATATCACCACATAATATCATATAATAAAAAATGTTAATATTGTATATGTACATATACATGTGCTTGGATCATGTAGGTGCTCCGGACAATATTAGAGGAGATATTAGCAAACACAACTTCCATGTCGTACTTCTCAAACTAGTAACAAATATTAGTGCAGGTTTTGTCTTTAGGGCAATTACACAAAGTGAACTTCACTCTCATATATATTCAGCATGACGATATGTGAAAACCAACTATTAAACGCAGCGGTTGGGCAGGCCCGGCCCTAAGCATGGGTTGGAAATGCATTTGCACTATATCCATATTTTTTTGACAAAAATTACTTATGATTTAAGATCCTGAAATTTAAAAATATAGCAAAAAGGTCCAAAATCTTTAGAAGCACCATATTTAGCCACAATTAATTAATTCTGTATAGGGACCAAACGATGTTTGGGCCGGGCCTGCGGTTAGAACATTATAAGGGTAAGTGATGGAGGGGAAGCTTCTAGAGATAGGTTTGAGAATTCTCCTTTCAAGACTTTTCCAAAAAGCAAAAGCTATTGATCTATAAATACTCTTCATAGTGATTTATCAAAAGCTTTTGATTTATGAATACTCTTCACTCCCACATATATTCAGCATGACGTTATGTGAAAACCAAGTATCAAACACAGCGGTTGGGACATTACAAGGGTAAGTGATGGAGGGGATGCTTCTAGAGATAGGTTTGAGAATTCTCCTCTCAAGACTTTTCCAAAAGGCAAAAGCTCTTGGTTTATGAATACTCTTCACAGTAGTTTATCAAAAACTCTTCAGAAAATTTCATTTTTATTTAATTAATTAAAGTTTGAATGTAATAAAATGCTTATTTGGCTATTTATAATAAAAGATTAAGAACCTTCAAACCCTAATAATAATTAAAATATAAATAATACATATTTCTCTAAATACAGAAAATATATATATTTAAGATATTTCAATATCATGCGGCATAAGTAAGGCAAGTTCGCAGTGGTGGAAGATATACATGATCGACTAAGAAAGTTTCACGAGACTAATAAATAAATAAATAATTATTAAAAACACATTGGGTTATCGGTTTGGTTTGTTTTTAAAGAAAACCATTTGGGTTTAGAAAAACTTTAACCAATTGGTTCATGTATAGAGTATGGTTTACAATATCGACATGCACTTTTAAAATGTTTGACTAACTTGTAAAAAATTATCAATCGGAGTTGTTTCTTTTTTTTTCCCAGAAAACTCATGATTAGTACTATTGTTTTCTTTGACTTATCTATGTACATTTTCAATAATGCAATTCCTAATTCAGTATAAAATATTCTTTAAGAAAAAGGCAAGTAGACCAAATATATTTTTTCTGTCAAAATATATTAGTGCTGATATGTAATATTTAATGGAAAGATCCTAAATATCCATATGATGATAACTTGCACTATACATTTTTAAGCATAAAAACGATTAAAAAAAGAGATTCAACCGTTGGATCGCCGGTCAATGAAGGAAATGCAGTTGTTATATGTTCACTAAAATGTGAATTCCATTGCCACTTACGAATTGGTTCATCTTGTCTAACAAGGTGTATCAGAGAGCGATGCTTACATCTGCCACCAACTTCACGCTCATAGTAAATCACTAAATCTATTTTTCTCTTTACATATATGCATATATGTGTATTACATATATATTTGTATAGAGTAAATATTGACATGGTTTTTATTGTAATAAATAATACAAAATGAAGATTATAAGAATGAAGTAAAGGAAAAGCCAAAGAGTATTTATGAAGCTGTCATGTCATGATTTGATTTTTCCATGTAAACAAAATTTTGCAATAAAATGAATAATAAAAAAGTTTATTATATTCATATTAAAAACATGGATGAACAAATATTATAAGTACAATAGAAACTCTATAAATTAATATTCTATAGACTAATAACCTCGATAATATAATAAATTTATCATGTCCCAAACTGGGTCGATCTAAAATATAGCATAAATTAATCGAAAGGATAATACATTTTTGAAGAAACTATGTAAATATATAGTCCCATTAGTATCATAAGTTAATAACTTCCATAAACAAATGTATTACACAGATATAACCTATGATAATATACTAAAAATAATAATAGTAATGTTTGTTTTTTTAATCTAAATTGAAATAGTTTTAGAACTTAACTCTAATTTTAATATAAAACTTTAAAAAATATTATAATTTTATAAGAACTTATAATTTTTTAAGAACTTATAATTTTTTATTATTTCTTAATAGAAAACTATTTTAGTAAAAATAGATAAATGATGACTTGATAAATTAATAAAATATCAAAGCTCAAATATTATTAATCTATAGAGTTTCTACTGTTTTCTAAGAACATAAGTATTATTTCAATAAGGTTCTTGGGAAAAGAAATATGTAACTTAGATATGCAAAAACAAACTATTTGATTTAATGAATCTTTTGGAAAGAATGCATGGTTCTCTTGTTCCTTCTGAATTGTTGTATTCAGTTTGATTTGGTTTATACGCAAGCAGGTCTGGCTCTAGAGGTATGCCAGTGGGGCATGGCCTAGGGTCCATTTCCAATTAAAAGTGTGTAATTCTTAAAGAAAAATAGGCTCAATTTTTATTTATTTTTTAAAATACTCTATACTAAAAGGCCTCAAAATTATAGTGTTTATATGTTTTACATGATCTTTATAAAAAAAAATGATTTATAAGAGGATCTAAACCTTATCTCGAACATTAGAACGAGATAATTTTAGCCAACATGAAATAAACCATTAATCTTTTGGATAAAAGATAAACAAAACAAAAATCTTATAAGAGAACAAAATATTACTACTCAATTTCACTATTAACTAAAAAACTCAAACTCAGAAGTTCATTTTGCGATAAATTTCATCTTTAAAGTATAGAAATATTTTTTTTTTCTTATCCTTTATATATTAAAAGAGAATACATTATAAGAGTAACCTTTAGTTCATGTATTAATAACAAAATTGTCATACTGAAGTATCATCACAAGAGAGCTTCTCATGATAGTTATAAAATAAGATTTTGTTTACTATAAATACTATACAATGTCATTCATATTAATTTGGTTAGAGAATAGTTTATATCAATTATTTATATATTATTCAACATTTAATTTTTGAAGATATTTTCATTCTTTCCATTCACACCAAAATATATTTTTTGGTTGAACTTAATAATATTCTGAGGAATTTTATGTTCATTTATTCGTGATTCGTCTCAGTGTGGGAGACATTTTTTTCTCACTCATCCCATGGAGTTTGTACTTCTTTTGATGCTAATGAGTTCATGGATTTGCATATTTTACTACATCTCAATTCTTATTTTGATCCTATGAATTGTAGGAAAGAACGCAAATACTATATTTAATTATGTGCAAGGTGCGGAGAAATCATCTAGAATACGTGAAAAGCAGCTACAAAACCAAACCTATAACAGAGGAAATTTTTTAATCCTGACCAAGAAAATGGATTTAATCGGACATGTCTCCAAAAACGTCCATGCAGCAAATTCAAACTTTTATTGTCCAATTTATAGGCAAGTGGCTCCTTTACATATCATCGTCCATAGGTTAGCCGTCAAAAGAAACAAAAATCAAGTAACCAAAAACTAAATCTAGCTTCCAAGTTCCAACAATTTCAACAAAGATATAAGCGGTTTTTTTTTTTTTTTTGAACAACTTTAATTGATTAAACTAAATCGGTTTTAGCCGGGACGGGTTACAGGGAAAAAACGACACTTCGCAGCTTTGGCCAGAAGATCGGCTTTTGAGTTTTGAGCTCTGGGAACGAAAACGAAAGAGACAGAGGTAAAGAGAGAAGCAAGAGCATGTATATCGAAAAGAAGACCGTAGATCTCTTTGATGGGCTCTTGTGCCGTGATAGCTAGGACGAGGTCCCGAGCGTCGGATTTGAGAATCAGATTGGTGAATCGGTTCTCTAGTGCATGGTTGAGGGCGGATCTGATTGACAGCGCTTCTGCCATTGTTGGTGATGATACGAAACTCTCAGCTGATTGTCCCACTCCCAATTCAACTCCCGCGTTGAGATCCATCCTGATCCGGCTATTCCATTGTATGTGCTCCATGCTCCGTATGTGAAACAGGTAATCGAGTCATCGAATATCCTGTGTGGTTTCTGGTTTCTTGCATGCGGTTTAATGGTATCAATGGTTAATTGGGCGTTTTGCCATTCCTTTGCTTCAATTAGGGCTTTGAGGATGGTGTCTTCAGGGTTAAAGGGTCTGTCTTCAAATATAAGGTAGTTTCGCGCTGTCCATATGGACCAGACTATCCACGGGAAGATCGGTCTGAGGAAGATACCTGTTGGTGGGAGGCAGATCATGTTCTTGGAGTTTGATAGGATCATCGTAAAGCTGTTTTCCGGGGAGCGGCTGATTGGGGTTTTGAGAGGGGCTAGATCCCAAACTTTCTTGGCAAAAGGGCATTGGAGGAATAGGTGTTCTGCGGTTTATAGTTCCCCGCAATGGACGCAGCAGGCGCTGTCAGGAAGTCCTCTGCTCAAGAGATTGTCTCCGAGAGGTAGAGCTTTATGCACTATCTTCCACATGAAGACTTTCATTTTGGGGGAGAATTTACCGGACCAGATGTCGGAGATCCAATTGATTGGTTCTGGAGGTCTAGTTGGTCTGTCATCTTTTGCATTCAGGGAGGTGTGATAGCCGGTTTTAACAGAATAGGCGCCTGATTTAGTTGGTAGACAAATGTAAGTATCTCGGGCTCCTCTCCTGCTAGGTCTAAGCTGTAGTATATCAGCTCCATGGTGCGGCAAGATTTTATTTATTTTGTTCTGGTCCCATTTGTAGCTGTTGTTCGCCATGAGGTCTGAAACCATGAGATCTTTATCTCGATGTGTTGGTGGTCCTATCGGACGGGTGGGAGATGCTAGGGATAGCCACGGCTCGTTCCACATCGAAATTGAGAGGCCATTTCCAATAGCTTTTCCCAGATTCTTTAATAGGAGGTCTCTGCCAATGATGATGCCTCTCTAGCCGTGGGAAGATGTAGAAGGCATTGGGACACTCAGAAAGTGATGGTCTTTGCAGTATTTTCCTTGGAGGATTCTTGAGAGTAGGCTCTGTGGGTTGTTGAGGATTCTCCAACTCAACTTGGCAAGGAAAGCGTCATTATAGCTTTGGATATCACGAAGACCAAGCCCACCGTCACGTTTCGATTTTGTAAGTTTTTCCCATGAGAGCCAACACATCTTTTTTACTCCGTGTTTTGAGTCCCACCAGAATCGTGTTAAAGCTGACTGGATCCTCTTGCATAATCCTGCAGGTAGCTTGAAGCACAACATGGAGTAAGAGGGCATTGCGGACAAGACGGATTTGAGCATAGTCAGCTTTCCTGCGCTCGAGAGGAATCTTGATGAATAGTTGACTGCTTTTTGGTGTATGCGATCAACAATCAAGGTAAACAGGTCCTTTTTCTTCCTTCCAAAACTTTCCGGTAGCCCTTGACCTCCCTCCTTTTCAATACCAAGAGCTTTCTTGACTCTCTCCCTTATTTCTGGTGGCGTTTTAGACGAGAAGGTTATGGATGATTTGTGGGGGTTAATCATTTGTCCAGAAGCTTCTTCGTACTTTCGGAGGATTGAGACTAATGAATCACAGCTTTGTTGACTCGTTTGCAGAAAAACATAGTGTCGTCGGCAAAGAGCAGATGGTTTAGGTGAGGGCTTCCTCTAGCTACGCTTAAGCCAGGGAGTTTACCGTTATCTTGTGCGTTTTGGCAAAGGCCCGAAAGGACTTCGCTGAAGAGGATAAAGATGAACGGAGATAGAGGATCTCCATGCCTTATGCCTCGCTAAGGATGTACAGAACCCTGAGCTGCTCCGTTGACGAGGAAGGCATATGACACGAGGATCATGTTTATCCATTTAGCATGGAATCCTAGTCTTTCCAACACCGCTGATATGAAGCTCCATTCTAGCCTGTCGTATGCCTTGCTCAAGTCGGTTTTCACTGCCATGGAGCATCGCTTTGTGGCTCCAGATCTTTTGAGGTAATGTAGCACTTCGTGAGTGATTAAGATATTATCGGATATGGCTCTTCCCGGGACATAATCTGTTTGCGTTTATGATATTATGGATGGCATGATTGGTTGGAGCCGGCTTGTCAAGATTTTGGAGATAATCTTATTGAAGACGTTGCATAGAGCGATTGGACGATACTCTGCGACTGTTTTTGGACTGGAGACTTTGGGGATTAGCCTTACGTGAGTAATGTTGATGGATCTAGGCACCATTCCTGAGGTAAAGATATCCTTGATTTATATAAGCTGTTCAAAACTTCAAATCGTGCCGCCAAAAGAACAGTTCTAAGTTTCCAACCACCCAATCAATCATATAATCCAAACGAGAATCTAGCACATACACTCGTGCATCCGTTTTTCCAAAATATAATTAAACTTTCCCATAAAAGCCAAACCAACAGCTCGATTTTTCTTTCAAATTTTTTTAAAAGAAACAATATCTAAATTTGTTTCTCGGATATGAAAAAGCTTGGAAATAGACACTTACGGGGGCCCTCACGACAAAAGACAGAAAAATCCCATCTTATCTTAAAATAATAATTTAGATAGTCCCACTTGCCCACACTCCAAAACAAAACAGTAGAGAAGAAACACTAAAAGTCAAATAAAGATGAAAAGGATCCTTCCTCTCTCCAACACAACACAAGAAGTTACCAACGAAAACTCTCACTTCACTCTCCTTTATATAAACCTCCAATCTCAGAAAAACCATAAATCCACAAACAATCAGAACCTGAAAAAAACAAGACTCCAATATTTCACCTATGGCCTCTTCACAACAACAAGATCAAGACCAAACAGCTCTAGATCTCATAACCCAACACCTCCTTACTGATTTCTCTTCCTTAGAGACATTCGTCTCAAGCATCCATCACTGCACCACCACCCCCTCCACTCTAAGCCAACGCAAGCCACCTCTTGCCACCATTTCAGTTCCTAATTGTGCACCGTTGGTTCAAGAAGATGATCAAAGGCATTACAGAGGGGTGAGGAGAAGGCCATGGGGTAAGTATGCGGCTGAGATCAGAGATCCAAACAAGAAAGGTGTTCGTGTCTGGTTAGGCACTTTTGACACAGCCATGGAAGCTGCAAGGGGTTACGACAAGGCTGCTTTTAAACTACGAGGAAGCAAAGCCATTCTTAACTTCCCACTCGAAGCAGGCAAGCACCAGGACTGTGGAGACAACGACAACAACAAGACCGTGTCTTTAAAAGCTAAGAGGAAGAGACAAGTGACGGAGGAAGAAGAAAGCTATGAGAGTAGCCATAATAATAAGGCTGTGAAGAGGGAAGAGACGGAAGCTCAGGGTGAGGCTTGTCCTTTAACGCCGTCAAGTTGGATGGGGATTTGGGACGGAGTAGACGATACAGGGATGAAACTGTTTGCTGTGCCTCCGTTATCTCCTTATCCATCTCTTGGACACTCTCAAGTCTCAACTCGTGGTTAGGTAAAGCTTCTTGGGAAAAAGTTCCACAAACACAAAGAAGATAACAATGGAGCTCGCTAGTCTTAAGGGTTATGTTCAAGATTCGTCAATTACTGAACTAGCTTATGGATCAGTTGATTGTAAATACTTTGCTATAATTCATTCTTCTAATCGCAATTTGTATCAAACATTTCCTTGAATGAGCTCAAAATTGACATACAAGACTTGTGCCACCGTCTAACTTCTTGTAATATTGCAGATGCATTTTGTACATAGGCACAAAACTTGTGTTTAAAGTAGACTAATTTAGACTTTCCATTGCATAATATCCGTGGATACATAATACATTTGAATTGAATAAGATTTTCCTTTTCTTTTTGCTATCACCATGTATCAAATAATATGGTCATACTTGCCACCTGCAATCACAGATAATATGAGATGATTTCCATTTCTTAGTGTAAGCAAAACTATGTGACATACATGACACCTGTTGCTTACCTATAAGAAACTTGACTATCGAGTCTCAGATTCTTGGTGGTGGATTTTAGGCAAGGAAATGATCAAGGATATGCTCTATGACATCTGCTCCTTCTATATGCATAGTTTCGTTTTTGACCTGGAAAGGCAGCATAACACAGGTCATGGTATGTGGAGATTAATCCTATCAGAACGAATATCAAGAGAAGACGCAATTCTTAGGAGGAAGGACAAACAAGGGTTGTAAATTAGGACACGTGAGGGATGGCAGGAGAGAGTGAGAGACCTGTATAACACTATGAGCAGCGAACCTCTGCCTACTACTGTGGAAGCTAACATCAACTTTTTCCCATGAGACAGAGGAGAGGCCTTTGATCATTTCTTCTGCAAAATCGAAAAGGGACTTCATTACTTTGAAAATTAGAAAGCAGAAGCAATACATATGGTAGAACAATTGTTTGTACTCAATAGCAAATACTAACTTCTTTTACCAACTAACGGATAAACACCTAAGCACTACAACATCTAGTGCAAGCTGACCTTCTAAGTCGTCTGCATGATTCTCGCCTTCTGCTATGTCCTCAGCATCACATGCCTTGCAGAGTTCTTCGTACACAATATGTGGATACTTCTCGTTCAGAGAATTTTCCCACTGGCAAACAAGAAAACGTTCAATTATCAGAGACCCATTATATCAAATGAAGTAACCCAGTTAGAGAATTAGAGTCAGATACCTTAGGCAATTCACTGTCACGTCTAATAGAAGCCGTCCTCCAGCCAACAACGTCTATTCAGATCTAAGTGAAGGAAAAAAAACATGATAGACAGAAAATTACTATAAGCAACACAGACAGGATACGATCATAGCCCACATTTGAATAAGCCACCCGCCTTTTGAAGGCACGCAATGCAGATCTGCAATACAGAAACAAAAAAAAAACATTTGCAAGTGAGAACAACCATCTTCAAGACATGGTTAGGTGAATTTAACCAGCGAAAAAATGGAGGCATACATGAATTTACAATCACCGGAATCTTGCGCCATGCGTCGAAGCAAGGGTGGTTTTCCCTCTTCTTCATCTTTCAAGAAAAGGTGTCGCCCCGTTCTTTTGAATATCCAGTGGATGATGAGACCTGCCACTTTCTCAATGGAAGAAACACCAAAGAGAAACGGAACCTGGAAGCAATAATACCAACTTGTTCTAAATTCTTATCAAAGAAACCAACTCACAACATAAATGCACAGAACCACAATTTACCTGTTTATTACCCATTGAACCCAAATGTGGTGTAGCTACAGTGATGAAGTTCATAGCCTCTAGGCCACATATCGTTCCTTCACTCTCATCTCCCTGATTAGCTGGCTTGTACAACTTCCCAATTGCATATCTCGCTGCAAGCCCTCCCAAAGAATGTGCAACAAAGGAGATTTTACGGATATTTGGACTTCTCTGAATAATATCAAGAACCTATAACACATACAAAAATTATCTTTATCATTCCGAAATCACTGATGTCAACGAAAGAAAAAAAAGTATGTGATCCCTTATTACCTCAGATGCAAGACGTTCACCCATTACATCCACACCATCTAAAGTAAGCGCAGACGCATTTTTTTCACTACCTGTTTAAACATCAAGCAAGATCATAAGACTCTTTGGGGAGTAACAGGAGCAACAAGTAACCTAATTAGTAGCAGGAAAATTAGGCAAAGGGACCACTAAACTATAATATATACGGTTTAAATTTCTAAAAAGGGAATAAATTTTTCCCAATTTGCAAAATTTTCAAAAATCATCAATAAGCAGAAGCACTGGACAAAAGATCAATGACATCTTACAATGAACAAATACTTTGTCTGGCATCATTTTGACGAATTGCTCTGCTCCAAACTTCCAATCGTCCGTACTGTGTATATATAAGCCAAATAAGGAAATAGCATTTACATTTCTGATTTCTCGTCCCAAATTTGTTGTATACATAGAAGAAGATAATTAAGGGAAACAAGAGTTTCGTTCATGGGAATTGCAGAAATTAACATAATCGAAGAATGGATAAGAGCTTTTTTTACCTTCCCATGATCCCATGGACCATAACAACAAGGTGATCGGCGGAAGAAGAATCGGAATTTTTACAACTCCAAACGTCAAGGCTTCCGTCGACAGATTCCGCCGCGCAAACGCCGTCGTCGTGCTTCTCCATGGTTACAATCGAATTCGATTCGGGTCAGATCCAATTACAGCAGCGAAAAACCGCTTCCCAAACACTCCAATTTCAGAAATCGTGAATTGAAAAAAACGACAAAAAAAAATAATCGAGGATTGGCTTTTTTGGTAAACAGTTGGAAACTGTGAAGTGGAAATGAAGACAGACTTGCCAGAGAAGGAAGGAAACGAAAACGATAATGTAACGTGGAAGAAAGGAATCGTGGGAGGTCAGGTCGGCTTCGTGTGGGAGTCTGCCGACTTCCCGGGACCAAAAGCAAAAACTTCTCTACACGGTTTTAGGAAATACAAACTAAAATATATCTTTGACTTTTTGGAACCAAAGATAAAAAAATCTTTGACTTTCACCAGTCATTTCGATTTTCCATTTTCAAAACCTAACTGATCGCTAAAAAAAATCTTAGAATATGCGTTTTGAATGGAAAGTTTTCTATGCATTATTTTTGTGATTTTCATCCAAAATATTGAGTAACTTCACTACTCATCCTTTCACTGATTTAGCTCAGGGAAGATAACGATTACTACAGGTTACTTCTTTTTCTCTTTTTGATTTTTTTTTTTGATAAAGGATTTTCATTTAACAAAAGGGAAATAGCACTAGATAACCATAAAAAAACATGTGTTCTAAAAATCGGATCAAACATCGGCGGCAGACTGAGGAGATTAACGGTCATCGGAGATGATTTCCGGTGAAAAAATGTTGACCGATGTCAACGCTGAATGAAAAAAAAAACGTGTGCAATTTGTTAAATCGTATGGGCCAAATTGACAAATTTCGTTTAAATTGGGCCCAATAATCAGCTCAAATTCAATGTGACGTCGTTTTGACTAGTTTTATTTTCAGACCAACATAAGTTTGTCGTGAAATCGATTTGGGATTCTTATATGAAGCTCACAAACCCTAAAATCGATTTGCGATTTCTCCACCTCTATTCAATCAGAAACTAAACCAAAACAAAGTTATCCAGTTCTTCTACTAAGATCGTGAGTAGTGTGAAGTCAATTTGAGGTAATTTCACTTTGGTTTAACTGAATTTTCTGGTTTTCACTTTAGAGTCTTGAAAATCCAAAATTCTGCTCTTTCTTTCACCTTCTTTTTGTTTTGTCTATGGTTACTGTGATTGTTTGTTTATCACATTCGATTATGAAATGTGTATGTATTGTAAGCTATTTTTATTTTGTCTTTACAATCTCATTGTTTTTTCACCAACAATGAAGTTTTTATCTTGAACAGTTTGAGTTTTTTTGTGAAACTTGATTGGATGTGAACCATAGTGGGTTTGCAGTTTTTGTTACTGTTGCTAGTGTTGATGTTGAATGTTGATAATGGGAACCACAGTTCTGTTGATATATATGTTCATGTTATTGTTGTTAGTGTTGAGAATCATGAGTTGTGTTTGTTTGGTCTTTGTCTCTGTTTCTTTTTGGTTCTGAAATCCTAGCTAGAGAATAAGACATAAGAGAAAGCAATAGTTCTGTTGTTTGTTTGTTGGTTTACGAGTTGTTAGACTTGTTAGAGAAAGGGAATGAAAGAAAGCAATAGTTCTGGTTCTTATTTCCGGTTCTTACTAAAGTTTTGTTTGTGTTTTGATGGTTTGGTTAGTGTCTAATGGATGATCCACCGAGAGAGGAGTCTCCTCCACACGCTCTGAAGCGAAATTCTAGTGATATCGGATGGGATTATGGAGTTATGTGTGATCCTACAAATCAAGACAGGCTTCGATGTTTGCTATGTGGGAAAGAAGTAACTGGTGGTGTCTTCAGACTGAAGGAGCACATAGCTCATGTGAAAGGGAATGTTGCTTCTTGTCGACTGTCAAACAAAGAGGATAAAGAGAAGTGTTTGAAAGTTCTTTTAGAAGTCAAAAGCAAGAAGATTCAGAAGAGAAAGAATGATGCAGCTTTGAGGGCACAAGTTAATATTAACAAGGACAGTGTCGTTGAGGAGGAGCTTGGTCAGCGTAAAGGTCCTCACTTCCAAGGTCCGATGGACAACTTTGCTACAACTATTAACCCTCAAGCAACTTCTGCTGGTCAGAAACGTCAACAGAGTCTCCATGATGCGATTTCAAAGGAAAAAACAAATCAGGTGCATCAGTATTGTGCTCGCTGGATCTACAACTCAAGCATCGCTTTCAATGCCATTGACAATGACGACTTCAGGCTGTTTTGCGAAGCTTTAGGACAGTTTGGTCCTAATTGGCAGCCTCCAAGTCAGCATCAGCTTTGGGAACGACTTCTTATTGAGGAGAAACAAAGGACAAAGGAAAAGCTGAAAGACTTAGAGGAAGAATGGGAGCAGGAAGGATGCTCTGTGATGACTGATGCATGGACTGATATGAGAAGAAGAAGCATCTTTAATCATTGTGTCAACTCAAGATCAGGTACATGTTTTCTTAGTTCACAAGATTGTTCTAAGGAGTCTCACACAGGTCAGTACATCTTCGAGTATATAGATAAGTGCATCGAAGAAGTAGGTCCTCTGAAGGTTGTCCAAGTGGTGACTGATAATGCAACCAATAATGTGGCGGCTTCAAAATTGCTTAAGGAGAAGAGGCCGAATATCTTCTGGTCTGGATGCGCTGCTCACACCATTGATCTGATGCTTGAAGGAATTTCAAAGCTGGATGGGATTGCTAAAATAATAGACCAAGCCAAATCTCTCACAATCTTCATCTACGCTCATCATAGAACCTTGGACATGATGAGATCACATACAAAGAAGGCTGACATTGTGCGACCAGGAGCAACAAGGTTTGCAACTTGCTTCTTGACTATGCAAAGTCTCTATGAAAAGAAGGGAATGCTGAAGAATATGTTTGGCAGTGAGGAGTGGCTTAAGTGTGTTCTTTCTAAGAGTGTCAAGGGCAAAACTTCATATGAAACGGTTGTGAGCATCGGATTTTGGAGCAGCATGGCACTTGTCCTGAAAATCTTCAGTCCATTGGTGAAGGTTCTCAGACTCGCAGATGGAGAGAAGATACCCTCACTTGGGTTTATCTATGGTGAGATCTTAGTAGCTAAGAACTCGATCAAGGAAGCTACGGATCAGATAGAGAGGAACTATGAACCAATCATCAAGATTATTGACAGAAAATGAAAGGCAGGCTGGATACTCCTCTTCATATTGCTGCTTACTTTCTTAATCCATTCTACTTCTACAAGAACACGGGCATATATGATATGGAAGTCATGCAAGCATTCATTTCTTGTGTTGAGACATTCTACTATGGAGACTTTGATAAGCAAAATGAAGTTGTCAATCAAGAGGTTCAGCAATACAGGAACAAGTCGGGTTATTTTGGCATGCCTTTAGCTCAAAAAGGCTGCGAGAAGAATGATGGAAAGTTTGATCCAGGTTTGTTATTTTTTCTTAATTGGTTTTCTTTAAACTTTATTCTTTAACTTTTAGCGAATGATGCATATGTATTTTACTAAATCACAGGACTTTGGTGGTCAACTTATGGTTGTGAAACACCAGTTTTGCAAAAGCTAGCTAAGAGGATTCTTGCTTTGACCTCTAGTTCTTCCGGTTGTGAAAGAAATTGGAGCTGCTTTGGAGCGGTTAGTTTTTTAATATCCTTGTACTCTTTTTATTCTCTTTTACATTGCATAGTCTTTAAATCTTGTGCCAAATTGCAGATTCACACTAAGAAAAGGAATAGACTAGATGTAAGTCGACTAAACAGCCTAGTCTATGTCCAGTTTAATGCAAGATTGTTTAAGAAGCAGAAAAAAATCAGAGAAGGCAAAATTGATATTATATATGATGATGGTAATGAAGACACGGTTGAAGAATGGCTTGTTGATCACCATGAAGACGTAGGTCCAGTTGGAAGTACAACTCAAGCTTCAAGGGTTAGAGCCCTTTACGATTATGATTTTGAATCAGAAGAAGAGGATGGTGGAGACATGGAGTTTGAAGATGATGAAGATCCTGTCTTCCGTGACAATGGTTTCATGGGTACGTTTTCTTTTTGACATCTTCATTGGTTTCATGTTCTGTTTTTTTTGTTATTCTTGGATGAGTTTCTCACGGTTTGGTTTTAGTCTTAGAGTTATGAGTTATGGTGTAGTAATGTCTTAGAGTTATGAGTTACGGTTTGGTATGTTTGTTTGTAGTTTCCGAGTTTGATTTGGATAAGAGAGGTTATGGTGTAGACGTGTAGTAATGTCTTCATTATTTTGAGCGGTTTGATTTTGGTGTAGTGATGTTTTAAAGATTTGATGTCTTAAAGATTTTGTTGTGGTTATTTAGTTTTGGTTTGGACAAGAAAAGTTTAGTTTTAGTTTTCAGGTAATCGCATGTATAACTTCAATTTTTAACACATCTTTTTACATTTGTTTCTGGTTAATAAGTAAATGTTGCCTTGATCTAACACACCTAAGTCTACTAGTCCATTGCACCTTAATTACTTGATCAATGAAGAACAAAAGGATGAAGAACTATAATCCTTTTACTATATTTTTTGTATGTTCTAAATTGATCAAGACAATGTTTTTGGATTTCTATTGTGAATGGAACTATGTAACTTTAATCTTTTGATTCTTTTGTAAGAGATGTGATTGGCAAAATAACAATATATAATCTTTTGTAATATGATCATGTTGATTCAATATGTGTTATTGAGTTACATATAAGAAAATGTTTGAAAAGTATATAAAATATAGTCAAAATTTCATCCCCGTTTATTTCCCGTTTAATCTCCATTTTTTGAAAAATCTCAAATCCCGACCCGACCGCCCGATGAACGATTTCCGATGTTTTGAACGTAGAAAAAAACCTATAATTAAGAAACTAACAACAATAATCTTATGGCTAGAATATGAGGTATATTATATGGAATATTACCAAATATAACCTTGCATCTAGAAATCTGTGTTATTGTCTTGTTGAAAGAAGGAAGGAAGAAGGAACTGCTCGTGAAAATTAAAAGAAGAATTCTTTCAAATCTCCCAAACCGCAAACCTTTATTTATTTCTTTTACTCTTTTGTCTCATGTTCATCTTCTTCAATTTCCCAGTTTGTATTGCATCTCCGTCGTTGGCACTTGGCATCCATGACTCATTTTGATTTTTGTCTTGAGAACCCCATAGATCCATGTCTTTTTCTCTCTCGATTCTCTCTATCATAAGACTCCAAATGATCTCTAATCAATTTTCTTTGCTTTGATTACATGTATTTCTTTTCTAAGATTTATGGGTCTAAACAAAATTGAGGTTAATTATGTCACTGAGATCAATTGGCCCTTGCGATGATTTCTCTCATATTTTTCTTTTCAATTTCTCGGTTGGTGATGTATCTCCATTGTTGGCACCGATGTTTAATTTGGAACGACGAAGAATTTTAACCGACAACAGTATTGGCGATTCCAAAGGAAGGCAAATCCAAAAGCGCTTCCAATCTTCTTTTGTACCTCCGCCGCAGTTTTGCCGTCACCGCTCCAGTTGATATTTTTCATTTCTAGATTTCTATTGCAACCTATTCTCTAATTTTGGTTTATGGCTTTAGTGAAATTGTAGCTGTCAAATTTTGTACTATTTGATGGTTATATAGTATAGTTTAGTTTCTATTTTGTATGAAAGCTAATTTAATATAATTCATTAGTTTAAAACTTAATTATATGGCAAATAATCTCTTTTGCAAGGATTGTGAATTTTCTAAACATCTTATCTTCAGACATAATCTCATCAAAGTCATACTGTATATTCAAATTTACATAAACAGAGAGTATAGATTTCTTTAGACAAGGGTAAAATCATCCAAAAATGTTTCTCTTTACTACTGACTTAATTTTTAGTTTATGATGGCTATATTCTTAATTTTGACACTCATTATTGTTATCTACCAAATTAACCCTTAACAAAATGAGTTTTCAGATACAGGAAACGAACAAACCATGATAAACGAAAAAAAAAAGATAGAAAGGGGAAGAAGGGATATTAGCAGCAAACTAAAATAAAGAGGCCTAATTAAGAGGGAGAAGGAGGTGACGAAGAAAAGGACCAGAAGGACGCAATGGACTTTAAGAAGACCCAGAGCTAAGTGGATGCCGTAAGCCAGAAATCAAAAGTATCAAGATTATAGAAAAACCATTTACAAGAGAGCTATAGTGTAAGTTTTTTTACGGTTCTATCATCTGAAATGCATGCAAATCTCTTTGTTACTTTGTCTAAACTCTATGAACCCATCCTAATTCTTTTAACAAATAACAATTATTCCATGATTGTTTTGTTTGTTATTTAAGAAGAGCCATATTTTTGATTATAGACCCACAAAGCTAGAAACCAGTCCACATTTTTGGTTAGTTGTATAAAAGTGGAAAAAGTCCACAAAGCTAGTCAACATTTAAATACAGAAACGAACAGGGCCTGAAAGATAACCTCAATCAAGCTGGAAAGTCCAATATCTATTTTAGGAAACGTATTGAAGCAAGCCGGAAAGTGGAGATCAAAAGGAAATTGGGGATCAACCAAGAGGGTGGAGTAGGCCGTTATATGGGGCTACCTGAGTCTTTCGGAGGGTCTAAAGTTTCCATTTTAAGCTACCTTAAAGATAACCTCAATCAACATGTGGACGGATGGCAAAACAGATTCCTATCGGCTGGAGGCAAAGAAACTATGTTGAAGGCTGTTGCTCTAGCTCTCCCAACATATACTATGTCGTGTTAAATAATCCCCAAAAAGATTTGCAAAAAGATAACGGCCATTATGGCAGACCACTGGTGGAGAGGAGACAAGGAAAGGAAGGGCATCCATTGGAAGTCATGGGAACATCTCTCTTAACCCAAGAACAAAGGTGGAATAGGATTCAAAGACATAAAGGCCTATAACATAGCTTTATTGGGTATACAGTGTGGAGAGTGATGACAAAGAAGGACACGTTAGTGGCGCAAATCCTTAAGGCAAGGTACTTCTGGAATGGCAATCCCTTAGAAGTTGGAACCGGTCGCGACCCTCATATGCTTGGAGAAGTATGATGGCTGCTCAGCACCTCATTCGGCAAGGATGTCGTCGAACCATAGGAATGGAGGAAATGTTGAGATCGGAAAAAGTCAGTGGTTAAGTAGGAAGCCGGCCAGACCAGTTCAATCAATCATAGGACCCCGACCTAGTGACCTTTTAGTCACGGGTGGCAGAGAGTGGAATACGGAGCTCCTACAACAATGTTTCAGCGATGCAGACATTCGACTGATGCTTGGTATCAGACCAGGAGGTGCAAGTAGTAAAAACGGGTATAGCGGACTATACAAAGTCAGGCACGGCTAAATCAGGATACTGGGTCCTAACCAATATTCTGAAGGTGGCAGAAGAGAATAGAGCAATGGATCAGTCGAGCCTAGATGCCCCTACCAGTTAGCCTGGGAAACAGATACCAATCCAAAGGTTCATCACTTCCTATGGCGCTGCCTTAGTAACAACCTGTCTGTTGCGAAAAGCTTGAAGAAACGGCGAGTCCTCAGAGATGACTCGTGTTGCCGTTGTCGTAATGAAGAGGAAGACGTGAACCACTTGCTTTTTCAATGTACTTTCTCCAGGCTTGTTTGGGCAATCTCAGGTATTCCCGCACCACCAAATGGAGTTATGGACAACTATGTATACTCTAACCTCTATCGCATGCTTACCATCCCTGATCAATTTCCTCAAGATGCGGACAAAGGGAAGCTCGTTTTCCTTGGATCCTATGGAGAGTCTGGAAAAACAGGAATGAGTTGGTCTTAAAGGGAAAGGAATATGGAGCGTTAGAACTGGTTGAAAAAGCCATAGAGGATATGGAGGAATGGAGGAATCAGAAGGAGGTTAAAGAAAAGGGAAGCGCCACAAACTTGAATGCAGCCAAAAGAGCTCAATGGACTCCACCACCTGAAGGTTGGGTGAAATGTAATGTTGACGGAACCTGGTCACAAACAAATGCACACTGTGGCATTAGCTGGGTTCTACGAGATGAGCAAGGCCGAGTTTTGTGGATTGGGGCAAGAAAATTACCAAAAGTTCACTCTGTTTTGGAAGTGAAACTTGAAGCTTTGAGATGGGCTATTCTTCGAGTCACAGGACTCAGCTACGACAAAGTCATATTCGAAACTGACTCGCAAATTAGCATAGACCGGGGGCGGATCTACAGCCAAGGTAGGTGTGGCACGTGCCCCATACTAATCTAAGGGTCTGACTGGTTTAACCGCTGCGGTTGCGGTTGCGGGAGTTTGCGGCTGCGGGAGTTTGCGGAAGCGGGAGTTTGCGATTAAAAGCTGTTTGTACGACTGGTATAGCAATTCATAGCGGTTGCGTTTGCGGGATATTTTTGACTGGTTAGCCAGCGGGTGCAAGAGCGGTTTAACCAAAAGTTACTAAAATAAAAATAATATATAATTATTCAAAACATTTATAACCATATTAATAATTTTTTTTTTGAAATATATTTTTTGATGAATTTTTAATTTGAAAACTACCCTTTTTTTTTAAAAATACACTTTTTATATGTAAAATGATTATTCCTAATTTAATAAAAACGAAATTCAAATAAGAAATATAAAATATTAATATTTGATAATAATTTTGTATCATTTTAACATCCTAATTACCTGTTTAGTTTTTTTTAAACAATTTAATAAAAATATAAGATTGTTTATATAAAGTTTAAATGGGGTGAGATTAAAGTTGTTTATGCAAAGTTTCAAAAATATTTAAATTTTTCAAAAGATAAACATTAAAAATGAAAGATATATTTCTCCACTTTTAAATTTTTAATAATTTATAAACTTTAAATATATGTAAAGTTTTAATTTATTTAAAGTTTCATTTGGTTTGAATGTGTATGAGGTTAAGTTGTTTATATAAAGATCCAAAATATTAAAATTTGTTTCAGTTTAACATATACTATATTTATTTGAAAAAAAACTTATTAGTTTATTATTTTTTTAAATTTTCGTTTATAATTTGTAATTATTTATTATTTTTTTGTTTAAATCACGTCAAAACATACTTTTTACATTTTAAAAGTGTATTTTTCAAAACAGAAAAAATTTAGGGTATTTTCGAAATTTTTAAACATAATTATGGTATTTTTCAAAAAAATATACCCTTATTCCAAATTTGGAGATATTATGTTTTTTTTTTTTTTTTTTCAAACCGCAACCGCCCGCAACCGCAAACGCTTGCGGAAAGGAGCTTTTGATTTTCAGCGATATAGAGCGGTACAGAGTGGTATAGAGCGGTTGAAAGCGGTTGTCGTGATTGTTATAAAACGCTAAGAACCGCTACGAACCGCAAACGCTGCGTTTGCGGGTGGTAGCGGGAGAACCAATCATCACCTAAATATTTGTATAAGGGAACACTAACAATATTAGTCATGTAGCCTAGTTGCTAAAGAGTGCCCCATGTTAGATCTTAAGTGCATGGTTCGAATTCTAATGAAAAGTATCATAGACGTGATACCAAATGTAGAGGAATGGCGAGCTTATGCACCACTTAGTCAAGACATCAACGACACCATCTCAAAGATAAAGAATCACAGGGTAACTTTTAGTTCTCGCGAAGGCAATTGTATGGCGGATAGAGTAGCGAAGGAGACTTCTTCTTTTTTGAATTTTGTGCCTAAGGTGTACTCATTAGTGCCATCTTGGTTAAACTCTTTTGTTGAATAGGAGAAACAACTTTGTAACTGAATTTATTTGTTAATACAAAGTTTGATTTGAGCCAAAAATACAGAAACGAAAAGGGTCTAAACTCTCTTAATCAAGCAAGAAAAGAATTAACTTGAAATGTTTGTTACTATTTTTGATTTTCCATAAGTTTCATGCTTAAGCAAAATTTCTCGTTAACTCGTTATAAATACGGAATCATGCAATGCTCAAGCTTTTCAATAGCTTTTCTCGTTATAACTGATGGGTAAAAAGTTATTAGGATACGCGTTAAGCTTTTCAATGCTCAAGAATAAGAAAAAACAAAATAAAATCAATATGTTATTTTTGTCCTCAATAGTTTCCTGTTACAGATTAAAATATTGATGTGGATCGTCAGTTATGGAAATGGATCGTCACAATGAAGTTCGAACTAATTTCAGTTATGGAAATGGATCGACATCTCCTTCATATGCAAAGTTGCAAGGCTTCGAACTAATTTCAGTTATAGAAATGGATCGTCACAATGAAACTAATTACATTCAAGTAGTCTTACGAGATTGCCGACAAATTCAGACCAAGCATCAATCCCTAAGATTCAATGTGTAAAAGATAATCAGTACTGATCATGTTTATCATCCACTTATAAGATTCAATAGCATATAACTCAGATAAAGTGTGGGATTAGATAAACTAATACAGCATCATCAACATATGTGTATGCAGAATTCGCAATCAATTTCAAAAGATTTATGAAAACAAAAAATATTATATTTGAAAAAAAAAAAGATTTATCAAAATCAATAATGGGGATAATATGGAGATGACTCAGTGGTGGCTAGTGATTTAGGTTCGATTCTGCCAGCAAATATCTTCAGCTGAAATCAGAAGAGGGAGCTGTAATCCTCATTGTCATCTCCAAAAAACCCGAAATAACATTTGTGAGGAAACAAGCAATCGGAAAAAACCAAAACTCATACAAAGAAATATCAGTTTTACCGAGAAAATTTTCAGATTTGAAAAACGAATCAAAATTAATAGAATCAAGGGGAAAGAGAAGGCTCAGTTCAGCGGGATTATCGACACAGATACGAATCTCCAATAAAGGAAGAAACGACTCATTCCGGTCTGTTGAGCTTGAAATTTCCGAGTCGTCACTGCCTTCTCTCTCTATCTATAAATAAAGATTATCGAAAAACGAAGCAATTTAAAGAAAATCAACGATTGTTTTTGAGCATAAAAAAAAAACGACGACTAAAATAGAGAAAACTTCACGAAAGAGTAAATCCTAGATGGAACTGATTACACAATTGGCGATTACAGTTATTTATATAAGGAACGTAATTAGGGTTTAGCTAGGGTCTTCACTCTTCGGTGGAGGCGGCCCATTTTCGGCCCGTTAAATTTTCGCGGACGTTATGGTTAAAAACTCGGTTCAATTTAATTCGATTCTCTTGTTTTGGTTTAAGCTTGGTTATTTCGTTTCGGTTTGGCTTGGAATTGAAATGTTTTTGATGTCTCTCTGTTTTTCGTAATCCAGGACCAGGAGCGATCGATGGAGGCACTGAGAGCTTCTTACGGTGACTCTTCATCTGACTCCGACACCGATGATCTTTCCCCGGCGAGTTCCATCGGAGAAAAATCAACCTCTAGAAAGCACGAGAGTGAGTCGATTCCGCTTCCTCCTCCGCCGCTTTTGCTTCTCGATTCCATTGGATCCACAGGTGATGAATGATGATGCTTTACTCTGATTGTTCTTCAATCTACTTCATACGGATTTTTTTTTTTAAATTTGTCCATGAACTTTTAGATTTCTTCTCAACGGAGCGAGTAAGGAACTTTCCTCACGTCGACGGAAATTACGCCTTGCACGTTTACATCCCTGGTATTCGCTTTTGATCTTCATCATCTTTTATTTTCGTCTTTGTGTTATATAGTGTATTTAAGTGTTTTTTTCCTTCTGGATTTTAGTTTATATACCTGTGTTGGCGAAGAAGGAGATGGTATGTTTCTTAAAGAGAGTTGAATCAGTTGTTCCTCATCTTCATTTGGTGGAAGCTGATGTTCCACTCAACATTCTATGCAAAGATGACCAGAAGCTTGAGCATGCCTTGGGGAGAGAGTTCCACATAAGCTTGGGAAGAAGCGTCCCTCTTCGTGTTCATCAAATTAACTCAGTTGTTTCTATGCTTCGACAAAAACTCCAGTTTCAGAGGAGGTAACAAAAATAAGATCATTTTCTTGTCAACCATATGAACCAATCTGATTGTTTACGATGAATTGATTTCTGCTCCATTTTTCGACAGATATGTGATCGATTTCAATAAGTGGGAAGTCTTTGTGAATGACGACTGTACACGCTCTTTCCTTTCTTTGGAAATCACCACTTCAGGACTATCTGAGGTATGCTTTACCTTGAAAGTTCGCTTTTTTGGTAAGCTATGGCACTGATTCTCTCGTATGCTTTAATTCAGATAAGTACGCAAATTGATGCTGTTAATGAAGTTTACAGGCTTCACAATCTGCCAGAGTTCTACAAGGTTTCCTTTGCTTTTCTATACTAATTTTTACATCTAGTTAGCTTGATGAAATGAAATCATCGTCACCAACACTTAACCTATTGGCGTCTGCTTCATTTTCGACTTTAGGATCCGCGGCCGCATATATCCTTGGTCTGGGCGTTGGGAGATATTAGAACTTCCCTAAAGCTAGCTGTTGACGGGGAACTGAGGAAGCTTAGAGCTGGCGGTTGCGCCAAGAATCGTATCTTCACCTCTAAGTTTTGTGGGATCGATTGTAAGGTAGGTAACAAAACTCACAAAATATGTAAACTCCAAGATGAATAGCAAAATCTCTCAGCTTCTCAGTGTTCGAAAACTTATCAGGTATGCATTTGTAATGACATTGAAGCATGATGAGTTATCTGTTTTCTTGTGAATTCCACAACATATGTCATCAATCATATCATTCATTTATAATAACAATAGTGATTTCTGGAAAACGCAACAAGAGGTCCTTGTTATTGGGTAAAGATAGATACTGATCTTACTATTATATTACACAACCTCTGCATGAAATATACTGTAGTGAAATAAATCAACAGATTTTCTTTAACATGGAGTTCAAGAATTGGCTTAGCATGCCAATAGGCTTCTCGAGCAACCTCATCAAAACCGGGGTGGTAGCAGCAAGGATGGACGTGATGACAATGCAGTAAATCTTGACATGATCAGGCGCAATGTTGGCCATGGCCGTGTTGTGAGAGAAATACATAGCCATCATACAAACCTGAAGCTGGAACCGCAATGGGAACCCGAGGGTGAGAATGTTGAGCATAGACAGTGAAACCGAGAACCCGATAGTGTTGAAGAATACAAACAAAGTGAAAGCAACTCCATTAAAGGTCCCCATGATAGATTGCCCTGCTACATGAGCTTGTTGATTTGGTGTATTCACGCTCGTTCTGTTCTGAGAAGCATCAGGTATCAAGCTATCTTGCCAAGTTCCTCCTGGTGGTGTCAAGCTGGCCTGAAACGTTGCTGTTGCGACTAGTGAAGCCACCACCAGTAACGCGCTACGTGCCTCTGATGGTGAGTCTCTGTACTTCTTGAAAGTGAAGTACTTAACAAGATCTTTGTGGCTTTGAGACCCCATTGCTCCGACTTGGCATGTGGAAGTAGAAGTGGTTCTCTCGACATTGGCTGTACCGACGTCTCTCCCTCTTTGAGCTCCAGCTTCGATGAGTTTCTCATAGATTTCTCTATCGCCAGCTTCGCTCGGGAACATAACAAGCAAATCGAGTGCAGAGAGACCCATCTTGTTCATAGCATTCACCTCAAGTGTCCTTGACTCTTCTGGTATTGCCTGAACCAACACTTCAATCACCTGTAATGGTAATAAAATACAGATTTTGATTCTACTCTAAAGACAACTGTTTATACCACAACATCAAATTCTTCTTACCTGGCGATTTTTTCTCCAGGTTGCTAGATGAAGAGCAGTGTTACCCTGTTCATCTTTCTTGTACAACACTTCAATTCGATTCGTCTCTGTGATCAACTCAATAATGGCTATGACTGCTCCAATCTCTTGGTGCTGAACAGCAAGATGCAAAGCAGTTTGACCTTGAAACGTCTCGTCTTCTACACAATCAACACAGCTCGATACAAGCTCTCTGATCACATCGGTTTTCCCTCTCGTCGTCGCTACATGAAGTGGAGTCATTCCATCACTACCTTTTAGCCGGCAAAGCTTCTTATCAATTCCCAAAATTGTCTTCACAGTCTCTACTTGACCGGCTGCTGCAGCCGCATGAAGAGGGCTAAACCCATCTTTGTCCAAGTCAAAGACTGACCGCTGCCGGAGAATCTTCCCGGTGATGACATACTCTTCACGCCTTGAGTTAAAGGAGTTATGGAGAGAATCAGGCACGATCTCTTTTGGTAAATGAGTCCCAAAAGTATCCATTTTGGTGATGATGCAGAAGAGAGAGAGGAGATCAGTTTGTGTATCATCACGACAATCGCTTGACAATATTCTATTACAAAACAACGGTTGACATTTGACTTCGTAGCTTATGAAAAATTCTTTGAATTGAGACAAATGGTTACAAGTGTCAGTGGTTTGCATTATATTATATCTTTTGAAGTTGTAGTAACTTAAAATACAGATTCTTTGAACCATGAAACGAGACCACAACAGTTTAAGTAATATAATAACTTTTGGGTATGAGAATCAAAAGACCAAGTCAGATCTTCAAACGAATTGACTTTATCATATCTGTTTCAAGAGTTCGTGTGAACAATCCAAGACAACAGTTCGTTAATACTGGCTTGTATGCTGCTAATGACCGAGCTTGTGACTGTATGAGTCAATAAATCTTCTCCATTCTGCAACATTTCAATTAATTTAAGAAGCGAGACAGTGTTGTTATTGTGGGAACATAGTTAAAACAAAATACACTTAAAAAATGACTCTCAAGCCAAATATAAATCACTTCAATCGTGTCAAGTTTTCTCTGTGGAGGAACCCTTTTCCTTCCAGGGAAAATGTCACATTAACCTCATATCAAAACCATGATCCATGATGCTAATACAGCTGTTGAAACTAGTATTGCTTCTAAAGACCAGGAATTGCCTCGAGGTTGTACTTTTCTTCAGCTTTTTGAGTTTCACTATCTCGGCTCTCAGGCGTTTTCGGCTTCTCCAACGCATCTAGAGTCTGGAGATACATATAAGAAGAACTCTGACGGAGTTTGCTGCTCGGATTGCTTATCTGACTAGCAAGAAACCGACGGATAAGTCCCCTCAGGAACGGAGCCAGTGTATCGGGTTCATGTTCTAGATAGTACATAATTCCTCCCATACATCCACAGAATAAAGCCACCTGGATTTTCATTAAATCGTAATAAACAAAATTTAGTTCTATTGTTAAAAGGGGAAGACGAAACTTTGTTAACATTTGTGGTTTCATTTTGGTACCTCTGCGTTTTTAATATCGGGAAGAAGGTGGCGGTTGACGAGTATCTCCCACAAAGAATCTCCAGCTCGAGGAAGAACATATAGAGCCAGCTCGGTTCGTCTCGGTTTTTTCTCCAGCAAAACCGAAAGTGCTGCTACACCGCCCGCGAACCAATAAACGAGTTTGTGGTCCTTAGATGTAATTTTTCTATGGGTACATATGAAAGCCTGTTGCAAGTGGGAAAAAGGTACTTAGGCACACACATTTGAGGAAACTAACTGTGCAAATGTAAAAACTTACCTGAAAAATGCCAACAAAAGCAGACAAGAAGGAAGTCGAACGAACTGAATCTCTGATTGCATGCCAAGATGTCTGGTAAGGAGAAGCCACGAACTGAAAGAGTATGATGTCATCAGAAAACACTTCCGTATTATGTCTGACTAAATAGGTTTCTAAAAAAGACTGGAATAGAGGAAAGCTTTACCTTTTGTAAGTGTAGGACAACATATGGGACAAATGTCAAGGAGAAGTATAATGGGAATGTTTTCTTGAATGTAGCTGACATTGCATTAGCATTTTGGGCCAGGCATGAGTTAGTGTTTGGATGAATAGCTGAACAAGGTATGATGGAAGCAAACTCTTCCACCTTCACGTCACTTGCTTCGTTTTTGCTGGAGATATAGGCTGATAAGGAGGCTACATCGATTGGACCACCTCTGCAGCATTCTCTCACAGCCTGGTAAACCGGACTCGCAACTGGACCGGTCTTCTGAATAAATTCTCTATATGGTTTTGGTAAGGTTTCAGGACGCATTATAAAGGCATACATAATCTGCACACGCCACGGAATTAGCTTGCTGATCACAAACACACCTCAAGCAGATTGAAAAGAATAAATATGATAAACAAAGGAAAGAACTATTCACTTATAATAAATATCTATCCACTTACATGAACGTCTCCACTAGATTTCTTCAACTATTCAGACTACTAGTACTTACTAGGTAAAGAAGAAAAGGAGGAAGAATCTCAATTACCTGTGAACAAGCTAGAGAAAAGAGTAAGGAATCTCCATGTCTCCAATGGCTTCCCCAAAGATGGAATTTGTTTTTCGACTTGGCGGAATTGTAAGCCGCCTGTTCACAAGATAAACAGATCAGACTCCCAAAAGTACATCTGTGTGGTGATATTACTCGTACGAAAGACGATTGATGTACCTGGCCTAGTCTAGCCAAGAGGTATAGAGCAAGTGTGCGGCGCTGGTTGGAGTCATCTAAAGCCAGGACAGACAAACCCGCAATTGAACCTGCTAAGACTCTGCTCCACCCTTAATCAAAGTCATAATAAGGAATACATTTTTTCAAGCTTACAGGAGACGCAAATAGCAGAGCCAGAAAACAAACCATAAACTTACGAATTCAATGGTGTCTCCTTCTTCCTCCATTTCCTCAAAAAGCATCTAAGGGCGTGGTACGATCCCGTAAAGCCACCAAAAAGTAGACCAATACGACATGCTTCTTCCCTAACTATCAAATCTTTTTCGGAGACAAGTTGCTGCAACCATTGTTCACTTGTGTGTCAATCACATATACCAAGACTCACGAGTGATATTAGGGGAAACAAATTCTTTCAACACATCCTAAACGAAAAGCACTCAGAGAAGTAAAACCAAGATATCCTGGAAATCAAGAAAAAATCTAAAAAAAGTGCCTAATGGCAATGCTTGATCTACAAGAAGAGATAATGGCGTAGCCTCTTCATAGCAACATTTCAAGCATATTATGTCGAAGTCAATGACCCGTTGGCCCTAATTTCAAAAGGATTCAACCAAATGAAACGTTGAAGCAGACTCTAATTCTCTGTCAAAATCCATTGAACATAAACCATGTAAATTCCCACAAAAAGCAAAACAATCAAATCCACATCCTCGTTTGTGCTCACCTTCAGATCGAGAAGCGATGAATAAGACTGCCCTCTAGCGAGCTTGAAAGCGCGGAGGAGGATTCCGATCCCAACTCTAACGCCATACGAGAGGAGGAAGCTCTGGCAGAGATTGCCGATAGCATTGGCGACGCAGGAGACGTCCGCGTGATCGCATAGCTCGCCGTGAGATCCACGCGCCGCGGAACGCTGTCTGCGTTGAAGCTCCGTCATGGCGTCGCGTAGCCTCTCCTCCGCCTCACGAAGCCGGCGCTCAGCCTCCGAGCTGTCTTGAATCAAAGGAGAATTCTGCGGAGGCGACGAAGTAGGATCCAAAGCCGGCTTGGAGAACGACGAAGGCATCTTGATGAATCAATGAATTGAAATCGGAAGAAGCTTTTCAAGCTCGCTTGCTGATAAAATGATGCAATTCAGAGGAAGGAAGAAGAAAAATTGTGGGGACTTTGGGAGTAGTGAAGAAGAAGCGATGGGGATAGGCCATGACACGTCATCAATTTTTTATTTTATTTTATATGAGCAAAATCCAAAAACAATTTATTTCCCAATGCCGGAAAGGCTAAAAAGTAAAAATTGCAACTTGTTTCGTCCAAACGCAATTGTAGAATGACTACAAATCCTTCACCGAATAACACCGAAATTGAAAAGAATTGAAAAAACATATAATCGAATAACACAGGAATTAAATAGAATCGTCAATTCCTTTAAATTCCATTAAAATACTGAATGTCAATACCTCCTCCTTAGACAAATTAGAGAAAATACATTATTTGTTTCTTTTTAATGACTAGACAAACTAGGCCCGGACATTCGGTTATTTCGGTGGTTTTGGGTCGGTTTATTCAAATTTCGGATTTTCCGTTTAGGAAAAAATTGGTTCGGTTCAGAATTCGGGTTTTTCAGTTCAGGGTGTTCCAAATTGAACCAAATTACACATTCTGTTTCGATTTTGGGAAAAAAAATATGACACATTTGGTAAGTTTCTGTTCTTCGGTTATTTTCAGATTTTTCCATTGTTTCGGTTAGCATTCAAAGCATAGTACGTATACCATTTTGAATTTTCACACGGTTTAAGATAATAACCGAAAGAATCAGGTTATTAATCTTCTAGTTTGTTACTTATCTTTTTGGGTTTGGTTTAGCTTAAAAGTTAAAACTCGGCTAAACCCAAACTAATACGCTCTTTCGAAGTTAAGAATTGGTTTTATCGACAACGACACACTCTCCTAACTCCGCCGTATAATCTTAAGAAAAAATGAAACGAAAGCAGCAAGATGACGACAAGGACGCCGTAGAGCAGCTCGCTTCTTCCGCCGTCGCAACTAGCATGAATACTAGTGAGATAGCTTTGCAGTCATCTCCGAAACTCTCACAGAAGCAGGACTACATCTTCCATGGCGGTTAGTTAACGAAACCCAAAATCTCTACCTTCTCTTAAAAATCAACTAATTCTCTAGTTTTTTTTTTTTTAAATTCCTTGATTTGTTTCTGCAGGGAGGCGCCATGTGAGGCCGTACTACTTCGAATTCATATCTCATGTAAGTAATTTTTAAAATATTTCTCATCCCTAAAACTCGCGTAGAGATTGAGAAGTTGGTGCGATTTGTAGGTGAATAAACGCTGGACGGGGAAAACAATTGTGGATTTGTTCGCCGATGAGTTTAAAGGCCGAGCTCGTGAATATTATGTATGGTTTCTTCAATTAAGCTCATGCTTTTTGAATCTGAAAGTGAAAGGAAATTAGTTTATGATTTGCTCAACATTTTGCAGGTTGGTGCAGTTAAATGTGGAAGAATTAAAGTTGATGGAGAGATTGTACCAGTTTCATATATTGTCAAATCATCCCAAAAGATCACTCATTTCCTCCACAGGTTAATGCTATTATCGTTCGCTGCTTTTTGAAGTTAGCTCGGTTTTTTAGTAATTGGATAGTATCTAAACTTAGAATGTGTGAACGGTTCTCAGGCATGAACCACCGGTGATGACTGATGATGTAATGATCCTTGTGAAAGAGCCTGATGTAGTTGCTGTCTGCAAACCAGCTTCTGTTCCTGTGAGTATGATTCCTTTTTAATATTATTTTCACTTCATGGTGGTCTCTGGAGAGAAAACATGTTGTGTGCTCGTTTGCTGGATAATGTTTTGTTCAGAAATGATTGATTTAGACTCTACATTGTGGTGTGTGATTGAAATGTTAGTGATGGAGCTGGTTTGTTTCTTCTTGTGTTAGGTGCATCCATGTGGTCAATACCGTAAGAACACAGTTGTTGGAATTCTTGATGCTGAGCATGACCTAGGCCCTCTATTTCGTAAGCCGCAAAGTCAGAGGATGCTTAGTCTTACTTAATTTACCGCAAAAAAAAGAAAATGATACAGTATGAGTTATCTTTGTGCAGCTATTCACCGATTAGACCGTTTGGTTTCTGGACTGCTCATCATAGCAAGAACCGCAGCAAAAGCTGATTTTTTCAGGCTAGAGGTACTCGTTTCAACTTGGTCTCGTTTAGATGCTATTGGCTCTGGTAAATCAAAAGGTTATACTTAGTACTTATCTTTGATTGTTTCAGATTGAAGGTGGAATGGTGAAGAAACGGTATATCGCAAAGGTTATTGGCGTGTTCCCAGAAGATGAGGTTTGAAGTCCTTATTGATGGTTATTGATGATAATTTGTTATTTACCAACTTCATATAGTGGCACATGAATGATACTAACTATGGTATATAATCACCAAACTGAATTTGAGGCCAGTCATAATAATACGGTAAAGATTTGGGGCTCTTGGTTTGAAAGTTTAGTTGATGTAGCTGCATGATTTGTTTGATGTTTCAGAGAGTTGTCGACGCCAACATAAACTACAATGGTAGTGAAGGAAGAAGCACAGCAGAGGTAGAAACAAATTATTATGCCTTTTAGATACAAAGAATAATGCCTTCCATTTGACACTAAGATATCAGAATGTGTATGGTTAAACGCAGGACGCCAATTCGAGTGGTGATGATAAGAAGGTGAAGGGGAAGCCTGCGTGTACCAAGTTCACTAGAATCGCTACGAATGGGACTCATAGCCTCGTCTTGTGTGAACCAGTGACAGGACGAACTCATCAAGTAAGCAAGTGATTATACATAACATATATGATGCGGATTTTACTAGCCATTGTAGTGGTTAAAGAGACATTGGTTGCTCATTTTGGATTTGGATGATGGTAGATACGCGTGCATCTACAATATACAGGGCATCCAATAGCGAATGACCCGCTTTATCTCAATCAAAATGTGGATGATCTTAAGACCAAGATTGCCAAAAGAATCGATGCGGGTGAGAGGAAGATGGTCTCCCCTGACGACTACGTCTATTCCAGTGAAGATTTCATCATCGATCCATTGTGCACAAACTGCCCAAAGCTGATCCCACAAGGGTAAAAAGGATAAAACTGATAAAACTAACATTGTTTTGTATTTTATTGAGCCAAATGTGTTTTGTCTCTCATGTTTCTTGTTAATAAATGCAGGTACGAGGAGCATGACGAGGCTCTTTGGTTGCATTGCGTTCGATACTCTGGATCAGGATGGGAATACGAGTGTCCTTATCCATCTTGGGCATCTCTTTAACCACATTTCTTTCTTTGGCAAGACACTGTAATTCTTATTACCACCATTTGTGGCAATTGTATACAATTATGATCTGAATAATGAAAGTTGGTTCAAGGTTATCTTATCTCGCTCTCAAACTTTAAGAAATAGATTTGTGCCACTTTGGAATCTGATTAGTTAGCCTAAGCAGTAGCAAAAACAAATTAAATATATTAGAGACATGATAAAGAAAGCGACTTGTAGTTGTTCTTCACATATTGTGTTCAACCAAAAAAGTTAATTATCACAAGGACTCTTTCAAAAACTCCAATTTCTTCTTCTTTCTTCAATGAGGCCTCTCTGGTTGTTATCTTCATTTCTGGAACGCAAGGATCTGTCTATCAAACCCTTTGCTAGCGCCGGACAAGCTTGATGTAAGATCTTCCACGGTTCTAAACCCAATCTGTGCCCAAACACAAACAAAAGTAATGCAACATGAGATCAAATGACCAAACTCTTAATCTAACTCTAAACAACACTTGTACTATGCATGAGAGATTTTGCTTGAACAAGGAAGTAAAAGGAGTACCTTATCAAGAAGAATTTCTTGGAAACGTTCTGGACGTAAAACGATATTCCGGTAATGCATTGCAGTTGTCTGCAATCACAAACAAGACAAACACACAGATTAATAAAAGTTATCACTTGTTCACTCTGAAAACGCTAGAAAGACATTTAGTGTATCTCTACTACACACCTCTGAGACACGACGATTGTTTTCATAAGATTTCCAAGGCTGAGGTTCCATTACAAAGATACCACCCTGAAAACGCAAAGCCAAGTGTCATTCACGCATATGAGAAGCATAAATGGACACACATTTAAGTGAAATGTAGCTTACCGGTGTAAGAAGTTGCCAAATTTTTGAAAATAAAGTGATGAGACCATCGTCACCCCAATTCAGATGAACCCATTTTGTCACACTCAAACTGCATCACAGAGAAACATGCCATCAAACTTTCAGTCTCAGCATAAGACAAACAAGACAGAGTACGTTTTGGTTTCTCCTTAGAGAAAAAGGCTTAGTTACAAAAGATTCTTTAAGTTAAAACCTCAGGCAAATCTTTTATCAGCTACAGTTTCTGGTATGAGAATTGGTACCTTTCTTCTGCCAAAACATAGGGAAGAAAGAAAGGGAGAAAAAGGAAACGGAACTTACCATAGAATTGTATCATAACAATTGTCTTCAAGATGTCGAGTTTGAACAAAATTCTCTTTCTGAAACGAGACAATCTGAGACAGGTCCCGTGGACTAAATTTCTTTTTACTCCTCTTACCAGAATTCTCTGTTCTGTCAAACTTCCTAAGATGCCAGTAAGCATCCTCAATACGACCTTCAATCAATTCAATGAATAGTTTCAACATATGAATGTTTCAAGAAATCATCAAAGAAATGTATCAACTACTCTGCCTTTACCCAAAAAGAAAATCTATCAACTATTCTGTGTTTCTGTACAATTTAGACTTGATATGAGATAAACTAAAACACTCAGGTGCAGAGTTGGAAGATATAATGAAAAGCCAATAGATCTTACTTGAATCAATATCAATTCCAAGAATGCTGCTGCAACCGAACTTTTTAGCTGAAGAATAAAACAAAGGTCAGACAAGGAAATCTTATAGAAAAAATAAGCATCAGTATGGTGGCCATTAGAGATAATGAAATCAAGCTTTTCCTTGAGAAGAAACCAAGCAACATCTCAACAATTACTTGAGCGATGATGAAACAAGAGGAGAGAGATGAGTGTAGAATAATACCGATATGGATAGTCATAATCCCGCTATTGCAGCCGATGTCAAGACAGTCTTTACCCGCAAACCATTCTCTCTTCATCACTTTAAGCCGAGGATCCTCATCCATATCATGGGTTACCTAATAATACTCCAAACAAACATAAAAATCAGAAGGCGATAGCGATGAACAAAAACATGAAAAGAGAAACAGAGCAGGAAATTAAACTCACTCGGTAGCCATAGTAGTTTCTGTAGTTTCCGAATGGAAAAACCTCTTGGCTTTTCTTCTTCTTTTTGCTTGGATTACCATTCCCTTGTTGCCCTTGTTGATTCGTTACTACTTTCTCAATACTCTCCACACTGTTTCTATTTCTCTTCTTCTTATTCTCATTCTGATCATTCTCTCCACCCATGTTTTCTTCACACGCCGCCGATTGATGTTTACTGGGGAAAAACTGAACAGAACCCGCGAAGCTAGGGTTTCTTCTATGTTTCCGCGATCAAAATCGATTTTCTTTTTCAGAAAAAGGAAAATCGCTTAAGAGGAAATTCGAAGAAGCTTGCTATGAAAGTTTTTCAGTCGAGAGGTCGAGTAAGCGGCGCAGAGCGAGTGGCATAAGAAGAAGAACAACAAACGTCGTTTAAGGTTTATATCAAAGTCGAAAGGGTTTAACGAGTCTCTTTAAGTTATTCATTCCCTTTTTTGAAAGTATTTTTTTTTTCATAACCGACTTTTGTAAATAATAGGAAGTTTGATGTAAAATTGTAAATATAACCTTTTTGGTAGCTTTTTTCGTTTAACATGTTTTGTTCTGGAAAGGACTTTATGAAACTAGGTTTGAAGCCCCGCGCAAGCGCGGGGTTGTTTACGATAGTTTTTCTGTTTAATTTTATTTATACTCGTGATTTGAAATATGATGGTTTTGTGTTAACTTTCATGTTTTTGTTATGTTTTGAGTTAACTAAACCACTAACACTAAAAAATATGAATAATTTGTTTTTATTTTAATTTATTAGGATATTAACACTCTGCTTTATCTTGAGTTTTCTATTTCTAAAATTTTATCATGTTATAAGTATTATGTTTACTTCTATTAGACGGTAAACATGTATATGTATTTGATTGAAGGTTAAAATTTATAAATATGTATATGCATTTGACTGAAGGTTAAAATTTGTAAACATATTCTTGTTTTTCACTACAATTAAATTTACATATAAAACTCTATTTCTATTTGTTTAGAAAAACAAACTCTAACTCTAATGTTTCATTAGCTTTCTATTGTCTTAATTAATTTATATTCAACTTTTTAACTTGTAAACACATTCTAACATTTTTAAGTAGGATAAACCCTTTGAATAATAAAGTAAATATATACTATTTGAAGTTGAATATTTCTTTACTCCATCTCTATTTTATATTCCAACTTTTTGATAACTTTGAACATCAAATTATCACATACTTTCTATTAATTAATCAATTTATTTGTATATTTTTATTAAATATGAATAAATGTAAAGAAATATGAATAGTCATATATTTATTAAATATTTTAAATACAATTTAATGTTTTTGTGCTGATGTGGACACTCTCAAATGGAGAGAGCAACTCCCTAATTATATATAAGATTGCATGTTTTATTTGTTACTAGGGGTGATCCGCGCTTCGCGCGGGGATTTATATTGTTATGTTAACTTTATTATTTTTCTGCAAATTTAATTTATTTTATGATTTATTATTATTTCAAAAATATTATACACATATTAATTAAATATAATTAGGGTAAGGCAAAATTCTTGTACCGTCATGTTCCATCTCGTCCCATTTTGTTTACTTTCATCATGTATATTCTTATCCATCTCGTCCTGTTTGTCCCTCCTCGTCATGTCCCATCATATCTCATTATGTTTATTTCTATTTAGTTATGCATAATTATTGTCTCGTTTCGTTAAATAAAATTAGGGTTGGGCATAATTTATGTCTCATTCCATTCCATCTTGTTTTTTTTTAGTCTCATTTCGTCATGTCCTATTCATATCCCTTTTATTCTCATCCCGTTCATTTCCTTTCTGTTATTCTTTGTCATGTTTCTTCTCGTCTCGTTCTGCCCCATCCCATTCATTCCCATCCCATTTTGTCTCGCTCCATTCATTTTTTTCCGTTATGTCTTGTCCTATTTCTTCTCATCTAGTTCCACATCGACCCATTCATTTCCATCATGTTATGTTTCGTCCTATTCATGTCCTTTATCGTTATATATTTTGTTTTTTTTCTTCTCGTCTCGTTCCACCTCGTCCCATTTATTCCCATCACGTTCATTTTCTTATTATTTATATATATATATATATATATATATATATATATCAATTGGACAAATTATTAAATTAGAATTTGTTTAGATTAATATATAAACTATTTTCTTATACAAAATGACTTTTCAAATTCTATTCCAATCTATTAATTTAATATTATTATTGTTGATATCTTTAGAATACAATTCGAAGAAATTAAATTATTGTATTCCAAATTATATATATAGTAATTAATTAGCAAGGAAAAAGAGAGGATCTTTTAGAATTGGGCTTCAAAAGGTTAAGAAATTCGTGGCCCATTATGTCAAATTTCCAGATTCATTACGTGTGTTGCCTACTGACGTGGCGAAATGTTGCCTACGTGTTACATGCAGAAGAGACCCCAATTGTTGATTGTACATATAAGATATGATTGACTTTCAGAATCAGGTTTCAATTAGTCAATTGTTAACATGGAAACGAACTCCATTAAATTTGTAACATAAGTTGCCAAACTTTTCTATTTTAAACTCAAAATTTCCAAACTTAAAAACCAGAGAAATTTTGGCAAAATTCGACGATTTTTAACAATTTTCCGCAAATTTTGGAGCTCAAAATTTGAATTAATACAATCGCCAGAATTTGTTGGAAATTCCCATAATCCGTTGAGTTTGCTAAAAATTTCTTACGGTTTTTAAGTTTGAAAATTTTGAGTGTAAGATAGAAAACCACAACGAATTGTGTTACAAATTTAATGGAATAACCATTTTTTGTTGGCTATTTTTGTTTCTTTTAACATATTTTGTTTTGGAAACGAGAGGATTATTTCTTTTTCAGTTTTCAATAATCAAGCGCAAATCTTCCATGAAAAATGCTCATTTCATTCTTGAACTTTATAAAATTGCACGTTTTATTTTATAACTGTTGATTGCACCTATAAGATATGATTGACTTTTCAAAATCGGATTTCAAGTAGTATTTCGACGATTTTTAGCAATTTCCAGCAAATTTTGGAGTTCGAACTTTTAATTGGTACAATCGCCGAAATTTGCTGGAAATCGCTAAATATCGCTAGAGTTCGCCAAAAATTCCCTTAGGATTTTTAAGTTTGGAAATTTTGAGTTTAAAACAGAAAAAAAAACATGATAAATAATGTCACAAATTTAATGGAATAACCATTTTTGGTAGGCATTTTTTTTTCCTTTCACATGTTTTTCGAAACTAGAGGATTGTTCATTTTCATTTTTCATAATCAAGGGCAAACCTCATAGGAAAAACGCTCATTTAATTTGTGAAATTTATAAAATTGCACGTTTTATTCTATAATTATTGATTGCATATATAAGGTATGATTGACTTTTCAAAATCGGGTTTTAATTAGAAATTATTAATATAGACGAGCTCCATTAAATATGTATCATAATTCGTCGAGATTTTTATTTTAAACTCAAAACTTAAAAACACTTAAGAATTTTTGGCGAACTTTGACGATTTGTAGCAATTTTCAGCAAATTTTGAAACTTAAAATTAGTACAATCACCGAAATTTGCTGGAAATTGCTAAAAATCGCTCACCAAAAATTCCCTTTATTTTATTTTTTTAAAATTTGAAAATTTTAATTTTAATATAGAAAATTTCCAACAAATTATATTACAAATTTATCAGAATAAACGTGCAATTTTATAAAGTTCATATATTAAATAAGCATTTTCCCATTAAATGCCAATAAATGTCAAACTTTCCAAAATAAAAACAAAAAGTTAAAAATCACAAGAATTGAGTTCATCAGTAATGCGAAATTGTGAAGAAAAGGGTTTTATGAGTTTAGTGTTTGAAAGATAACAAGAAAAGGGTTTTATGAGTTTAGTGTTTGAAAGATAACAAGAAAAGGAACTCAAAATGTATGCTTTTCTCTCAATCAAAATATTGTACAGAAAATCTAAACATAACAATAGCACTTCTTTGCCTCTCTCTTTCTTCTGCCATACAATTCTTCAATCCATCTCTGTTAATCGAAGCAACTCAACTGCACCGCGGCCGATAAACCGGGCTGATGATAAAAGCTTTCCTAGAAGCAGAAAGGCAGATGCTACTTCTTAACACCAAATTTGCCTTGGAATCAGTACGGTCTGTAGCGCATTGGTCGTCTGAACCTTGGAACTCTCCTGCACAAACCATTCACCATAAAATCAGAATCATCGACGATCTCTCTCTCAAAATATTCACAAGACAAGTTTCTGGAACGTACCCATAAGCATATTGAGGATAAAAAGGAGGTCCGGGCATGAATCCTCTCATGGGTCTAAAAGGGCGTCTTCCTCGAAATTGCCTCATTCCGGGGACGTTTGTTCTCTTTGCAGATACCTGAGAAGGGATTTTAAGTGAGTAGACATATTCTCTAGCTATAAAAAGTCAAGTAATTGAACGAGTTTTGCACCTTTATCTGACGACCATGAAGTTCTGACTCGTTCAAAATAAGAGAATTCTGAACGGCTTCTACTTCCACAAATTCGACGTAGGCGAAACCTTTAGGCTGGCCAAACTTATCTGTCAGAATCGTCACCCTGTTGACGGTTCCACAGGATTGAAAATGCTGCTGGACTTCTTCTGGAGTACATGCATAGTCCACCTAATATACACAAAAACCAAATAGTTACATCAGAAAGATAAAGAATAAGGCTGCACAGATGCTCATAAAAGCAATGATGAAAGTTCAAAGGTCAATGTAAGTAGATTAGCAATTATCAGAGATAAACAACATCAGCCTCTAAAATTTAGAAAGTTAAAGAATCATCACTCACTAAGGCTACACTGAAACTGATAAAAGCAAAGATGGGAGACAAACAACAGTCAGCTTTCAAATTTCATTGATACCAAAACAATATCAGTAAACTTAGAAAAAGATAGAAACATGAGTGAAAATTAATGGTGGGAGTCTCACATTGCCAACATATATTGAACGAGCATCCACTTCCTCCTTCTCAGCTGCACTAATACCACTTGAAGGATCTTCATTGACATGCAACAACAAAAAAAGGCATTCACTGAATTAGCTCTAAGGGTATTCTTGCCTTGAAGACTAGAATCGATTCAGCACCAAAACAAGAAACGCCTAATGAATTTTCCTTCAATTGATTCGTTGATTAACTATAAGGTTCCAATACGTGAACAAGACATACTCTAAACCTAATCTGTCAAGCATTGAAAGGTCTATTTCGAAGCTGAAATATATGCGCATAAAGAATTCCGCCAAAAGATTCTAAGAATCAGCAAGAACAAACCTTGACCAGCGCCCATATCTTTCTCAGCTTTGGCTTGCATTTCACGCAAAGCCCCAGCTTCTTCCTCGATCTCCTTAATTCGCTTCTTCATATCCTCTAAATCCTATTCGAACCAAACAACCAAAACAACAAAGTAAATTTAAACAAGAAAATTCAATTAGATTAAGGTAAAGATAGATCGAAGAAATCAAATTACCCTAGAGCCAGAGCCTGGTTCAAGCTTCTCATCTCCAACGGCGGCGCCTTCTTCTCCGCCGTGCTCTTCATACTCCTCCGTATCCATCTCTCCTTCTTCTTCCTCTGGGATCTCTCCACCGTACACCTCGTGCTCTTGCTCATCGTGCAGAGGCATCCTTCTCTCTCTCTCGCTTTCTCTCTTTTCTCTCTCTCACTCGGCGACTGTCGTAAAGCGTAGAGAACAGAGAAGTTTCGGAATTTCAATTAGGGCTTGAAATCGGGAAAGAAAAGGGGAAAAAAAGCTGTTCGTAATAACCGATATACAAAAAGGGTAATTTTGGAATTATAATTGTTAAAATCTTGATAACAGATTCACTAAAGTGGACAAACCCAAACATCGCGTCGGTTTGGACCTTTATTACAATTTTGGGCTTTAATTAGATATAAGGAAACGAGGAATCGTGACGTGTAAAGTAGTAGGTCCTACTTTACATTCAGATGGGTCCCTCTATGATGATGTGGCACCTTACCCTCTTTAAACTCAGCAACGAAGAAGAGAAGTGTGGTCTGAAATCGAAAAACTCAAAAAACAATCTTATCTTTCTCTCCGATGGCTGCCACGTCATCACCGCCGTGTCATATCTCCCTCTCGTTCCTCCGTAATCTTCCTCCTTGCGCAACTGTTCAGCTCGTCGGGTTCTCATCGACGGTTTGGACCCACCGTAAACTTGGCGGGTTAACGGTAGCCCGGAATAATCTGGCGCAGGATTTTCTCGGGGATTTCGGAGCTCGTGACCCTTACCCGGAGGAGATAGCAAGTCAGTTCGGTGATAAAGTGTTGGGGAATCAAAGCACTGAGCACAAGATTCTGATTCCGAATGCTTCTGTTCTCTCTCTCTCGCAGCTCCAATGTTCCCCTGTTTCGCCTTCTCAGTCTCCTTTATCCGCCGATGATGCCAAAACTCTCCTCCATAAGGTTAATTTTCGCATAATTTACCCCTTCTTACTGGTTCTCTGTGGTGTTGAAATGTTTCGAATTTTTATTTACAAGTTCGTCGGTTTGGTCAAAATGTTGTGAATTTTGATTTACATGTCCACTGAGTGTCATGTTTATATGTTTATGGAATATTTACGAGAAAATATTACTCCCCCTCCGTTTCATATTACTTAGAGATATATTTTAACTCCAAGGGAGTATTTTAATAACCGAATGGTTTTTGAAAAATTTCACATTTGTAATTAATCTCAAACGATTATATAGTCCCAAATAGTTAGATTTTTGTATGTTATATTGCTGACTATTATATATCACTCTTAATTTTTCTATGTCATATTGTATAGCCTGTTCTGTTGGCAAGCACTGTGTTCATATATCTCTCCTACTTTCTAAACTTGTCTCAATCTATTATGCAAACGTTTCAGGTTTTGGGATGGAGTATAGTGGAGGATAAAGCGGGCGGTCTTAAAATAAGATGCATGTGGAAAGTAAGAGATTTTAGGTGCGGTGTTGAGCTCATAAACAGGATCCATAAGGTTGCTGAAGCTTCTGGTCATTACCCTTCTCTCCATTTGGAAAATCCTACCCAAGTTAGAGCTGAACTATCCACCACTTCCATTGGTATGCCATACGAACGTTATCCTACCTTTTGATTCCTTTTTAGTGTATATAATATAGGTTTCTTGAATTCTTGTTTTACTGGATGAACAATGACAGGAGGGTTAAGCATGAACGATTTCATAATGGCGGCCAAAATAGATGATATCAAGACTTCTGATCTTTCCCCTCGGAAAAGAGTTTGGGCATAAAAAGCTTTGCTCGATCTTCTTGGTTCTTTCTCATTTTCATTATTTTGTAACAGTTTTGTTTTGTTTGATATAAAACTATTGCTTAGTCGTGTATCGATGTATGGTCCGTCCACTTGTCGAATTATATATAGAAGGCTGTGAATTCATCGTTGATCATTTGATAGCATTTGGTATAATCAAACATGATAAGGATCAAAAAATGAAACCTTTGACATATGTAATGCGTGATCCATAAGACATATAAAAGGACAAATTATTTATTCATTAATTGAAAGAAGCAGCCGTTCTACTTCGGAGTAAATGAAATGCATTAAGATTTTACAATTGACTGAAATATAAGAAAGGCAACATTCTCATTAGATTTTGCTTTTATTGTATAACAGTTTGGGATTAACCCTAATTTTCGGAGCTAAAGTTTTACATAGCTACTTTTTAACCCTAAAGTGTAGTTGGAGGACCAGCAATCTTGGTGCATTGTTGCTTTAGCATAAGAGGGAAAAATGGATTGAATGGAAGATTTGGTGTGCAGTTAGCTTCAGCTTCTAGAAAAGCTTTACAACAAGTTGGACCTATACTACCAAATTTGCCGGTCATTACGGATTGAGATATTTCTGCAAGACATCCTGGAACATTCATCAGTGTTGATAAACATTTGGTTATGTCAGGCATTCCTGGCATACCAGGACTCGGTTGGAACGGAAATGGAAATGGAAATTGAGGTAGTTGAGCATTAACAGAAGCTGTGATGCATATAGCCACTAGGAGAAACAAAACACTCTTGATTGACATGATGAGAATATTGGAGATTATGCAACAAGAGAGAAAAAAGACTAACGAAAGGTTTAGTATTAAGATTTTGTTAAGTTTGTGTTTTGTCTGATGAATTTAAGTGATTGGCTCTTTGGTCAAATTTATAGGAAATAAATGGAGTAGGAGATGCTAATTATGTGAAACGTATTTATATTATTATTACATGCATTATTTTAATTAAATTTGGGTTTGATTTTTTTTTTTTATTAAACAGTAAGAAACGTTTGATCATTACGTTTGATACGTTACACATACGTACACTACATGTTTTTTGATTGACATGAAAATATACATTAGTATGGTCAAAGAAACCTGATGAAGAAATTAAGCAAAATCAGAATTTTAAAATCAGTTTCCTTCTCGTGCAAAAATGTTTTTTCTCTTATGAAAATTGGTTAAATAATATAATTTATATATCAACAAATTTAAAATTTCACACAAAAAAATGAATGCGTTTTATTAAAATGCATGTGATGAAGTTTTTCATTTTTCGTTTATTCCTTTCGTATGTTTTCTCTGGTCTTTGTAAGATGACTTCTGTCATCATACCATAACTCTATTGTTTTCTCACATTTCAATCTATATATCCAGCGGTAGAAAAAAACAGACCCTTGTCCATTATATACTCACTAATGTAGAGTGTAGATTAGGGAAAGTTTAGTTATGAAGAATTCATGTAATAGTAAACAAAATGGTATGATCAAGTAAATGCAATTGGAATGCTAATTGGTATGATCCATTGTCATACTCGCGCTTCTCCTCCTTCTCTGGCTTATCTCTTCATATCCCACGAGTTTATCCTTTTTTAATTTGCATTTGCAACCAATCTAAAATTTATTTGCTAAGTAAACCGTTTTTTTGTTCAACTCGACCAAATAGGTCATCAGTCGTCGATAACCAAATTACTAGAAGAAATTCCATTAGCAAATTAAACAAAACATCACAAAATGGTTAATTTATAAGATTGTCTCATGAGTCATGACATGCAAATCTTTAAAAGAAGAAGAAGAAGAAGAGAGGATCTTGTAGTATTTCCGTCCTGAGTATTTACTCATAGATGTGGCACTGTGGTATACTTTGTTGAGCTTTGGACATTTGTTCAAAGGCTTTGAGAAACATGCTTCCGTATCAACTCTTCATTTGGTGTCTTCTTATTGCCCAATCTGGCTGTAACTGAATTCGGGGTTTTGTGAAGTATCTGGCCAAAAATTTTGTTGGGAACGCCCTAAAAAAGATTAATATAGAAGGACAAATGGTTTATATATTGATCGAAAGAAGCCGTTCTACTTCGGAGTAGATGAAATGCTTTCAGATTTTACAATTGACTGAAATATAAGAAAGGCAACATTCTCACTAGATTTTACTTTTATTGTATAACGTTATGGGATTAACCCTAATTTTCGAGATAAAGTTTTACATAGCTACTTTTTAATCCTAGAGTGTAGTTGGAGGACCAGCAGTCTTGGTGCATTGTTGCTTTAGCATAGGAGGGAAAAATGGGTTGAATGGAAGATTTGGTGTGCAGTTGGCTTCAGCTTCTAGAAAAGCTTTACAACAAGCCCTACCTATGCTACCAAATTTTCCGGTCAGTACCGATTGAGATATTTCTACAAGACATCCTGGAACATTCATCAGTGTTGACAAGCATTTGGTTATGTCGGGCATTCCTGGCATACCAGGACTCGGTTGGAACGGAAACAGAAATGGAAATTGAGGTAGTTGAGCATTCACAGAAACTGTGATGCATATATCCACTAGGAGAAAAAACACACTCTTGATCGACATGATGAGAATTTTGGAGATTATGCAACAAGAGAGAAAGAAAGACTAAAGAAAGCTTTTTTTTTTTTTTTTTTTGATAATGACTAAAGAAAGCTTTAGTATTATGATTTTAATAAGTTTTTGTTTTGTATGATGAATTTAAGTGATTGGCTCTTTGGTCAAATTTATAGGAAAGAAATGGAGTAGGGACACTAATTATGTGAAACGTATTTAGGTTACATACATTTTTTATTTAATTGTCGTTTTAATTTGGGTTTGAATTTTTCTATAAGGAAAATAGTAAGAAACGGTTGATCATTTTTTTTGGATAAACGTTTGATCATTAAGAAAGGTCTGATCATTACGTTTGATACGTTACACATACTTACTTTACTAAAATTTGTTTGATTGACACGAAAATAGACATTAGTATGGTCAAAGGAACCTGATGAACAAATGTAAGCAAAAGCATGCAAAATTTAAAAATCAGATTTCTTGTCGTTCCAAAGTGATTTTGCTCTTATGAAAACTGGTTACATAATGTAATATATTATCAAATTTAACATATTACATAAAAAATGGATGCGTTTCCTTAAAATACATGTGATGAAGAACATGTATCTGTAATGTTAAGAATCTCGAGATTTAAATATAAATTAGGGGGTAACCGCGCTTCATGCGGGAATTTATATTGTTGTGTTAATTTTATTGTTTTTTCTGAAAATTGAATTTATTTCTATAATTTATTATTGTTTCAAAAATATTATACACATATTAATTAATTAAATATAATTAGGGTTAGTTAAATTTCCGTCTAACCCTGTCCCACCCCATTCTGTTCCTTTTAATCATGTCTCATTCTTTCCCGTCTCATTCGTCATATCCACTCCATGTAGTCCCATCTTATCTTATTATGTTCCTTATTTTATCATGTCTTTGTCCCGTCTCTAAATATAATTAAGGGTAGACAAAATTCCCGTCTCATCCCATTATTTCCCTTTCCATCTTGTCCTGTCCAATCCCCTTTCATTTCGTTTCTTTTCATCCCGTCCCGTCCAACATTTCCTTCTTATCCTGTCTTGTCTTGTCTCATTATGTTCTTTTCCTGTCTCATTCTTTCCATCCCATTCTGTTTTGTCATGTTCCTTCCCGTCATTTCCGGTTTCATCCCATTTCAATATTTTCCCTTCCGTCTCATTCCTTCCCCTTCCGTCTCGTTCTTTCTCGTTTCGTCTTTTTACTTTTTGTCCCTTTCTGTCCCGTCTCATTTTTTCCATTCCGTTCTATCACGTTATTTTCCATCATGTTTCTTCAGGTTCCATCCCATCTCGTTTATTTTTTTTATAATAAAATTATAGGGAAAATCACATAAAAAACTCTCAAAGTGGCAAAAATTAGCACTTTAAACCTCCAAAGTATGACACTAACACTTTAAACACTCAACCTAATTATACTAACACCTTAAACTGTGAAACTACCAGAATTGGTCGCGCCGCCGTTTGACTCACCGGAACAGTTGACTTCGTTAACAGAACAGTTAACCACCGCTCTCTTTTTAAAAACATGTGCTTAACTGTTAACTCGTGTTACTTTAGTCGAGTTAAAAACATAACACATGGGTTAACACCAAAACGGTGTGTTTTAAAAAAGCAAAAGTCGGGAAACAGAGAAACAAATCGATTTGGGAATTTAGGGTTCGTGAGAGAGAAAATTTCGCACAAACTCAATCGACGAGAGGAAGGAGGAAAACCGAGGCGAAATCGAAGAGAGAAACCGTTGGATGTTTCAGACAACGGAATGAGGTAAGAGTTTTTATCAATCCTTCGAAAACGATTCCTGGTTGTTCAAGTTTATACCGATTCCTGAGAACGAATTTTGGGTTTTCGAAAATCTTGGTTTGGAATTGATTTGGAATTGATTTGGGGTTTTGTAAATCTGAGTTTAAGGGATCGATTTCTGAATAGGGTTTGCTTGGAATTGATTTGGGTTTTCGAAAATCCGGGTTTAAGAGATTGATTTGTGAATAGGATTTGCGAAATACTCTTTGTTCTACATCTGATTGTCTTTGCTCTACATCTGATTTCGACTTATTCTCCTTGTTCTACAGAGGAAATACGATGTTAAACTTAACAGTTCACTTCAGTGGAACTATGAACAGAGAAAGGTTAAGATTACAGATATGTAGGAGAACTGGGTATGAAGACCGTGAGTTGGGAGTTGTATGATATATCATGGACTAGGTTTTCACACTTCAGCAGGCATGACGAACTGATCGATGCACCCATTAGGTTCATTTGGTACAAAAAAAGAGATAAGGAGATGAAGACGGTGAACTATGTGTATGACGAATGTTCTGAAGATATGTTCATGCTTATCTATTTCGCAAAAGAAGCTGGTGAGGCTGAGATATTCATAGAGTATGACTGCACAGTTCACATTGAGCCTCTTGCGAGTCAGTATCTCACAAGCAGCAAGCATGAAGATCGTCAGGAAGGTGGAAATGAGACCGTTAATAATTTTTAAGAGAGAAGATGAAGATGATAATTCTGAGAGTGATGAAGAAATAGACATGCCAAAGGAAGATGAAGAACCAGAACAGTCTGAGGATGAAATGCATGAGCAAGAGGTTGGTAATGGAGATGAAATGCATGAGGAAGGGATTGGTAATGAAGATGCGACAATGGCTGAAGCATGTGCGAATGTTGATGATGGAAGTGATGTTGTTGAAGATGCTGGTGATGGTCGTAACGATGACAGGTTTAGGTCTGTTTTCGAGGAAGGATCAAGTTCAAAGCCAGCGATGGAAGCATATCGAAATATAGAAGAAAAAGAAGCTGCAGAAAGAGAAGCAGAGGAAAGTGAGGAAGAATGTGTGATAGAGGGGGATGCTGAGTATCCATATACACCGCTAAAATCGGATGAGGAGTGGGAACAGTGGGATAATCCGAAAGGGAAAAGGAAGGGAAGAACGCAGTTCCATGGAGACTTAGAGAAGGAGCCATACATTTGGTTATTTGGCTTTGAGTTTAAGGATCAGCTTATGCAATACTCAACGAAGACACAATAAAATGTGAAGATGGCAAGGTGTGACGCAAACAAAATAGCTGTTATTTGTTGTGGTGAGAATTGCAAGTTTAGAGTCTACTGTTCCTTTGAGCCTCCTATTAACAAGTGGATGGTCAAAGTGTGCAATATGCGTCACAATCACGGGAAATCAAGCAGGGTTTCAATGTTGAAGCAAGGAGTGATTGCAGGGTTATTTAGAGAAGAGTTGAAGAGGAATGTCAACTTACAAGCAGCAGTGATCAAAGACACAATCAAGGAGAGGTATAACATTGTTGTTCCAATGTCAAAGTGTTATAGAAGGAGGAAGATCGCTTTGAATACTATCATGGAAGCTCGGACAACTCAATTTGCTAAGCTCTGGGATTATGAAGCTGAACTGAAACGGACACATCCTAATATCAGAACTGAGCTTTGCACAATCCGTAAGGATGATGTCGATGTGGACATGTTTGACTGCTTCTATATCTACTTTGATGAGTTTCGAACAACATGGAAGAATTGTTGCAGGCCAGTGATTGGGTTGGATGGATGCTTTCTGAAATGGGATTTGAATTGTGATTTACTTGCAGCTGTTGGAAGAGATACCGACAACCGAATGTATCCAATTGCATGGGCGATTGTCAGAGGTGAGACTAAATACACTTGGGGTTGGTTTATTAAGAAGCTTAAAGTGGACCTTGACTTAGAGAATGGAGAGAATTTCACAATAATATCCGATAAGGAGAAGGTAACAATCTAATCTCTATAAAGTTTTCATTATGTTTAGTACTCATGTACTGGTTAGTGATTTTTTATAGGGTTTGGTGATTGCCATGGATGCTGAACTTCCAAAAGCAGAGCATCGTACGTGTGCAAGACATATCTATGCTAATTGGAAGAAACAAGGTTTTGCGAGATCAGAGTACAGGAACTTGTAATGGGGAGTTGCCTACAGCTACACAGAAGGAGAGTATGAAGAGAATATGGACTTGGTTAAGGCATATGATCCTTCTGCGTACGATCTGCTAGTCACGGAACCTCATAGGTGGTGTCGTGCATTCTTCAGTGAATAGTCTCATTGTGCTGATGTTCACAATAATCTGTCTGAGAGCTTCAATAGAACGATTAAAATTGCTAGATCAATGCCTGTAATCAATCTGTTGGAGGAGGTAAGAAGACAAGCGATGAGAAGAGTATCTAGAAGGTTTCTTAAAGCAGAAAGGTGTTACACAATTGTGACACCGATCACGATGGCGTTATTAGAGAAATCAAGGCTTGCTGCTGCTTCCTGTTCAACAACAAGAAGCAGCAAAAGTTTGTATGAGGTGAGAGAGTTTAACGAAAGCTATAGTGTTAATATATCCACTCACCAATGTGCCTGCCGCAAATGGGATCTCACATGTGTAGTGTTGATTCTGTTATGTTTTAGTTTTTCTCTTCTCTTCCTTATGTTTTAGTTTTTCTCTTCTCTCCCTTATTTAGCTGATGCATTGTCTTCGATTTTTACTTTGAGGGGTTTTTATGCGATTTTCCCTAAAATTATATAATTAATTTTAACAAAACTAAAATCGTTAATTTTTTTATTTATGTAGATCAATTGATATGATTCTTGTTTTATAAAAACTTTTCAAATTCTTGTTAAAGTTAATATATATAATACATGGTAATTATTATGACAATTAAAGTATAATAAAAGCAAATAAAATAAATTAAATGGAGTGTAGAGAATGCTGACGTGGTGAATTGAATTTCGAAGCAGCCTCTTTTGGTGACGTGTCCCCACCAGAAGAGAATCATATGAACGTTATATATAGACTAGGGGATATCCCGGGGTAAGCCCGGCCATTTGTCTTAAAAAATTAGAATGGTGGAAATATTTATAATTTTATGAATCCAAACAATTATATATTTATTGCATGTATAAATAATTAGTATATTTTAGAATGTTAAAATAGACTATTTTTTTTATATTTAAATAGCTTTATACGATGAAATTCATAAGAATGAAATTAGCCCGAAAATGAACAAAAAAAATAATTGAAGAAGTACATGAATTTGCAACTGCGGGAAAATACCTTTTACACATGATACACACCTATCAAAAGAAGAGGAACTTTTTTTTGTAATGAAAAAGAGTAAAAACCATCGTACACAAATTATTTGTTTTATGTTATAATTGGCAAAATAGTATATGAAACTGAGGTAGATATTGAAGAATAGTAGAATACAAAAGAAAAAATCTTTAAACTTATTTACCAGTCTTGGCCCTCTTAGGACACTACTTTATGCTACTTCTTCAAACACCTCTATTATCAGATTTCTTTCAAGTTTACACAAAGCATTGTTGTTTGAAGCTGTTATGAATGTGCTTTTATTTTTCTTTGAGATTGTAAGGACAGTAAAACATCTGCAACAAATGATTCAAATTTGCAGGCTTGTTGCATCCACGGTCCAATCTAAGTCTACATGTTTGTTTTTCATCTGAAAAATAGTGGTAAAAGTCTAAATACCTTTAAAACTTGTATAGAATTTGAATTATGATATAACAAAAAAAAACCTGAAAAAGATAAGGAAAAAGAGGCTCACCCTACCTTGCATATTGTCTTGTAACTATAAATATAATTTCTCTATTTATCACTTTTAAGATTTCAAACTTATTAAATTTAGGAAAATATATCTGTCAAGTATATTCCTTTGAGTTGAGTTTTACCTTGTATCTATTCTCAGAATCTTTTCAAATATATTCCTTTGATTTTTATCTTGTAGTCTGTTTTTTTTTTTTCAAATATGCAAATACAAGGAAGTCAAGTAAAAATGGTAAAGGGAGATGATTCTAACAACCTAAGTGAAATGAAATGCAAGTAAAACAGTAAACGAATGCGGTAATGCAAGAAACAAGCGAATGCAAGCAGCTCGACCTAGGACTCGATCGAGTGGAAACAGAGCATTAGAGCTCGATCGAGTTGGGGGTCGAGTTGGTGTAAGAACAGAGAAATGCGAATGCAAAACAGTAAAGGTGCAAACTTTAAGCTATTAAGAAGAAGTTAGGGTCTAAGACAGGGTTCTGCGACTAGGGGAAGGCTATACTTAATCAATCTTGCTCTTAAACAACTTGTACTCAAGCTATCTCTTGGCATTGAGCTTCTTAGCCTAGCTAACCCTTTCCCAAGGTGGAAGCTATCATCTAAAGCAAGATCTCAGAAACAGGGGGTCAGCCAGTGAGAATCAAGCCTTAGAGGCATTAGAAACTCTGCTCAAACTCACCCATTCAACACCTATAAACTCCATTTCGTAGAGCAAGCATGTTGAAGCTCTTAGTGGACTTGTTCAAGCGATTTCCCATTCATTCCCATGAGGAAATACCGCTTAAGATCAACACACCATGGATAGTGGTTGTGTTGCCTTAGGCTTGTCCAAAAGAGAGAGATTTTAGATTAAGAACATCAAGCAAGAGAGATTAAGCATAAAAATCCTCTAGTCTAGCCCATCTTAAACCCTAAAGAGAACTACTCACTACACATTGCGAAATACATAACCAAATGCAATGAATGAGACATCAAAAGATAGAGGAGATGAAATAAACAACTTTTATTGAAATAGACAAGTGCAAAAATACAAAGATAGAGCCTAGATCTAAGGTTCAATGAGCAAGAGCTCAAGAACACAAAGAGAGGCTTAAAAGTAAATTACAAGCTAAAGATAAAAACTTAAAACAAAGAAAGCTAAAAAAGGTTCAAAGAAAACTTGCTTTTTCGTGGCTACAAGCCTTTAAATAGGAAAATATTTAGGTTTAGGGTCAAAGGAGGAGTCAAAGGGAAGCAACATTTTTCGGGTTTGACTTTGACTCCGCAGCTCGATCGAGTTGGTCTTGGCCGGTCGAGTTAGTGAACTCGACTGGTTGGTCGAGCAGATGGGTCGAGCTGGCTTCAAAGGCGGCTTCCTTCTTCATTCCAAGCATGCGCGGTCAAGCTGAGTCCATGCACAATATCCTTCCTTGCTCCTCACGTCCCAATTGCTCCATAGTGCTCCAAATAGACCTGTTTAAGGATCAAACATGCCATGTATGCAAATGCAACCTAAAACTACAATGAATGCATAAGAAAGGAAAAGGAACAAGATATGATGCTAATGAATGCTAAAACTATGCAAAATATGCATAAAAGATGTACTAAAACTATGTAAAATGCAAGTTCATCACTTTCTCAAGAGGCTAAGAAGTTTTATTTATAGTATTAGGTCTTCGCAGGTGGCATTCGGTTAGACGGTCCATTAAAACGTGTGAAACGGGCTTAAAAAAAGGGCTCGGCTCGACAATACCGTTCGGAAGGTTGGTCGGCGTGTTTAACCGGCTATTGGGTCGTGATTGGGCTTCGGTACGGTTGGAACGATCATGGCCGGATGATTGTACGTTCGGTCGTTGGGAATCGGCCAGGCGGATTGTTTGGTTTAATGTTCGGGCCGGATGCGGGACGTTGGACTTCTGGTTGGACAGTGCGGTCGTGCGCGGTACTGGACGCTGGATTGAAATGGGTCGACCTCGAGGTGATGCTTCCCGGTTCTGTTTGTGTGCTCGGCCGCGCGCTATGCTTGATAAGTAATTGTGCACTGCGCGGCTCAACCGCGGGATGATGCTTCCCGGGTCGGCCGGGGCGCGCAGTCTGGACGCGGCATAGTATGTTGCGCGGATTCGGCTGTTAGGACCAGTCTTCACTAAAACAAACATAACTCCATTTCTACTCATCAAAATAATACGAATCCATTTTTGTTGGAGAGTTAACTCACTCAGGGCAGGCGGCAAAGTGGTCTTGATAAATTCCATTCAGTAGAATGTTTTTAAGGCCTTCTCAAAGTTGATGCTGCGGTATGAAGCGGAATGAAGTCCAAATCTTATAGTTTTGCTCCAAAATCCATCATTCAACCTGCTTAGATTATTAGTACTATAAATCCAATAAAACTACCTTTTTAGATTGAAAACCTGCTAAAAACCATTAGAAAACCGTACTAAAATAGTATTAAAAACATGTAAAATAAAGGTATATCAATATTCTGCTGGCAGAACAACAAATAATAAACTTCCCAGCAAGTACTATAATGTGCTAGAACGAAAACTCATCTTACATACATAGACTATGGAAGCATTTTGCATATTATTTCCCTCCTAGACTTCATTGACTTTAGAGTGGAAACGACGTTAGGTCCCTCATGCGAGGGTTTATTTGGAAGATTCTACTTCAGTTGATACTTTGGTAGCGTACGTACCGCGTACCCTTTAATTTATGGAGTTTTGTCATTTTCATACATAAGAAAGCATAAATATAAATTATAGCTTTACAGAAAGACCCTAAGCAAACTGGAAATCAAAAATATCCTTAATTTGAATCGATATGAGTCTAAATTTAGACTAAGCCTTTTTCATAATCTTTTCTTTTGCTAAAAAGAAAGTTTCCTCTTCTTCTTCAATTTCTGTCGAATACAAACTAATTATTCTTACTTTTCGGATTTTGTAAACGGATGTTATCAATGTTTCGATGTATGTAATAATGTAAGTCTGTAAATTCTGAACGCAGTCCCATTTGGCGAGGACATGTATATGCAAAAAATTGGATATGCACATATTTCCATCCATTTTAGTTGAATGTATATTTTGGAAATTACTTTTTCTAATATAGATACTTACATAACTTCTAAACGTATGTTCATGACTATTTTAGTATGCTTGCTTAAAATCTATAATTCGTTGAGCTATAGAATGAACTTTTAATATAAAAGATATTCTCTGTTTTGATATATATGTTTAGTCAAACTTCCTTCATTTAGAAATTTACACTACAATAAGCGAGTAATTGGTCGGTGTTACTGTTACAGCATCGCATTTTCTTATTGGTTGCAAGAGAAAAGTTTCTAAACCGACAAATCAAAGCTTTGAAAACTTTATTATTTCTAAAAAGAGTCACAAAAAAAATAACTATCTCCAAAAATTAAATATATTATTAGGAAATAAAGAGACACAAAAAATATAAAATAACTATCTCCAAAACTTAAATATATTATTAGGAAATAATCAGCCATGTGTTCATTTAGAATTGTGTTTTCCTACCCAAAAAAATAAAAATAAAAAGTCATATCTTAAAATTAATAAATTTATAAAAGAAATGCATGCATTTAACGTTTACATAAATATTTGGTCAACCTTCCTCTTTGATATATTTACATATGATTACACTGATCTATAAATACTGAACAATTATACATATGAAGTTACATTTGACTATGGATATGGCGTTCTCCAATATACCTTATTATATATTGATGTTTTTAATCTCATTTACTCTTGTTCTTTTAACATCAGCGTCAGATGTCTCCAATGTTGTAACAGAAGCGCCATCGCCAGGATCAGGCGAAGACGGTTTCTTACCTTTGGCGAGCAAGCATGTTGTACTTCACAACGTTCTGCAGGATGCTGATATGCTGAACGTACATTGCAGATCTAGTCAGGATGATTTGAAGTTGATTCATCTTGATTGGAATCATAAAATGGATTTCAGATTTCATGTTAACCTGTCAAAATCTACACGTTTTCATTGCCATTTTACATGGTATGGAGGCGGATCTCACTATTTCGATATATTTAAAGTATCGAGAGACGATACTCCATCTAGAAAATTTCCAGTTTGTAAAGAATGTCTTTGGGAGGTAAGAGGAGGTGATAAAAACCCTATATGTCGTATAAATCGCGATGGTACACCTCCTTCCTGTTTTGAGTGGGAATCAAATCCTTAGAAAAAGAAAAAGATTATTACTATGATTATATTTCATCTAATAAATGGTAACATCAAAACTCATTGCATAAAATAAGTAATCACATTCATAATGTTTCTTTCTTGGTGCATTACACATCTCTGATTAGTGGAATTTACATATTTACAAGCCAAAAAAGAAGTGTAGCCAAAGATGCTCTCAAACCAAACAAAAAAGATATTAATAAAGGATGTTCTCTAAATTGCTTAAAATAAAACTCACTAGCAGTATAAAACCAAAATTAATGAAAGTGTTATGTCGTTGTTTTCTTTTTATTCTTCCATATTCACCTTTTCTTAAACATATTCACACCAAGAAAATGATGAGAAGACCGATCACATGTAGTCAAAGTTGATAAGAGTCCCATAAAACAACTCCAAATGTTCACGTGCTTTCTCTTTTGTTTCCTCACATGTTCTCACCTTCTCCGCCTCTCTTTGCAAATCTAATCCTTTCTCTTTTCGGCATTCCCTAGGCCCTTTTTGTAATTCATTTTCCAAAAATAAAAACCCTTTAATATTTCTATACATACGTTTCCCACCTACACAACTTTGGTATGTAGAGGAAAATTGCTTCTGCTTCATCTTCTTCCTCTTTTGACCATATTTTTGGTCCCAAAGTATCTTCTTCGCCTTCTTCACCAACCACTGGATTGTCCAAATCCTTCATCCCACCACCTTCTGGCTTCTGCGGTATATATTTCATCTCAATATTATTTTAAATTTGAGGCATACGTAATTCATTCTAAACATAGGCAGATACATATATACAAATCAATTTATTAACTCTCTAATTTTCTGTTGTTATAAACAAAAAGGGGATGTCGGGGAGGCAAGTGGACTTTGGAAGTCAAGGTGGACATGTGAAGTATCAATAGGCTATGTTCATTTTAGTAAAAGATATAGTAGAATAGGCTTTGTTCATTTTAGTCTAAAAACTTCAGGTTCCAGGTTTTTTGGACTCTATCTTACTATATAAAGCTGGATGCGCGCAACATGGTCATGACACATAAGATTTTTATAATTCACACGGTCACGCACTCACCTCTAAATGGATTAAACAAAAGGAAAATGGATGAAGCAACGAAGAACAACAACAAACAGCCTTTGATTCACCCAAGAACACTAGAAATCTCCCAAAAATCTCCCCTCTAAAACTTCCACCTCTACAAAACGACAAAACTTGAAGAGTCCCATAAAACAACTCCAAATGTTCACGTGCTTTCTCTTTTGTTTCCTCACATGTTCTCACCTTCTCCGCCTCTCTTTGCAAATCTAATCCTTTCTCTTTTCGGCATTCCCTAGGCCCTTTTTGTAATTCATTTTCCAAAAACAAAAACCCTTTAATATTTCTATACATACATTTCCCACCTACACAACTTTGGTATGGAGAAGAACATTGCTTACGTTTCATCTTCTTCCTCTTTTGACCATATTTTTGGTCCCAAAGTATCTTCTTCGTTTTTCTTCAGCAACCACTGGATTGTACAAATCCTTCATCCCACCACCTTCTGGCTTCTGCAATATTATTTTAAATTTGAGGCATACGTAATTCATTCTAAACATTGGCAGGTACATAGATACCCTGGAGCACATAGATCACTTTGAGATCTTTGTGATTTTATGGAGTTTTCACTTTGAGAAGAAGATGATGCTTTTCAGCATGTCTTTAGCTGGACCAGCTCTAGATTGGGCACAACACCAACCACTTTCTCTAATCGAGTCATGGATCGATTTCAGAGAAGCTTTCTTGGAGAGATTTGCAAGGAAACCACCTTTCAAGTCTAAACACAACCACTACTCTTACACATTGAAGTGGAGCGTGATGAAGAAGAATGGGGAGGCATACAACCCATCCTGAGATCATGAATGAAGAACTAATCAAGCATGTGGAGAGGACCCTTTCCATGATTTACTTCAGAGTGTGCAAAGGAGCATCTATACAACTTTGAGCAACTTTGCAACTACTATGGTCTTGGAGACAACCCCAAGAAGATACAATGTTCCAACTATCACTAGCTGGACGAGCTCAAGAATGGGTGAAGTTCAATGCCCAACACACCTTCAAACTTGGAATAGGTACAAGGAAGCTTTCCTTTACAGATTTGCAAGAGGTCCGATCTATGTTCCACCGCCCCACCCCAGCTATTCACAACACCATCCATCATCACCAGACATAAATCAAGCGCCTTTATTTGTTAAGGAGAGTTCTCAAACCCCACGCCCAACCAAGATTGAAGTGATGCTTCAACAATACTTGAAGGATCAAGCTGAGAGTACAAAGAAGATGGAGAAGAGAATCGATTTCATCCATGAGAGTCTTGGAAACAAATCTGAAGTCCTATTCAAGCAAGTGATCAAGCTTGATGAAGACATAAAGAAGCTTAGAGAAGACCATGATCGATCTCTAAACCTTATAAGACTTGATGTTGCTGCCAAATATCAAGAGTTGCTCAACAAGAGCATGAGATTGAAGATACCAACTATGATAATAGCAAGCACCTTGGATCGATCTACAACCGCCTACAAGCCCTTGAAGGATCATCCTACTCCAAGTACAAGAGAGAGAGGAGTCCAACACCCAACCTCCCTCCCTTTCCTTGCAATGCCATCACATAGAAGAGGCAACACTAGCCAAGTCCATGAGGACAATGAAGAAGAAGAAAGAGAAGTATGAGGAACAACTGATGATGAAGATGAAGAGCAGAGCATCGACATCAATGCTTTCCAAAACAGAGCAAGGATACACCTAGCTCAGCCGACCCTCGTTTCTCACCACCACCACGAAGTCAAGCTTCAGAGCTTCCAAGATTGGAAGTGATGCAAAGACCACCACCACCTACTGAAGAAGAAGATACTTGGCTATGATCCCATTGATCCCAACAAGATAAGCCCCATGAAGCTTAAGGAGTTCAATGCTAAGGTGAAGTCACTACCATTCTATGTCACTTTTGAAGAAGCTTGGGACAAGCATGATTAGTGGAGTTCTTTTTCACAACTGGTGAAACCAAAGAAGAAGTACACAAACTTTTTCAGAAGGCACGATTTCCCCTTGCCCCTCATGCAGTCAATCAACCACCATCTCCACCATCCACACCACCATGAATGGTATGTCAATTCCATATCAAGAGAGAAGCTTGCTGAGTTCAATCAGTTTGTCCAAACTCTTCCAGCCAGCATGTCATTCCAACAAGCTTGGCGCCACTACCCATTCACCACCTTCTTCCACAACTGCAGAGAGACACCACAGGACATCAAGGAGCTTTTTGAGAAAGCTAAAGTTCAACCTGATTGTCGGTACTAATGCGTTTGTTCATGTCTGTTTCTATCTTAAAAATCGGTTTTTCCTTACCCACCTTTTTTTTCAAAACTTCTGTTTTATTGAGTCAAAATAAGTAGGAAACTATGATCTATCCTAGGAAGCTTACCATATCACACCAAAGCTCTTGTGATCATTAAGGCGAGTCTGACACCGAACAATGCCTAACGGAACCTCTAAGAGCGGATCGACATGCTGATTTGGCACTATTTCTAAGGTACCCACGCAATCTAAAGCTAGCTCCACAACTTAATGAACCTTTAATTTTTTCTTGTCAAGGGGCTTGAGATTCATGTGAGTCGACTCCTCATCTGAGTTTGGTTGAGATATGTATAGAAAAGAAATAGTCCATCCTCTCTCTTATCTGCAAAAGAAAGATCAAAAAGCTCTAAGAGCACAAGGAAAACAAGTAAGCATGAGGAATGCATACTTCTGTACCTTCATGTCTTATGGAACACCTTACAAACAAGGAGGAAGATTAAAGCCAATCCACGCGCCCCACAAAGAAGGAGGATCGATAGAAAAAATAAAATGATACCCTAGAAAAGTAGGGAAAATTTGATCCTTCAATGATAAGAGAGAAGGAGAGAGGTTTGGTACTGAATGAGCAAGAAAGACTATCTTGGCAAAGACTTGGATGGGTAAGAATCAATGCTCTGTGATCAATACTCCCTTGATAAAGACCACACGTTTTAAATACTGCAAGGAGTTAGCAATAGAGAGTTTGGAATACTGAATGAGCAAGAAAGACTATCTTGGCAAAGACTTGGATGGGTAAGAATCAATGCTCTGTGATCAATACTCCCTTGATAAAGACCACACGTTTTAAATACTGCAAGGAGTTAGCAATAGAGAGTTTGGAATACTGGATGAGATTTGTTGGGTCCGGTATCGTTTGCTAAGCTCAAGATTAGTACGTGATAGCTAGTTTCAAAGTTGTTTGTCCCAAAGAGAGCAGATCAATGGGAGATACAAGTTCCAAAAGATAAGTGAGTTTCGTGAACCTCTTCACTAGTTTAGATTCGATTTGCTTGGGGACAAGCAAACATCTAAGTCTGGGGGAGTTAATATACCTCTATTTTACATTTTTTATGCTATTTTACTATGGTTTTCTAATGGTTTTCTAGTGGATTCTTGTCTTAAAAGGTAGTTTTTATGGATTTATACTGCAAAGAGTCATTTTAGGTCAAAAGGTGCATTATGGAGCAAAACAGAGGATTTGGACTTCAAACCAGTCCACTGCCACAACATCTACTTTGGGAGGAGCTAAAAAAATCTACTCAATGGATTTCATCAAGACCACTTCCCTGCGTGCCTGAGTGAGTTAACTTTCCAACGCAATTGGATTCACATCATTTGGATGAGTAGAAAAGAAGTTATGATCGATTTAGTGAAGACTGGTCCAGACGGCTCAAACCGAGAAACAGCGTCCAGACTGTGCGGAACGGCCGACCGAGGAACATCCGTCCACGATCGGCCAACGTCCGACACTCCATCCATCCCGCCTGAACCACGGCCGAGTCACGTACCGACCCGGGAAGCATCGTCCCGCGGTCGACCAATCCGAGTCCACGACCATAAGCCGCGCACGACCCACCGCGCGAGCAGGAGGCAACGCCTCACGACCGTCGGCACAACACGTGTCACACACACGATCACACCGTCCGACCAGGAAGGCCTCGTCCCACGTCCGGCCAAACCTTCGACCAATATCATCCGTCCGGCCGACCCGACGAACGAACGAAAATCTCTCGGCCACGATCGACCCGACCGTGCCGATAGCCGATCACACCCGATAGCCGGCCGAACGTCCCGACCGACCGTCCGAACGGTCCGGTCGACCCGAAGCCGTTTTTGAAGCCCGTTTCACACGTTTCAAGCCCAAGCCCAATACAGCCGACTTACTAGACCTAGGTCTAGCCGCTTTCTATACTTAGAGCATTATAAATACATCTTTTTAGCCTTGTAACTCAAGAAGGAGAGAGACCACGATTTACTTTACATCTTTAATAAAGTTTTGCTTGCTTTTACTTTGTTCTTGCTTGTTCTCTTTCAAGAGAGGATTCGAATCTCTGTTCTTATGAATATGAATTCGTTTTCCTTCTCTATGTCTGAGTAGTTTACTTGTTAAGTGATAGGAAGTCAAAGGATAGCATTCATGTTGCTTGATGATCGATCACATGAATTAGGGTTTTACTTATAATCTTCATCTTTGCTTATACTTAATGCTTGTTGTTAATCTGGCCAATTAGCATATGATCTAAGGTTGACTTGAGCCTCGAAAGTGTTGTATCATTCGCCTGAACTAGTATTTGGTGGGCAACCTCTTTTAGACTGCGAAAGTTGATTTACTTGTAGGTTGTGAACAATTGAACTTATCGAACTAATGCTTGATTTAATCACCTAGGGACATACCAAAAGTTTAGCGACTAGGGAGATTAACAAAGGGGTCGGAGCCACGAAAGTGGAAAGATCATACCATAGTGTTTCGAGTTCTAGATGGCACCTAATTATCAATAACCCTAATCGATTGATCCTTGCTTCTTGAATTGCTTATCTTAAGACTATCCTATTGCTTAGCCCTCATCTCCTATTGATTTCAATCTCTTTATTACTTGCATGCCTTTACTTTCACTGCACTCAACCAATCTTATACTGTTTCCCTAGCTCGATCTCAATCTTATAGTTTGTAGTGTGCAATCTGGTCCTCGTGTTCGATACCCGTTTACTACTTCTGACCTGTGCACTTGCAGAATCAGGGATAGGAAAAGGGAAGACCTGATCCGCGATCACCTCAGCAAGTACACAAATCGTAGAAGTATGGGTATCGAACACAAGGACTGGCTATTGAGTACACTTTGAAGATGTAGATTTCGGATCAAGCTAAAACAATAGTATGGGTTTTTGAGGTTGTAATTGTAACTAAAACTAAACAAGTAAACAAGGTTGCAAATTCAATAGGGAAGAAGCGCTAGGTCAACATGGGCTAATAGCTGAGAAGCAAGCAATGATCAAGATTCGATGATAGGTAATATGATTCAGGGATATTGGGATGATAAAACCATCTAGAACACATAACACAAATATAAAACCTTTCCACTGTCGTGGCTCCGGTTCCTATGATAACCTATCTAATCGCTAAACTTTTAGTCTGTCCTTAGATGGTTCTTCAAGCATTAGATCGAGCAAGTTCTGATTCAGTTCACTAGGTTAAGTAAATCAATTGTCTCAGTCTAAGAAACCTAGCATGTCAAAGAATATGTCCGGCGAATGATACATCACTGTCGTGGCTCAAATCAACATAAGATCGGATTACTAGATGCGCGGTAAAGTAGTCAGCATTAATTTGGTGAACAAGACGAGACAAAGACTCTAAAGAAATTCCAAGTTAATCATTGATATCATGGATCATGCAAGAAACTCATTGGTTAATAACCCTAGCAACCTAACTAGTGGATTACTCACACATGATCAAAGAAATCACACAAAGAGATGAAGAAAACATCATAGATAGATAATGGTTTAGAAAACTTCTCCAAATTAAAGTATGGAGGAGTGATCCTCTCCTTGAAATCTTTAGAAAAAAAACTCTAAGTGTAAAAAAGTGATACAATATGCGCTTGTCTTTCTGATGAAAGGATTTTATGTGAATGTGGAATGAAAATGATATGAAACGATATGGATGCAAGCAAGGGTGGAATAAGAATGAGATGGTATGGTGCAATCACAATCAATCAATTCCTCTATATCATCATACTCATATGCAGCATAAGAGGTTATCAATCCATAAGGGTTTGTTGCTACTCTAAGAGAATATGCAAATACAAGGAAGTCAAGTAAAAATGGTAAAGGGAGATGACTCTAACAACCTAAGTGAAATGAAATGCAAGTAAAACAGTAAACGAATGCGGTAATGGCAAGAAACAAGCGAATGCAAGCAGCTCGACCTAGGACTCGATCGAGTGGAAACAGAGCATAAGACCTCGATCGAGTTGGGGGTCGAGTTGGTGTAAGAACAGAGAAATGCGAATGCAAAACAGTAAAGGTGCAAACTTTAAGCTATTAAGAAGAAGGTTAGGGTCTAAGACAGGGTTCTGCGACTAGGGGAAGGCTATACTTAATCAATCTTGCTCTTAAACAACTTGTACTCAAGCTATCTCTTGGCATTGAGCTTCTTAGCCTAGGTAACCCTTTCCCAAGGTGGAAGCTATCATCTAAAGCAAGATCTCAGAAAAGGGGGTCAGCCAGTGAGAATCAAGCTTAGAGGCATTAGAAACTTTGCTCAAACTCACCCATTCAACACCTATAAACTCCATTTCGTAGAGCAAGCATGTTGAAGCTCTTAGTGGACTTGTTCAAGCGATTTCCCATTCATTCCCATGAGGAAAACCGCTTAAGATCAAACACACCATGGATAGTGGTTGTGTTGCCTTAGGCTTGGTCCAAAAGAGAGAGATTTTAGATTAAGAACATCAAGCAAGAGAGATTAAGCATAAAAATCCTCTAGTCTAGCCCATCTTAAACCCTAAAGAGAACTACTCACTACACATTGCGAAATACATAACCTAAATGCAATGAATGAGACATCAAAAGATAGAGGAGATGAAATAGAACAACTTTTATTGAAATAGACAAGTGCAGAAATACAAAGATAGAGCCTAGATCTAAGGTTCAATGAGCAAGAGCTCAAGAACACAAAGAAGAGGCTTAAAAGTAAATTACAAGCTAAAATAAAAACTTAAAACAAAGAAACAGCTAAAAAGGTTCAAAGAAAAGTTGTCTTTTTCGTGGCTACAAGCCTTTAAATAGAAAATATTTAGGTTTAGGGTCAAAGGAGGAGTCAAAGGAAGCAACATTTTTCGGGTTTGACTTTGACTCCGCAGCTCGATCGAGTTAGTGAACTCGACTGGTTGGTCGAGCAGATGGGTCGAGCTGGCTTCAAAGGCGGCTTCCTTTCTTCATTCCAAGCATGCACGGTCAAGCTGAGTCCATGCACAATATCCTTCCTTGCTCCTCACGTCCCAATTGCTCCATAGTGCTCCAAATAGACCTGTTTAAGGATCAAACATGCACATGTATGCAAATGCAACCTAAAACTACAATGAATGCATAAGAAAGGAAAAGGAACAAGATATGATGCTAATGAATGCTAAAACTATGCAAAAGATGCATAAAAGATGTACTAAAACTATGTAAAATGCAAGTACATCACTTTCTCAAGAGGCTAAGAAGTTTTATTTATAGTATTAGGTCTTCGCAGGTGGCATTCGGTTAGACGGGCCATGAAAACGTGTGAAACGGGCTTCAAAAAAGGGCTCGGGTCGACAATACCGTTCGGAAGGTTGGTCGGCGTGTTTAACCGGCTTTTGGGTCGTGATTGGGCTTCGGTACGGTTGGAACGATCATGGCCGGATGATTGTACATTCGGTCGTTGGGAATCGGCCGGGCGGATTGTTTGGTTTAATGTTCGGGCCGGACGCGGGACGTTTGACTTCTGGTCGGACAGTGCGGTCGTGCGCGGTACTGGACGCTGGATTGAAATGGGTCGACCGCGGGGTGATGCTTCTCGGTTCGGTTTGTGTGCTCGGCCGCGCGCTATGCTTGATAAGTAATTGTGCACTGCGCGGCTCAACCGCGGGATGATGCTTCCCGGGTCGGCCAGGGCGCGCAGTTTGGACGCGGCATAGTATGTTGCGCAGATTCGGCTGTTAGGACCAGTCTTCACTAAAACAAACATAACTCAATTTCTACTCATCCAAATAATACGAATCCACTTTTGTTGCAGAGTTAACTCACTCAGGGCACGCGGCAAAGTGGTGTTGATAAATTCCATTGAGTAGAATGTTTTTAAGGCCTTCTCAAAGTTGATGCTGCGGTATGGAGCAGAATGAAGTCCAAATCTTATAGTTTTGCTCCAAAATCCATCATTCAACCTGCTTAGACTATTAGTACTATAAATCCAATAAAACTACCTTTTTAGATTGAAAACCTTCTAAAAACGATTCGAAAACAATACTAAAATAGTATTAAAAACATGTAAAATAGAGGTATATCAATATTCTGCTGGCAGAACAACAAATAATAAACTTCCCAGCAAGTACTATAATGTTCTAGAACGAAAACTCATCTTACATAACTATGGAAGCATTTTGCATATTATTTCCCTCCTAGACTTCATTGACTTTAGAGTGGAAACGATGTTAGGTCCCTCATGAGCGGGTTTATTAGGAAGATCTACTTTAGTTGATACTTTGGTAGCGTACGTACCGCGTACCCTTTAATTTATAGAGTATTCTCATTTTCATACATAAATATAATTATAGCATTACAGAAAGACCCTAAGCAAACTGGAAATCGAAAATATCCTTAATTTGAATCGATATGAGTCTAAATTTAGACTAAGCCTTTTTCATAATCTTTTCTTTTGCTAAAAAGAAAGTTTCCTCTTCTTCTTCAATTTCTGTCGAATACAAACTAATTATTCTTACTTTTCGGATTTTGTAAACGGATGTTATCAATGTTTCGATGTATGTAATAATGTAAGTCTGTAAATTCTGAACGCAGTCCCATTTGGCGAGGACATGTATATGCAAAAAATTGGATATGCACATATTTCCATCCATTTTAGTTGAATGTATATTTTGGAAATTACTTTTTCTAATATAGATACTTACATAACTTCTAAACGTATGTTCATGACTATTTTAGTATGCTTGCTTAAAATCTATAATTCGTTGAACTATAGAATGAACTTTTAATATAAAAGATATTCTCTGTTTTGATATATATGTTTAGTCAAACTTCCTTCATTTAGAAATTTACACTACAATAAGCGAGTAATTGGTCGGTGTTACTGTT